CCTTATTGCTCAAAATGCAGAATATTGAGATACTTTGAATAAAAAATGTTGCAACCTGATGCCACTTCAGCGGTTGTGTAGGCTACAAAGTCTATGGAGTGTCAAGAAAAGTTTCGAAGTATTTCCTAACAGATTCATGTCTTATCATAATTTTTGCAATGACTGACCTTCATTGAGATGATATATGAAGAGAAAAGTGGCGTCGGGTTGCAATATTTTTTTTCCGATGCTTTTTTCCTCTTTTGGTTCTGTGTGACCGGAGGAGAAGATAAATGTTCACTCACCTCGATAATTCCTTATTTAATGTTGGACTTACCCCGACGAACTCCTAAAGCTTGACTTCAGTATTTTCCAATAACTTCGACAAAGTTAGAATTTCACAAAAAAATCCATGCGTCCATTCAGTTTCAGTTCAGCACAAAATGAACATTCAAAGGAATTCAGTTGCGAAGTCCAGTTCAGTTCTGTAAAACAAAAGTTATGCCAAGTTCTGTAGGCCTACAGCAATGTTCAAGTCAGTTTTTCACTACGGGTGACGACGACGCAACATGTCTGCATTGAGATGTTGCAGTGACCCCGTATATGAGGCCGAATTTCTGGTCGAATTGCAAGACTCCAAGCGTCCAAATTTGATGTTTTTTCGCGCCCATAAAGACTCCAGGGTATGATGTACAAGTTTACGCGTTGGTGGCTGGAAGCTGGACGGTCAAATCGGAGGTTAAGGTCTCAAACTTTGCTTGAGAAATTCGAGGCATTTTTTTTGTGACTGACCAAAAAATAGCGGCAAGACATTGCGCGCTGTCTCCCATCAGCGTCCGTTGACCCCATTCTCGGTAATTTTCCATGGCGTAATGATATGGAGGTAAACAGTGTCATTTGTATATCGCTGACTGTTGCTGCATAGTCCGTACGTACCGGGGTGTTTGCGCTGCCTTAGGTCGAAGTACTCAGCGTATATTTCTCCGCATACTTATTTAATGCCAAAAATTTCATCGTGAATCCAAATTGTTAATGAAAGAAAAAGAAACAAATATGAAGGAATAACCTTCATTTCCAGATGGAGTAGCATCAATTTCAGAAAAAAAAACCTATTTTTTTTAAAAGACGGGAGGACATTCATTCAGGGGCGGATACATGCATTTTCGCAGATGGGGGGGGGGGGTCAGTACGTATTTGTACAAAATAGTGTACAAATACCCCTTAACCTAGCTGGCTCTGTCCATATTTTTGTGCACAGGCGGACATTATTACATGTATAATTATTTTGGGTGTCAGAGCGGGAGGGGGGCGTTCGCGTTGTTTTTGAGGAATTTCTACGGATTTGTTTTTCTACAGAACGGGGGGGGGTTCAACCCCCTCCCCCCCCCCCTCCCAGATCCGCGCCTGACATTCGAGGAAGTATCCGTGACGTAGCACGCGTGGCTCTCATTGGTCAGAAGCATGTAGGTGATGTCTGCTCGTAAATCTAGCCAATTTGATTGGACGAAAGACGGTCTGGTAAAACAAAACTGAGCAGACGAAAAATGCTGTGCATACCGTACAGGGTGACGTTTTAGCCGATTTTCGGATAGATTTGCCCACGGATCCTACACACAAGGACGAACGACTGTTCTGAGCTCTAGAACTAAATGCACTGAACAGACTTGCCTTAATTGGTTAGACGCGCGATAGGGCCACAAAAAAAAAATCGGTCTCTGGTCAGACCGAAGTTCAGGAATTGATGCGGCGACTCGGTTTTTTTTTTTTTCAAGCTTGAATTGTACAGACAAGGTGGGTACTATTGTGTGTCATTATACATTGGTGTTCTCCATAATTTGCCTTGGTGCCCTTTATCATTTGCCTTGGTGCAACTTCCCCATTCCTTGGTGCTCCTTAGTACAAAAATTTGAGGAGGTGCAGCGATAGAGGGCGCTATTGTGGCTTCCGTGTTAATTTGAAGGGGAAAAAAGGTTGACGCGCATGATTTAAATCGACGCGCGCGCTGACCAGAGACAGAGGTATTTTTTTTAATTTTTTTTTTGGCCTAACAGGCATAGTATACCCGTTGGCATGTTGATCGCGAATTTTCCAGGTGTTCCGTTGTGTCAGGTTTTTGGCACGACATCTAAACCGGAAATATAAAACTTTAAGCAAAACCACTCCTTATGTAAGATATATACTTGTTCCAAAATTGTTTGAAAATAAATACTTCAGGATATAACACATGGCATTGTGCAGTTGTTGCCGTCATTTAGCCGGGAAATAAAGGTCGAATATGCCACCTTTTTCCCGAGAAGACTGTTTACCCAAATCTCGGTTTTGATTAGGCTTGCATTACATTTTTTTAGAGAGATGTGGTCCCGAACCGACAAAACAAATGCGACATTTTCATCGTTCATTTTAAAGCTAATGATATTGTGCTCGGCGTTAACATGGTCATGTAGTTATCACTTATCAGAATTCAATAATGAAGGCCAAAAACGTAGGATCATAAATATTCAAAAATATAAATGGGCTGGCTTGACAGCCTTCGACACCAGATCAGAGTCCTGCATATTTGATAGGCACCGCGCGCAGTGTAGTGGTACGGTGAAGCGGTTAAGCTGTCTGGGTCTTTGTTGACAAGTATTCAAGGTAATTGCCACCTGTACGGGCCGTTATCTCTGTCTACAACCGGGAGTTTGGCTTATTAGTCGTCAATCCTTGTGTGTATAGATCCGTGGTTAATTAAAGTCTCAAGTTTTGTTTGTGAAATTTAGGGATTTTTTTTTGGGGGGGGGGGGGTTGACTGACCAAAAATAGCGGGAAAACATTGCGAGCCGCCTCCCAGTGTCCGTTGACCCTGTTCTCTGTAATTTTTGGCGTAATGATATGGAGGTAAAACATGTGTCATTTTTATACAGCTGGCTGTTGCTGCGTACCGGGCCGTAGCGCTGCCTTGAGTCGAAGTACTCAGCGTGTATTTCTCCACATACCAATTTCTCTACTTAGACATATTTAAACATATTTGTCAAAATTTTGTCGTGAATGGAAATTGTCAATGAAAGAAAAAGAAACAAATATGAAGGAAGAGTCTTCATTTCCAGATGAAGTAGCATCAATTTCGGGGGAAATGCTCAATTTTTGTTTCAAGATGGGAGGACATTCGAGGAAGTATCTGTGACGTACACGCGTGACTCGCGTGGCCTGTCTCTCATTGGTCAGAAGCCTGTAGGTGACGTCTTCTCGTCAATCTAGCCAATTTGATTGGACGAATGAGCAGACAAAAAAGTGTACATTGGTGCAGGGTGACGTTTTAGCCGATTTTCGGCTAGATTTGATATACTGTTTGGGAAAAAAGAATCGAGCAGAAAACCTAGCATAAGGAAAGTGTTAGAAGATTTCGAGCAGAATTCTGTAAAATCGGTGTTACTTGTCAAACAAAATAGCAGATTTTGTTTTGAACATGCTTCAATCGCTTCAAATAAACCCTTGAATAGCGGGGGATAGGCAGGCCTGAGTCCTAGCGTAGAGATTCCCTGACGTGTACGACTACACAGTAAAGTAATATAGGCATGGAAGCTAACCTAGACACGCGCCAATTAAAAATATCTGTAATATAATCAACCTACTTATTTTTTAGAGGACATTTTATAATTTTTTCTATTGTATTTCTCTTTGGTTTTTCAAAGGATTATCTTTTTTAAAGAAACTTGTATAACATCTATGCCTATATGTGCTTGTAATGCGTTTCGTGTAATTCTGTGTGATTTAGCAGATTTTTGTTAGATCTTTAGCAGAACTTTGAAATGCATCTGGCAGAATTTACCGATTTTCATCCGGCCACCTTGGTACGTAAATGCACTCTGAAAACGCTGAACAAGATAGTGCAAATAAATATAGGCCCCGGCATGCCATTTTAGCTTGAAGTAATGTGCTATACCGTATACACATAGGTCAGACCAGATCTCGATGTTGGCACCATCTAATGTGGCAATACTTTAATGCTGTTACTTTCTTTGTTTCATCATTTTAAGTTGAAAAAAATATATGATAGCCTGTCGTAATGAGTAGCCGTATGTCTTTTATATATGATTTATATTAGGCTCCTTGTATGCGATGTGTTCTGGGCGCACATCATAGTGGTAGTACTAAAATTCATATAGTCTTTTTGGTGGTGGATTTGTTTTTACATTTAATACCACATTTTGTTTTATTTTATCAATATTGACGCGACTTACGTACGTGCAATGCATGATTTTCCAATCAAGCTATTAATGATTTATAGTAATTTATTTGAATTCTCCCACATTTCACAATGTCAAACCGTAAACTACATTATTTAAATTCTTAACATATTAAAACTGCTTCAGTGTTCCTTTTTGAAGTAGGTCTTATTCGCTGAATTGTTCACATTTCTGAATGTTGACAATATCTTATCGATCTGGAAATCCTAGTGATGGTATTATGTATTATTAGAAGAACTAATTTGCAGTGTAGCCTTGTGAGTTCTGTCAAACAAAAACTAGCCAGACCTAAATATCTGTCGCCAAATCCTACAGATCGAAAAAGTAGCAGTTGTTGATTTCCTCCATGTTCTCTTCCCCTGCTTCAAGCCGGGTTGCGCTGTTAAGCTGACATTCCCAATCGCCTCTGCTGTGCTTAAGGACATTGAAGGAGCGGCATCGGGGCCTGGAACGGCAAGCCTATACCGCACGATACGACACCCCTAATGGGGAGCTCCGTCAAAATGTGGCCCACCAAACATTTGGGAGACACGCTGCCGTCTGCTTCAGTCGTCAAACAGAACGTCGCTGGACCGTTACTGCGAGGGATGTGGTACTCGCATGCTACGTATCTACGTAGCTCGCAATCTTGATCGTCCCACTGTCCGTTCAAGCGGAGACCGAGCACCCCACAATCTCCACCCGCGACGTTATCCGGTTGGCCAGCTTTCCAGTTCTCGTACAGACTGTGGTTTCCTCCTTTTAACGGACACTGCTTCCATGTGCCCTCCTCTGCGATGTCATTGCAATCCTCTGGATTGTTATCGAAAGTTTGCAGGAACAACTCCCACAGAAATTGTTGTTCAGGTGCAGAGTTGGGAACAGCTAGACTAGCGTCCATTTCCTGGCAAGATCGGTCCGCTTGTGCCAGCTCATCCGTTGCGTCAACATGACGTAGCAGGAGTCACCAAAGCGCTGCCATTCTGGTGGGCACAGAGAGGCGAAAACAAAGACATGCCCGACGCCCACAACAAGGAGCAAAGTTACCGCGGGACGCATCTTAGCGCGGGAAATTGTAGGAGCAGAAACACTGGAACCGTTCTTCTAAGTCGTCTTCTGCAAAATAACGCCACTGAACGACCGCACACCAAAATGCTATTCCTGAATACGGTGAAGCATAATGTAAACACTTGACATTGAGCACCAAGCGTTTCATCACGGGCCAACCTTCATTCTTTGATTGGTAATCTCAGGGTTGGTCACCAAAATGCTTTGTCCGTGATGGCAGGATCAATATTATTGACTGACGTTTTATTTTACTTGACTTTTTACTATCCTCCCACCCAAGTGTCCGATCGATATACCTTAATTGGTACACGCGGTTGGTTTGGTTGAAGTGCCACAATTAATAACCAAATACGCTGTGCTTAAAAAAAATGGCGTAATAAATGCCCTTGGGTCAATATCTGAAAGGAAACTATCGCCATATTTGAAGAAAAACATCGAAGGGTGTTCCAATTTTCAACAAATATTCCTCCAATTGGTTATTAGCTAATAGTTCCTAAATATTTTTAAGAGTTGAAACATTGACAGTTACAAGAATACTACATAAAAGATTCCACTGCAGTGTGTACTGTATGTCATTTTGCAGTGCAAACAAGATCCAAATCAACTAGTTTTCTGGCTTCAAACGTTTTCCATGAAGTATTTCGTAGAATGGCCGCGACTTGTCGATTACATCACGAAGTACCTGCGGCAGACCACTCATATCAACGGGCTTGGGGTCGGTGACAATCCATCCCGAACTCTTGAGGGCGTTTTCGTAAGCCCCGTTAGCCCTGTGGAGGGTGAGCATGGCCTTGGAGTTGTTCCAAGGTATCTCCGTGATGGGCTCCCACTTGAGGAGAGATTCTCGGAACGGGAGGTCCAGGGCCTTGCAGAATGCACGCAGCATCTTCTCAGGGTCACGCTGGAGGTCATCTGCATCTAAGATCACGGGAGGTTTACCCAGCCAAGACTCAAGATGCTCTGCCAACTTGACCAGGTCTCCGAATCCGGAGCCCTGGACGGTCATTGTAGTGAGTTGCACGAACTGATCAATCGTTGTCCCCGTGCGCTCAAACAGTCGCATGTTAGAGCTGACGGATTTTTCTGGGTTGCGGATGATGAACGCGTGCGTGTAACCGGTCGGCAGTTTGTCGTACCGCCCCGTTACGGCAGCGGCGAGGTCTTTGACGAAAACCAGATCTCTGGTTGGATAATCGGCCTCTAGGAGCGTCTTGACGTCATCATACGTCATCTCGTCATCCACAGGGAACGGCACGGGCAAATGAATGGTGCTTTCCGGGCCGAAAGTGGCTGCTCCTGTGTACAGTTCATTGAAGACTTCCACGTTGCCATAGTTACCAAAGCTCATCACCATGGCAGTAGACAAGCAACGCGCAGTGGTCCACAGAGCGAGGCGTTTGGGTTTAGAATCCGCCATTTTCAGCAACTCACTGTAATAAAAGAAGGAACAAACGCCGAATTGGACAGTGAATACTAAAATGTTCATGGCCTGATACTATCCCTAACAGTCCTGAATCCTCCAATGTTGATATGATTTTACGCACACCCTGGGGAGTTGGGATCAGAAATTTAAGACAATATGTTCTGGGCCAAAATGATCTATAGAGAAGAGTCAGTCTGAATCGGGAAAATGTCTCTGTGCTATATACAATGCATGGACAGTACATGTACTTGCATTATAATAGTGACACCTTAAAGCCAACACCTAAAAGAAACTTCCTTCAGAAAAATTCGATAAAAAAACATTGCTAGCCCAGCGCGGCGCTGCATGGTAAATGTTTAATTTTAAATCACGACGTCCACCGTGTTGTACTAAATGGTAAACAACTTGATCCTAAATAACTCTGTTGTTTTCCAATGGAATTAAATCCAAATTTCAGATCATGTAAAACCCTCCGACGCAGAAAGCCCATTTACTAACACACTTACAGTAAGGGGTCCCTCCGGGGACCCAGATATTTAGCGCCTTGGTTTGAGGCTACACAACACCGTATCGATATCTACACAATCTCGATATGTCTGTAGACTATTAATAAGGCCGTCCTTGACAGGAAACAGACGTATACATAGTCTGTGGTCAAGCCGTGCACTGTCTACCCGCAAGTGACCTTGTTTTGTGCACGTGTATATGGGCGGTTTGTCGCCAGCCCAGGTTGTCACAACCTCGTCCCCAGTGCTTACTTTATTTCCAACCGTGTTTCCAATAGTAAACCCTGGATAGTAAACTTTCTTCCTGTATCCTGATTCGATATCGCAATTGGCTAGTAATGGATTTTTATCGTGTACTTGGTGTTGTTTATTCACAACGTGCAGTACGTGTTTTCACGATCATTCGTCCACGCCTTCTCAAAAACAATCCTTTCCTTTTTCCAATTTGCTCATATTAATATGAAATATGATACTGCATGTTGTCTCGATAAGATCGTAACAGTTTGATTAAATAAATCGCGTTTTCGTAACTCTCACGCTGTGCTCGCGCTGCGACGAATTGACTCTGTTTTTACCCCGGGACACCGCATACGAACGATAATGTAACGCACATGCAGGCACCAGACTATTCCTCATTTGCATACGTGTTCAAAAATCTTGCACATGCAAATGATCCAATACCCGGGGTGAGAGAGCAGGTAGTGATGGGTGCGTACTGCTTGACACTCTGGGGTCGAGGTTGAGGTTGTCAGGCTCAGATATGCCTGACCCGGGGTCACACACTAAAGGTGACTGCATATATCCGTAGTGTGTGACTCTGGCTAGGATTAGATGGAAGATCACCAGAATCGGTTTGATTTTTTTTTATTAAGGTAATTAACAAAAAGGGCGAGTTTCTGCGTCGGAGGGTTGGCTTGGATATACTTTATAGAGAGTTCCATCAGCGTTATGCGAGACGGTGAGATTTATTTCTCATACGCAAAAATATCTCTTCCAGAATTCTGAGACAGCGCTGGTGATGGATGGCGCGTGCTGCGGTCAAAAACATTCTGAAGGAATGCAATGGAGGATCGCACCTGATGTCATTGCACATCTCCTCGAAGGAGGTGTGCAATGACATCAGGGGTGATCCTGCATTCCTTCAGAAGCTTTCGGCCACAGCACGCAACTTCCACCACCATCTCCAGAGACCGATGCTGGGGGACGCCAATTAAAGTCGAAAGTGGCAGATTTTGAATGTGGGCATTTGGTTTTTCGTAAGGCGTTTAGATATCATCCTCATGCACAAAACTGATGAAACTCGCTCCGTAAAATTTGTGCCTTGTTTACATTTTACATGATCTGAAATTTTGGTTTAATTAGTTTAATCGGTATTAATAACAGACTTATTAAGGATCAAAAGTAGGAGTTTGTGACACCTCGTAATAGAAATAAATTGTTTGCATCCAAAGGAAGAAACGAAAAATACGTAGCCAGCGTATAAATTTATGGTGGTTGATCTCCAAGCTATTTTATCAACATAAATTCTCCATAATTTGAACATTCAAATCAGCCCTTAAAACACACTTGTTCACACGAAAGTCTTTGTTATGTTATCTTGGAGTCTTGTTCTTGTGCAGCGAATTGGGTGCGCAATTAAACGCATCTTGGGTTTTTGTATTAATATTATTATTGTAATCTATGTCACCTTCTTTTCATGAAATGGCCGCTGAGTGAGACACCTCGGGCACTGCACAGGTTGTCGACCATTATGGGAAAATTTCCAATGTGATTGCAGGAAATGCGCGTACACAATGAAAACCCATGCATGCATGCTGTAACTTTATAAGATGCATGACCTGATCCTATAGGCAAATACTGCACTGTAAAACTTAAAAGCCATGTTACACAATTTTTTATGCATCGACCAACTAGGCGTACATGACATGTACATTATAATTACGTACACTTGAAGGAAATTCAAGTTAGCCGGGAAGCAAGTGCATGAAGGTCTAGTAATTATCGAAATGCTAAAAGTATGCAAGCTGACAATTCAAAACAACTTCCATTTTTGGAATTGAACGGGGAATTTAGCCCGAGGGTTCATCTAATAATAAGCCTACACACTATGGAATTCCCACACTAGCCCCACGAGTTCAACTCCAAGCTCCGATGAAATTTGATTCGGTATAACAGGTCTTAACCAAAATAATGTTTTTACACTTACCGTCGTTCCCCCTCACGTCGTTCGGTTACGCGTAGAGGTCGTGATGACGTGATGACAAAGGCAAAATTAATATGCGTTGGACTGTGACCCTTGATCTCCATTATATATGGAGATCAATGGCCGTGACCGCGTGACCGAGGTTATACGACGGCTGTTTGATGCTGTAGAAACTAGCAATAGTTGAGAGGCAAGTAAATAGTACGGAAGCGTTAAAGGGACATAGGCCTAATACAAACTCCAAAAAAAAAAGAACTAAGTCATTATTATGACTTATATCTCACAATTATGACTTAGTATTAAGTCAAAATACGATTTATATCTCATAATTATTACTTATTATTAGGTCATAATTATGACTTATATCTCATAGTTATGACTTAATATTAAGTCATAATTACGAATTATATCTCAAAATAATGACTTATTATTAAGTCATAACTATGACTTATATCTCATAATTATGACTTAGTATTAAGTCAAAATTACGACTTAAATACCTCTTTTGTGTTTCTTCTCCCAACCCTGCATGCTTGCAAGCAAAGATCTTGAAGCGCCGAAGGCGCAAGATGGGGAACTCCATAGAAATTGCGAAATCGTCATGGACGCCATTCCAGTAAGCAAACCATTGTGAAAACAATGGCTTGCGCAATGGTTTGCTTGCTCGAATGGCGTCCATGGCGATTTCGCAAGTTCTATGGAGTTGCCCTTGGGTCAACATCTGAAAGGAAACTGTCGCCATATTTGAAGAAAAACATCGGAGGGTGATCCAATTATCAACAAATATTCCTCCATTCAGTAATTAGCTAATACATGTAGTTACAAAATATTTTTTAAGAGTGGAAACATTGACAGTTACAAGAATATACTACCTGTACATCTAAAATTCTTAACGCGGCACTGTGTACTGTACTACTATACTGCGCAGGACTTGCTGTAATTGTCATAAGACTGTCATTTTGCAGTGCAAACGAGATCCAAGTCAACTAGTTTTCTTGCTTCAAACGCTTTCCATGAAGGGTTTCGTAGAATGGCCGCGCCTCGTCGACTAATTCACGAAGTACCTGCGGCAGACCACTAAGATCGACGGGCTTGGGGTCGGTGACGATCCACCCCGAACTATTGAGGGCGTTTTCGTAGGCCCCGTTAGCCCTGTGGAGGGTGAGCATGGCCTTGGAGTTGTTCCAAGGAATCTCCGTGATGGGCTCCCACTTGAGGAGAGATTCTCGGAACGGGAGGTCCAGGGCCTTGCAGAATGCACGCAGCATCTTCTCAGGGTCACGCTGGAGGTCATCTGCATCTAAGATCACGGGAGGTTTACCCAGCCAAGATTCCAGATGCTCTGCCAACTTGACCAGGTCTCCGAATCCAGAGCCCTGAACGCCCGTCGTACTGATCTGCACGAACTGATCCGTCGTTATCCCCGTGCGCTCACTCAGTCGCATGTTAGAACTGACGGTCTTTTCTGGGTTGCGGATGATGAACGCGTGCGTGTAACCGGTCGGCAGTTTGTCGTACCGCCCCGTTACGGCAGCAGCGTGGTCTTTGACGAAAACCAGATCTGTGGTTGGATAATCAGCCTCTAGGAGCGTCTTGACGTCATCATACGTCATCTCGTCATCCACAGGGAACGGCACGGGCAAATGAATGGTGCTTTCCGGGCCGAAAGTGGCTGCTCCTGCGTACAGCTCATTGAAGACTTCCACGTTGCCATAGTTACCAAAGCTCATCACCATGGCAGTAGACAAGCAACGCGTAGTGGACCAAAGAGCGAGTCGTTTGGGTTTAGAATCAGCCATTTTCAGCAACTCACTGTAAAAAAAGAAGGAACAAACGCCGAATTGGACAGTGAATACTAAAATGTTCATGACCTGATACTATCCCCAACAGTCCTGAATCCTCCAATTTTAATATGATTTTACGCACACCCTGGGGAGTTGGGATCAGAAATTTAAGACAATATGTTCTGGGCCAAAATGATTTATAGAGAAGAGTCAGTCTGACTCGGGAACTGTGCTAGGTCTGTACAATGCATGGACAGTACATGTACTTGCATTATAATAGTGACACCTTAAAGCCAACACCTAAAAGAAACTTCCTTCAGAAAAATTCGAGAAAAAAAAAATGGCTAGTTGAACACGCTTTTGTAGTTAAAAGTTTTGTCTGAAGAAAAATCTCACTGAGATTTCAGATCGTGGTCACATCTCTTGAAGCGCGGCGTGGGTAAATTTTTAATTTTAAATCACGACGTCAACCGTGTTGTACTAAATGGTAAACAACTTGATCCTAAATAACTGTTTACCAATGGAATTCAATCAAAATTTTAGATCATGTAAATTAAGGCATGATGTACTTTACAGAGTGAGTTCAATCAGCGTTGTTCAAGAGGATGAGATTTAAACGCCATACGCAAAATATATACTCTCTTGCAGAATGCTGATAAATAGCTGGTGCCGGATGGTGCGTACGTGCTGCGGTCGAAAATTTCTGAAGGAATGCAATGGAGGATCACCTCTGATGTCATTGCACATCTCCTTGATCGTGTACTGCACCAAACGATCGAGGTGTGCAATGACATCTGGGGTGATCCTGCATTCCTACAGAAGCTTTCGGCCGCAGCACGTACCTTCTGCCACCGTCTCCAGCGACCGATGTTGGGGGACGCCAAGTCGAAAGTAGCAGATTTAATATTTCGAAAGTGGGCATTTTGTTTTTCGTATGGCGTTTATAGGCCTAGATATCATCCACATGCACAAAACTGATGAATGTCGCTCCGTAACAATTTGTCGTGCCTTGTTTACATTTTACATTATGACATTTTGGTTTAATTGGTTTAATAAACAACAAAGTTACTTAGTGTGGCGGTTGTAGTTAACAACACTGTTTCAAGTTCAACACTGTATATTCCTGGCTTATTTATTACCAAGTATGACTGTGGCGATTGCAGAGTTCACGTAAAAACTGCAACAAAGCAAAAACAAAACTAACTCTAATTAGAATACAAGGTATCTTAAAATAAAGGAAAATCACTAATCTAAAATGTGCATCAAAAATAGTAGCAATAAACCCTCGAAAATGTAAGGTCAAAGGTCATCTTAACGGTGAAAGTGCACTTAACAAAAATCATCTGATGCAAATAATGTAACGAAAATCTAGCCCTAAATTTACCCAAATCACACTTATGTAGCACAGAAACTGCAATAATATAAAGTTCTCTAATAATCAAACTTTGTTTACCTCTGTCCTCGGGTCCTGGGGTGGAAGGATGATCGAATTATAAAGAGTCAAAATACGAGTCAAAAATTTAGGACACAGACATGTGTCATCAATAAGGACCATGAATCTGTGGTAGCAATGAAGAGCGCCCTCATGAGTTGTGAAGAGCGCCACCATGTGGTAAGCTTGGAATAACTCACCAGCAGTTACATGGCTCCCCTAATTTGACTTTCAAATTACTTAACAACATTAACAATTTTAACATTAAACTTGACTAAAGGCGCAAAACTGGAAATGGTAACTACTATACTACTGAGAATGTGAACACTACGTGGCTCCTTTAAGTACAGTTCATGTATCGGCTCAAGTTCAGGCATTTGGCTCCTCGTCGGGGCGTCCCTGGTCCAACAGTAGTACAACCTTATGGATAGGCCTCTCGAAGACAGATCGACCAGTTTGGAGCTTGGCCTTCCTGATGTGACCGTCTGAGCTTGGGTACGTCTCAACCACACGAGCGAGTTGCCACTGGCATCGGGGAGTGGAGTCGTCGACCATCATGACGATGTTGCCTATCTCCAGATTCTGCTGAGCCTTCTGCCACTTCTTCCGCTCTTGTAGGGTCGACAAGTACTCAGTCTTCCAACGTGACCAGAACTGGTTGGCCAGGTACTGGACTCTGCGCCATCGGCGTCGGCAATAAAGATCTTGTTGGATGAAGACTCCTGGCGGAGGGAGAAGTACCTTGCTTTTCAGCGTTAGCAGTTGGCTTGGCGTGAGGGGCTCTTCTGAATCTGGGGCCACCATGTCAACGTAGGTGAGAGGTCGGCTGTTCACAATTGCTTCAGCCTCGGTCATGAGGGTCCTCAAGAGCTCATCATCCAGTTGTTGCCCATGTTTCTGCAGCAATGTTGAGAGCGCCTGTCTGATTGAACGGATGAGCCTTTCCCATGTGCCTCCCATGTGACTGGCTGTGGGAACGTTCATATTGAATGTCACCCAATCACAACTGTCCTTTAGCAGCTCTTGAGATATCTTCGGTTGATCCATCTCGGCTAGGGCAGCGTCCAGTTCATTCTTTCCACCGATGAAGTTCGTGCCTCTATCGGAGCGGAGTTGTCTCACTGGACCCCTTCTACATGTGAATCTGCGGTAGGCATTCAAGAATGAGTCGGTGTTCAGCGAATTAGCTGTCTCAATATGGACTGCGCGGGATGCCATACAGGTGAAGATGACCCCCCATCTTTTTAGCTCCTTTCGTCCTTCTTTAATCATGAAGGGACCAAAAGTAGTCTACAGCGCTATAGGTGAAGGGTGCGGATGGATCCAATCTGTCCTTGGGTAGTTCTGCCATCTTCTGCCCACAGGGAGCACGTCTGAGTTTGCGGCAGGTCACGCACTTCCAAATATGGCTGGTAACAGCTGATCTTGCCCCCAGAATCCAAAAGCCAGCTTGGCGAATGCTATTCAGTGTCATGCCACGGCCTGAGTGACAACTCTGAACATGGTAGTGTTCAATCACCAGGTCAGTCACGTGGCCATGACGTGGAAGCAAGATGGGATGCTTGATCTCTTTAGGTGCTTTGGCTTGCTTGATGCGTCCACCGACTCTCAACAGCTTCGTTTCATCTATGACTGGGTCAAGCATATACAGAGGACTGCTCTTGTTCAGGGGGTTTCCTGGGCCTTGCTGCTCGCCATTAGGAAGACCATCGGGTTTGCTGAGGGCTCGAATTTCCTTTGGAAATGCTTCCTCTTGAGTTAGCCTCAGTATCAGTCGTTCTGCATGCTGGAGTTCGTCTACAGTGAGGGGGGTGTTGGCATCAGGTGCAGTAGTAGCTGTTTTGAAGCAGTGATCTCTAAGCTTCTTCATGTAGCGTTGGCACAATGCTACTGCACGTTTCAGGCGAAACCAGTTTGAGTAGGACTGGAATCTTTCAAGCATGCTCGGGTAGTTGGAGGCCTCAGTGTGGACATTGAATGCAGATGCCTTCTTCAAATCTGGGTCGTTTGAACTTGGCTCCACGTACTCAGTGTCAGGTGGAGGGGTTTCTCTTTCTTGCAGGAAACCTGGACCACTCCACCAGAGTTTGCTCTTGATGAGCGACTCGGCAGAAAGACCTCGGGAAGCTGCATCTGCTGGGTTAGTTTTAGTGTCAACATGTCGCCAATCTTCAGGTGTGGTGTGATCTCTGATCTTCTGCACGCGGTTGGCGACGAATATGTGGAACCTCTTGCTGTCATTGGCAATATACCCGAGTACGACTCTGCTATCAGTGTAGTAGAACTGAGTCACATCGCTATACTCTAGTTCCTTCATGAGGAAAGTACTGACTTTCACCGAGATGACGGCTGCTGTAAGTTCCAGTCGAGGGATGGTAACTGGCTTCGAAGGAGTTACTCTGGACTTTCCCATGACCAGAGTTGTACATACACTTCCTTTGTCGTCTATCAGTCGCAAGTAGCTACACTGACCACTGCCTTCGGTACTGGCATCGGAGAAGTGATGCAGTTCTGCTGACTTGATGACATCAAACTTCTCAGGCTTGTAGCATCGTGGGATATTCAGTGATGCCAAATGCAGGATGTCGTTCCTCCATTTCTCCCACTCTGATCTGATTTCCTCTGAGATTGGGTCGTCCCATGCATACCCATCACGACACAAGGTTTGGAGAATGCGTTTTCCAACAAGCAAGACTGGTGCTACCAGACCAAGTGGATCAAATATGGAGCTGACGCTCGACATGATGCCGCGACGAGTGGGTGGTTTGTCGTTGAAGTGGACTCTGAACTGGAAAGCATCGGATTCAACACACCACTGTACACCTAGAGTACGCTCGATGGGAAGGCCTTCTGAGAACACGTCAACGTTCTGAACATCCTTGGCTCGTTCACTGAGAGGTATGGAATTCACAACCACCTTGTCATTGGAGATGAACTTATAAAGGTGAAATCCACTCTTCTGACACAGCCGTCTGCTGTCTTCTATCAACTTCAGGGCTTCATCGGAAGTTGGGACTGACTTTAGTCCATCATCGACGTAGAAGTCCTTCCGTATGAAGTCGGCTGCCGCCGTCCCACAACTATCTTCGTATGCATCAGCAGCACACTTCAGTGCAAAATTTGCACAAGATGGGGAAGAGGTAGCGCCGAACAAGTGAACCGTCATTCGATATTCATTTGGGGACTGGTTCATGTCACCTCCTGCACTCTAAAAAATAGTTGCTCAATATTGGGTAAAATTACTACCTTTTCGAGAGTAAAAAGGGAACATGGTCGTCAACTTGTGTACTTTTTTTTACACAACAGCTAAAGTGTAGAAAAGTACCCATTTCTGTGTAACTTTTACCCATAATTGTGTTACGTGTTTGCACAACAAAGTTGGGTAAGAAAGTTTACCCATGTGACGACCATGTTCCCTTTTTACTCAATTATTGGGTAAACTTTACCCAACCCTCCTTTTACCCAAGTGTTGTGTCAGTTTCTTACCCATTCATTCAACTCAACTCAACTCATTCAAAAACAATTCCCCAAACGTCGGTCACTTTACTCCGTGTTTCTAGATCTGAGAACACTCACTATACGGTACATGAAACGCATGCATCATGTGCATGGAATCGTGGTTGGCAGAGCCGTGACGTCCAAGTTGCAAACAAATGTCTAAATAATAAGCATGTCACTTCCCCAATCTCCCCGATATTAATCATCATGCATCAGCATCCCATTTGGAGGAAACAACACTGAAATTCATTTCACTGACTTACCGGGAACAAAGAAATCACGTCATCAAAATCCCCAAATTGTTGAAGGTCTCACAAGCGGCGGCCATCTTGTACATGAGTGATGACGCGTGCACAATATTGGGTAAACGTTGTCACGTGCGTCAGTTTACCCCGCACCGTGGTAACATTTAACTAATGTCTTGGTAAATTATACTCTTGGACGTGTACAATGAAAGAATTGTTAGACAGTGGTTGGGTAAATCCAGTTTCCTTAACCCATCACTTGGGTAATAATACGGTGATTTTAACTTTTTGCCTGTGCTGCTGGGACTTGTAGTTAACGTTGGGTACTATTTTACCCTTTTCATGTGTAACACATTTGACACAAGTAGGAGGTACAAGCGAAATTTTCATTTTGCTCAATATTGGGCAGAAATGACACAATATTTTTACACAACAGATTTACACAACATAAATTTACACTTCTTTTTTAGAGTGTGGCCACCACAAGAATCTCAGGTAGTTGCGATCTTCCACGTTGACGCCAACTTGATGGAACATGCTTTCGATGTCACAGGTGAAGGCGACGTGGTCCTTCCGAAATCGGCAAAGAACCCCTGGCCAACAAGATTGTTGGTCATATCGGGTCCCTGCAGTAGGTGTCGATTCAACACTTCACCCTCGTATTCAGCACTGCAGTCGAAGACGACTCTGATCTTGTTTGGTTTCTTGGGATGGTCAAGTTCCTCGTCCGGAACCTTCTCTGCGTAGCCCTTTTCGATGATGTTTTCCATGAAGGTCTTGTAATCATCTCGATATTTTTGGTTGCTCAACATCTTCATTTTTTGCTTGTTGAGCCGCTTCAGAGCTACTGGCTTGTTGTTGGGGAGCTGGACATCTGTTTTGAGTGGGAGGGGCATCTCAAAGTGGCCATCATCACGTCTGTGGATACCATCCTTCATCTTCTGCATGAACTTTCGGTCATCGTGGGAAACCATTTCTTCGGTGTCTTTCCCGATGAAGTCCATCTCGAACATTTTTGTGACTTGGAGGGGGCTGACTTCTTTCACCTGGGTGCGAAAGGCGAAGTGGCCTTGTTGCTCCTTTGATGCATTCGAAATTCTGCATACATTGTTGCCACCGTTGTCATGACGCATCATTCCTATCACTCCCCATCCAAGGGCTGTTCTGACTGCATATGGGGCATCTTCCTCTTCATGGACGACATCTCTCTCGGCTTGATTGCGCGAGTTGCATTGCAGCCAATCAAAAGTCCGATCTCGGTTTCACTCAGGTAGGGAGGTAGCAGGTTGGCGACTCGTTTCAAGTGAGGCCACTCCTTTACGGTGTCCAACTTCGGAATCTGCTCACGGTTTGCATTGATAGATTCTCTGGAGTAGGCGCCTGGTAATTGTATCTCGGTGTCCTCGGACAATCCCTTGACAGTTAGGCCATGCACCTTTCTGGATGATATAGTGCCCTTCGCTAATATGGTAGACAGACTCAGCTGGACTGCCTCTCCATCGATTCCGAGCCTTTCTAGTGTCCAATCTGAGACGAAGCAAGAATCGGAATGTTCATCTAATAGGGCGTATACTATCACCTTCGCAGAGGGTTCTTTGATGTGATGAACGACGACGGGAACGATGAGAGTGTGTGAGCAATTTTCTCCGACGTCAAGTGTCTGCACTCGATGTGTGGTAGATTGAACAACAACCACTTCTTTGTCATCGGTGTCATCTTTGGTCTGCACATCTGGAGTGGACTTGGAGAAGTCGTGCAGCAAAGTAGGGTGGGAGCGCCCACAGACTGCACACTGCTTCTTGTGGCGACACTCGCGACTTCTGTGACCCCATTGAGACATCCAAAGCAAAGGCCGCTCTTCTTGATGAGGTCATGCCTTTCATTAAGGCTCATGGCTGCAAAACTGCTACAGGAATCGAGTTGATGTTGGCTCTTGCAGAGGGGACATGTTGATGCCTTGTTTGCATTGGGTGAAGGGAGGGTGTTGCCCTTTAGGGGGCTAGTCTTCTTCTTCGTTGTGAGCTCATCTGCCTTTGAGGCAAATGTCGTGGCTGTTCCCGACTTCGTAGGTTTGACAAATTTTGTCAATTCCCTCTTCTCGTCCATCGGTTTTTGGTGAAAGGGGCTACAGGCAATGCGAGCCTCCTTTGCGATGAATTTGCACAGCTCGGCAAAGGGCGGGTAGTCACCTTCCTCTGCATCCTTCTGGCCATACATGCACTGGTCGACGAAACGAAGCCAACGACCCTGCACCTGCCTCGGTAGCTTCTCTATAATTTTCTTGTGCTGGGCTGGGTCGCCAAGAACCTTTAACTGGCTCAGAGTTGACATGGCTGTTTCGCACTGGAAAAGGAATTCTGAGAGATTACGCAGTCCTTTTCCATCGTCTTGCTTCACGGTCGGCCATTTGCTTATTTTCTCACGATAGGTGCTTGCAGCTAGCATCTTGTTACCGTACCGCTCAGTCAGGAGTTTCTTCGCTTTCTGGTATGCGTTCTCACTGTTCAAGGCGAGAAGTCCTTTGATACACTCTCGGGCCTCACCAGACGTGTATCTGCCTAAATAGTATAGGCGGTCGATTGGTGATGTGTAGCGCTGCTCTACCAGGACGGAAAAGGAATTCATCCACACGGGGAAGTCGAATACACTGCCTTTGAAGATTTCTGGTTCTTTCTTAGGCAATTTCTCCTCCCGGTGTGTGAGCACATCTGCCAGTGCTGTGATGGCACTTGCCACATCGTTGCGGGGTACATCACTGGTCTGTGGTGGGAGAACTGCGTCAGATGAATCCGACATTCCAGTAGGTGGAGTAGACATAGGGGGTGGGGTTTTAGGGAAATTGTCACCATCATTCTGTGTGTCTCGAAAGGTATTCAAAGTCCCATGTTCTAGTTTGCGAGCACGATGTTGTGGACTATCGTTTGGTGCGTTCTCAGCTTCTGCCTCGGTAAATGGCCCATCAATTATTGGGGGGAGGTCATTTACATCATTCAACTCTGGCTTATGCTGCTGAGGGGACTCACCATCAAACTTGTCCAAAACTTCAAGTCTTGCGCTGCTCACATTGATCTCTGTCTGGAGTCTCAGCTGATTCGCTCGTCTTTGAAGTTCCAGTCGTGACATCTCTATCTGCTGCATGAGTCGTTGATTTTCCATTTCTAATGTTCGTTTTGATATCTCCAACTCATGTGCTTCATTGATAGCTGCAGACCGAGCAGTAAGCTCTGCTCTCTTCTGCTCCTCTGTTATACGAAGCAGCTCTGTGTTCGAGTGTCTTGAGCTGGCTCTCGAACTGCGACTGCCATGGCTGAGAACTGAAGCCGAATCACCAAGCTGTATATCATCCGTGTGACCGTGTCTGACATCTTATCCCAACTCTGCAATCGCCACAGTCATACTTGGTAATAAATAAGCCAGGAATATACAGTGTTGAACTTGAGACAGTGTTGTTAACTACAACCGCCACACTTAGGATCAAAAGTAGGACATGTTTTTCTGACACGTCGTAATAGAAATAAATTGTTTGCATCCGACGGAAGAAACGATGGTGGTTGATCACCAAGCTATTTAATCAACAGAAATCCTCCATAATTTGAAACATTCAAATCAGCCCTTAAAACACACTTGTTGACACGAAAGTCTGTGTTATGTTATCTTGGTGTCTTGTTCTTGTGCAGCGCATTGGGTGCGCAATTAAACGCATCGGGGTTTTTTGTATTAATATTATTATTGTAATCTATGTGACCTTCTTTTCATAAAATGGCCGCTGAGTGAGACACCTCGGGCACTGCACAGGTTGTCGACCATTATGGGAAAATTTCCAATGTGATTGCAGGAAAGGTGCGTACACAATGAAAACCCATGCATGCATGCTGTAATTAACTTTATAAGATGCATGACCTGATCCTATAGGCAAATACTGCACTGTAAAACTTAAAAGCCATATGTTAAACAATGTTTTTATGCATCGACCAACTATAGCGTACATTACATGTACATTATAATTACGTACACTTGAAGGAAATTCAAGTTAGCCGGGAAGCAAGTGCATGAAGGTCTAGTAATCTGAACTTTCGAAATGCTAAAAGCTAGTATGCAAGCTCACAATTCAAAACAATTTCAGTTGTTGGAATTGAACGGGGAATTTAGCCCGAGGGTTACACTAGTCCCACGAGTTCAACTCCAAGCTCCGATGAAATATGATTCGGTATAACAGGTCTTAACCAAAATAATGTTTTAACACTTACATAGTAGTTCCCCCTCACGTCGTTCGGTTACGCGTATAGGTCGTGATGACGTGATGACAAAGGCAAAATTAATATGCGTTGGACTGTGACCCTTGATCTCCATTATATATGGAGATCAATGGCCGTGACCGCGTGACCGAGGTTATACGACGGCTGTTTGATGCTGTAGAAATTACCAATAGATGAGAGGCAAGTAAATAGTACGGAAGCGTTAAAGGGACATAGGCCTAATACAAAAAGAAAAGAAAAAAAGAACTAAGTCATAATTATGACTTATATCTCACAATTATGACTTAGTATTAAGTCACAATTATGACATATATCTCACAATTATGACTTAGTATTAAGTCAAATTACGATTTATATCTCATAATTATTACTTATTATTAAGTCATAATTATGACATATCTCATAATTATGACTTAGTATTAAGTCATAATTATGACTTATATCTCATAGTAATGACTTAGTATTAAGTCATAATTACGAATTATATCTCAAAATAATGACTTATTATTAAGTCATAACTATGACTTATATCTCATAATTATGACTTAGTATTAAGTCATAATTACGACTTAAATACCTCTTTTGTGTTTCTTCTCCCAACCCTGCATGCTTGCAAGCAAAGATCTTGAAGCGCCGAAGGCGCAAGATGGGGAACTCCATAGAAATTGCGAAATCGTCATGGACGCCATTCCAGTAAGCAAACCATTGTGAAAACAATGGCTTACGCAATGGTTTGCTTGCTCGAATGGCGTCCATGGCGATTTCGCAAGTTCTATGGAGTTCCCCATCTTGCGCCTTCGGCGCTATAAGATCTACTATAAGTCCCTACATGTTGTTTCTTGTATCTCTGTCATTTTGCCTTTAAAGACCTTAATTGTTAAGATCGACACGTCAGGCGGCCTTAAACTTTTAGAAATAACTCAATGTAATACAATTCTCAATAATTTTTGGGGATTTATTTTCAATCTCCTCTGCTAGACAATGTCAAACCATAAATTACATTATTCAAACTTTTAACATCCAAAAACTTCTTCAGATTATTTTTCAGTAGGTATACTTTGCTGATTTGTTCGGTGACAATGTTTTAATGGTCTGGAAATCCTAGTGATGGTATTATGCATGTATCATGAAGAAGCACTAATTTGAAGGGGTAGCCTGTGAGTTCTGTCAAACAAAAAACTAGCCAGATCTTTATACACAAATGTTTCTGTATACCAAATTCTACAGATCGAAAAAGTAGCAGTTGTTGATTTCCTCCATGTTCTCTTCCCCTGCTTCAAGCCGGGTTGCGCTGTTAAGCTGACATTCCCAATCGCCTCTGCTGTTCTTCAAAACATTGAAAGAGCGGCATCGGGGCTGGGAACGGCAAGCCTTACCGCACGACACGACACCCCGAATGGGGAGCTTCGTCAAAATGTGGCCCACCAGACATTTCGGAGACACGCTGCCGTCTGCTTCAGTCGTCAAACAGAACGTCGCTGGACCGTTACTGCGAGGGATGTGGTACTCGCATGCTACGTATCTACGTAGCTCGCAATCTTGATCGTCCCACTGTCCGTTCAAGCGGAGACCGAGCACCCCGCAATCTCCACCCGCGACGTTATCCGGTTGGCCAGCTTTCCAGTTCTCGTACAGACTGTGGTTTCCTCCTTTTAACGGACACTGCTTCCATGTGCCCTCCTCTGCGATGTCATTGCAGTCGATCCAGAGACTTACCTATACCTATGGATTGTTATCGAAAGTTTGCAGGAACAACTCCCACAGGAATTTTTGTTCAGGTGCAGAGTTGGGACGGCTAGACTAGCGTCCATTTCCCTGCAAGACTGGTCTGCTTCGTGCCAGCTCATCCGTTGCGTCATCATGACGTAGCAGGAGTCACCAAAGCGCTGCCATTCTGGTGGGCACAGAGAGGCGAAAACAAAGACATGCCCGACGCCCACGGAGCAAAGTTACCGCAGGACGCATCTTAGCGCTGGAAACGGTTGAAGCAAAAACACTGGAACCGTTCTTCTAAGTCGTCTTCTGCAAAATAACGCCACTGAACGACCGCACACCAAAATGCTATTCCTGATTACGGTGAAGCATGATGTAAACACTTGACATTGAGCAATTACGAGCGTTTCATCACATGCCAACCTTCATTCTTTGATTGGTAATCTCAGGGTTGGTCACCAAAATGCTTTGTCCGTGATGGCAGGATCAATATTATTGTTTTCCACATGATCCACTGACGTTTTATTTTACTTGACTAGAAACTATCCTCCCACCCCAGTGTCCAATTGATGTACCTTAATTGGTATACGCGGTTGGTTTGGTTGAAGTGCCACAGTTAATAACCAACGTTGTGCTCGAAAGAATGGCGTAATAAATGCCCTTGGGTCAACATCTGAAAGGAAACTGTCGCCATATTTGAAGAAAAACATCGGAGGGTGATCCAATTATCAACAAATATTCCTCCATTCAGTAATTAACTAATACATGTAGTTACAAAATATTTTTTTAAGAGTGGAAACATTGACAGTTACAAGAATATACTACCTGTACATCTAAAATTCTTAACGCGGCACTGTGTACTGTACTACTATACTGCGCAGGACTTGCTGTAATTGTCATAAGACTGTCATTTTGCAGTGCAAACGAGATCCAAGTCAACTAGTTTTCTGGCTTCAAACGCTTTCCATGAAGGATTTCGTAGAATGGCCGTGCCTCGTTTATTAATTCACGAAGTACCTGCGGCAGACCACTCAGATCGACGGGCTTGGGGTCGGTGACGATCCACCCCGAACTATTGAGGGCGTTATCGTAAGCCCCGTTAGCCCTGTGGAGGGTGAGCATGGCCTTGGAGTTGTTCCAAGGAATCTCCGTGATGGGCTCCCACTTGAGGAGAGATTCTCGGAACGGGAGGTCCAGGGCCTTGCAGAACGCACGCAGCATCTTCTCAGGGTCTCGCTGGAGGTCATCTGCATCTAAGATCACGGGAGGTTTACCCAGCCAAGATTCCAGATGCTCTGCCAACTTGACCAGGTCTCCGAATCCAGAGCCCTGGACGCCCGTCGTACTGATTTGCACGAACTGATCCGTCGTTATCCCCGTGCGCTCACTCAGTCGCATGTTAGAACTGACGGTCTTTTCCGGGTTGCGGATGATGAACGCGTGCGTGTAACCGGTCGGCAGTTTGTCGTACCGCCCCGTTACGGCAGCAGCGTGGTCTTTGACGAAAACCAGATCTGTGGTTGGATAATCAGCCTCTAGGAGCGTCTTGACGTCATCATACGTCATCTCGTCATCCACAGGGAACGGCACGGGCAAATGAATGGTGCTTTCCGGGCCGAAAGTGGCTGCTCCTGCGTACAGCTCATTGAAGACTTCCACGTTGCCATAGTTACCAAAGCTCATCACCATGGCAGTAGACAAGCAACGCGTAGTGGACCAAAGAGCGAGTCGTTTGGGTTTAGAATCAGCCATTTTCAGCAACTCACTGTAAAAAAAGAAGGAACAAACGCCGAATTGGACAGTGAATACTAAAATGTTCATGACCTGATACTATCCCTAACAGTCCTGAATCCTCCAATTTTAATATGATTTTACGCACACCCTGGGGAGTTGGGATCAGAAATTTAAGACAATATGTTCTGGGCCAAAATGATCTATAGAGAAGAGTCAGTCTGACTCGGGAACTGTGCTAGGTCTGTACAATGCATGGACAGTACATGTACTTGCATTATAATAGTGACACCTTAAAGCCAACGCCTAAAAGAAACTTCCTTCAGAAAAATTCGAGAAAAAAAACATGGCTAGTTGAACACGCTTTTGTAGTTAAAAGTTTTGTCTGAAGAAAAATCTCACTGAGATTTCAGATCGTGGTCACATCTCTTCAAGCGCGGCGCGGGTAAATTTTTAATTTTAAATCACGACGTCAACCGTGTTGTACTAAATGGTAAACAACTTGATCCTAAATAACTGTTTACCAATGGAATTTAATCAAAATTTCAGATCATGTAAATTAAAGCATGATGTACTTTACAGAGTTCCATCAGCGTTGTTCAAGAGGATGAGATTTAAACGCCATACGCAAAATATATACTCTCTTGCAGAATGCTGATAAAGAGCTGGTGCCGGATGGTGCGTACGTGCTGCGGTCGAAAATTTCTGAAGGAATGCAATGGAGGATCACCTCTGATGTCATTGCACATCTCCTTGATCGTGTACTGCACCAAACGATCGAGGTGTACAATGACATCTGGGGTGATCCTGCATTCCTACAGAAGCTTTCGGCCGCAGCACGCGCCTTCTGCCACCGTCTCCAGCGACCGATGTTGGGGGACGCCAAGTCGAAAGTAGCAGATTCAATATTTCGAAAGTGGGCATTTTGTTTTTCGTATGGCGTTTTTAGGCCTAGATATCATCCACATGCACAAAACTGATGAATCTCGCTCCGTAAAAATTTGTCGTGCCTTGTTTACATTTTACATTATGACATTTTGGTTTAATTGGTTTAATAAACAACAAAGTTACTTAGTGTGGCGGTTGTAGTTAACAACACTGTTTCAAGTTCAACACTGTATATTCCTGGCTTATTTATTACCAAGTATGACTGTGGCGATTGCAGAGTTCACGTAAAAACTGCAACAAAGCAAAAACAAAACTAACTCTAATTAGAATACAAGGTATCTTAAAATAAAGGAAAATCACTAATCTAAAATGTGCATCAAAAATAGTAGCAATAAACCCTCGAAAATGTAAGGTCAAAGGTCATCTTAACGGTGAAAGTGCACTTAACAAAAATCATCTGATGCAAATAATGTAACGAAAATCTAGCCCTAAATTTACCCAAATCACACTTATGTAGCACAGAAACTGCAATAATATAAAGTTCTCTAATAATCAAACTTTGTTTACCTCTGTCCTCGGGTCCTGGGGTGGAAGGATGATCGAATTATACGGAGTCAAAATACGAGTCAAAAATTTAGGACACAGACATGTGTCATCAATAAGGACCATGAATCTGTGGTAGCAATGAAGAGCGCCCTCATGAGTTGTGAAGAGCGCCACCATGTGGTAAGCTTGGAATAACTCACCAGCAGTTACATGGCTCCCCTAATTTGACTTTCAAATTACTTAACAACATTAACAATTTTAACATTAAACTTGACTAAAGGCGCAAAACTGGAAATGGTAACTACTATACTACTGAGAATGTGAACACTACGTGGCTCCTTTAAGTACAGTTCATGTATCGGCTCAAGTTCAGGCATTTGGCTCCTCGTCGGGGCGTCCCTGGTCCAACAGTAGTACAACCTTATGGATAGGCCTCTCGAAGACAGATCGACCAGTTTGGAGCTTGACCTTCCTGATGTGACCGTCTGAGCTTGGGTACGTCTCAACCACACGAGCGAGTTGCCACTGGCATCGGGGAGTGGAGTCGTCGACCATCATGACGATGTTGCCTACCTCCAGATTCTGCTGAGCCTTCTGCCACTTCTTCCGCTCTTGTAGGGTCGACAAATACTCAGTCTTCCAACGTGACCAGAACTGGTTGGCCAGGTACTGGACTCTGCGCCATCGGCGTCGGCAATAAAGATCTTGTTGGATGAAGACTCCTGGCGGAGGGAGAACTACCTTGCTTTTCAGCATTAGCAGTTGGCTTGGCGTGAGGGGCTCTTCTGAATCTGGGGCCACCATGTCAACGTAGGTGAGAGGTCGGCTGTTCACAATTGCTTCAGCCTCGGTCATGAGGGTCCTCAAGAGCTCATCATCCAGTTGTTGCCCATGTTTCTGCAGCAATGTTGAGAGCGCCTGTCTGATTGAACGGATGAGCCTTTCCCATGTGCCTCCCATGTGACTGGCTGTGGGAACGTTCATATTGAATGTCACCCAATCACAACTGTCCTTTAGCAGCTCTTGAGATATCTTCGGTTGATCCATCTCGACTAGGGCAGCGTCCAGTTCATTCTTTCCACCGATGAAGTTCGTGCCTCTATCGGAGCGGAGTTGTCTCACTGGACCCCTTCTACATGTGAATCTGCGGTAGGCATTCAACAATGAGTCGGTGTTCAGCGAATTAGCTGTCTCTCAATATGGACTGTGCGGGATGCCATACAGGTGAAGATGACCCCCCATCTTTTTAGCTCCTTTCGTCCTTCTTTAATCATGAAGGGACCAAAAGTAGTCTACAGCGCTATAGGTGAAGGGTGCGGATGGATCCAATCTGTTCTTGGGTAGTTCTGCCATCTTCTGCCCACAGGGAGCACGTCTGAGTTTGCAGCAGGTCACGCACTTCCAAATATGGCTGGTAACAGCTGATCTTGCCCCCAGAATCCAAAAGCCAGCTTGGCGAATGCTATTCAGTGTCATGCCACGGCCTGAGTGACAACTCTGAACATGGTAGTGTTTAATCACCAGGTCAGTCACGTGGCCATGACGTGGAAGCAAGATGGGATGCTTGATCTCTTTAGGTGCTTTGGCTTGCTTGATGCGTCCACCGACTCTCAACAGCTTCGTTTCATCTATGACTGGGTCAAGCATATACAGAGGACTGCTCTTGTTCAGGGGGTTTCCTGGGCCTTGCTGCTCGCCATTAGGAAGACCATCGGGTTTGCTGAGGGCTCGAATTTCCTTTGGAAATGCTTCCTCTTGAGTTAGCCTCAGTATCAGTCGTTCTGCATGCTGGAGTTCGTCTACAGTGAGGGGGGTGTTGGCATCAGGTGCAGTAGTAGCTGTTTTGAAGCAGCGATCTCTAAGCTTCTTCATGTAGCGTTGGCACAATGCTACTGCACGTTTCAGGCGAAACCAGTTTGAGTAGGACTGGAATCTTTCAAGCATGCTCGGGTAGTTGGAGGCCTCAGTGTGGACATTGAATGCAGATGCCTTCTTCACCTCTGGGTCGTTTGAACTTGGCTCCACGTACTCAGTGTCAGGTGGAGGGGTTTCTCTTTCTTGCAGGAAACCTGGACCACTCCACCAGAGTTTGCTCTTGATGAGCGACTCGGCAGAAAGACCTCGGGAAGCTGCATCTGCTGGGTTAGTTTTAGTATCAACATGTCGCCAATCTTCAGGTGTGGTGTGATCTCTGATCTTCTGCACGCGGTTGGCGACGAATATGTGGAACCTCTTGCTGTCATTGGCAATATACCTGAGTACGACTCTGCTATCAGTGTAGTAGAACTGAGTCACATCGCTATACTCTAGTTCCTTCATGAGGAAAGTACTGACTTTCACCGAGATGACGGCTGCTGTAAGTTCCAGTCGAGGGATGGTAACTGGCTTCGAAGGAGTTACTCTGGACTTTCCCATGACCAGAGTTGTACATACACTTCCTTTGTCGTCTATCAGTCGCAAGTAGCTACACTGACCATAGCCTTCGGTACTGGCATCGGAGAAGTGATGCAGTTCTGCTGACTTGATGACATCAAACTTCTCAGGCTTGTAGCATCGTGGGATATTCAGTGATGCCAAATGCAGGATGTCGTTCCTCCATTTCTCCCACTCTGATCTGATTTCCTCTGAGATTGGGTCGTCCCATGCATACCCATCACGACACAAGGTTTGGAGAATGCGTTTTCCAACAAGCAAGACTGGTGCTACCAGACCAGGTGGATCAAATATGGAGCTGACGCTCGACATGATGCCGCGACGAGTGGGTGGTTTGTCGTTGAAGTGGACTCTGAACTGGAAAGCATCGGATTCAACACACCACTGTACACCTAGAGTACGCTCGATGGGAAGGCCTTCTGAGAACACGTCAACGTTCTGAACATCCTTGGCTCGTTCACTGAGAGGTATGGAATTCACAACCACCTTGTCATTGGAGATGAACTTATGAAGGTGAAATCCACTCTTCTGACACAGCCGTCTGCTGTCTTCTATCAACTTCAGGGCTTCATCGGAAGTTGGGACTGACTTTAGTCCATCATCGACGTAGAAGTCCTTCCGTATGAAGTCGGCTGCCGCCGTCCCACAACTATCTTCGTATGCATCAGCAGCACACTTCAGTGCAAAATTTGCACAAGATGGGGAAGAGGTAGCGCCGAACAAGTGAACCGTCATTCGATATTCATTTGGGGACCGGTTCATGTCACCTCCTGCACTCTAAAAAATAGTTGCTCAATATTGGGTAAAATTACTACCTTTTCGAGAGTAAAAAGGGAACATGGTCGTCAACTTGTGTACTTTTTTTTACACAACAGCTAAAGTGTAGAAAAGTACCCATTTCTGTGTAACTTTTACCCATAATTGTGTTACGTGTTTGCACAACAAAGTTGGGTAAGAAAGTTTACCGTATTCAGCACTGCAGTCGAAGACGACTCTGATCTTGTTTGGTTTCTTGGGATGGTATACCCCGTGATGAGGTATGTACCACACGGCCTTGTTGTCCAGGTCAAGTTCCTCGTCCGGAACCTTCTCTGCGTAGCCCTTTTCGATGATGTTTTCCATGAAGGTCTTGTAATCATCTCGATATTTTTGGTTGCTCAACATCTTCATTTTTTGCTTGTTGAGCCGCTTCAGAGCTACTGGCTTGTTGTTGGGGAGCTGGACATCTGTTTTGAGTGGGAGGGGCATCTCAAAGTGGCCATCATCACGTCTGTGGATACCATCCTTCATCTTCTGCATGAACTTTCGGTCATCGTGGGAAACCATTTCTTCGGTGTCTTTCCCGATGAAGTCCATCTCGAACATTTTTGTGACTTGGAGGGGGCTGACTTCTTTCACCTGGGTGCGAAAGGCGAAGTGGCCTTGTTGCTCCTTTGATGCATTCGAAATTCTGCATACATTGTTGCCACCGTTGTCATGACGCATCATTCCTATCACTCCCCATCCAAGGGCTGTTCTGACTGCATATGGGGCATCTTCCTCTTCATGGACGACATCTCTCGGCTTGATTGCGCGAGTTGCATTGCAGCCAATCAAAAGTCCGATCTCGGTTTCACTCAGGTAGGGAGGTAGCAGGTTGGCGACTCGTTTCAAGTGAGGCCACTCCTTTACGGTGTCCAACTTCGGAATCTGCTCACGGTTTGCATTGATAGATTCTCTGGAGTAGGCGCCTGGTAATTGTATCTCGGTGTCCTCGGACAATCCCTTGACAGTTAGGCCATGCACCTTTCTGGATGATATAGTCCCTTCGCTAATATGGTAGACAGACTCAGCTGGACTGCCTCTCCATCGATTCCGAGCCTTTCTAGTGTCCAATCTGAGACGAAGCAAGAATCGGAATGTTCATCTAATAGGGCGTATACTATCACCTTCGCAGAGGGTTCTTTGATGTGATGAACGACGACGGGAACGATGAGAGTGTGTGAGCAATTTTCTCCGACGTCAAGTGTCTGCACTCGATGTGTGGTAGATTGAACAACAACCACTTCTTTGTCATCGGTGTCATCTTTGGTCTGCACATCTGGAGTGGACTTGGAGAAGTCGTGCAGCAAAGTAGGGTGGGAGCGCCCACAGACTGCACACTGCTTCTTGTGGCGACACTCGCGACTTCTGTGACCCCATTGAGACATCCAAAGCAAAGGCCGCTCTTCTTGATGAGGTCATGCCTTTCATTAAGGCTCATGGCTGCAAAACTGCTACAGGAATCGAGTTGATGTTGGCTCTTGCAGAGGGGACATGTTAATGCCTTGTTTGCATTGGGTGAAGGGAGGGTGTTGCCCTTTAGGGGGCTAGTCTTCTTCTTCGTTGTGAGCTCATCTGCCTTTGAGGCAAATGTCGTGGCTGTTCCCGACTTGGTAGGTTTGACAAATTTTGTCAATTCCCTCTTCTCGTCCATCGGTTTTTGGTGAAAGGGGCTACAGGCAATGCGAGCCTCCTTTGCGATGAATTTGCACAGCTCGGCAAAGGGCGGGTAGTCACCTTCTTCTGCATCCTTCTGGCCATACATGCACTGGTCGACGAAACGAAGCCAACGACCCTGCACCTGTCTCGGTAGCTTCTCTATAATTTTCTTGTGCTCGGCTGGGTCGTAAAGAACCTTTAACTGGCTCAGAGTTGACATGGCTGTTTCGCACTGGAAAAGGAATTCTGAGAGATTACGCAGTCCTTTTCCATCGTCTTGCTTCACGGTCGGCCGTTTGCTTATTTTCTCACGATAGGTGCTTGCAGCTAGCATCTTGTTACCGTACCGCTCAGTAAGGAGTTTCTTCGCTTTCTGGTATGCGTTCTCACTGTTCAAGGCGAGAAGTCCTTTGATACACTCTCGGGCCTCACCAGACGTGTATCTGCCTAAATAGTATAGGCGGTCGATTGGTGATGTGTAGCGCTGCTCTACCAGGACGGAAAAGGAATTCATCCACACGGGGAAGTCGAATACACTGCCTTTGAAGATTTCTGGTTCTTTCTTAGGCAATTTCTCCTCCCGGTGTGTGAGCACTTGCCACATCGTTGCGGGGTACATCACTGGTCTGTGGTGGGAGAACTGCGTCAGATGAATCTGACATTCCAGTAGGTGGAGTAGACATAGGGGGTGGGGTTTAAGGGAAATTGTCACCATCATTCTGTGTGTCTCGAAAGGTATTCAAAGTCCCATGTTCTAGTTTGCGAGCACGATGTTGTGGACTATCGTTTGGTGCGTTCTCAGCTTCTGCCTCGGTAAATGGCCCATCAATTATTGGGGGGAGGTCATTTACATCATTCAACTCTGGCTTATGCTGCTGAGGGGACTCACCATCAAACTTGTCCAAAACTTCAAGTCTTGCGCTGCTCACATTGATCTCTGTCTGGAGTCTCAGCTGATTCGCTCGTCTTTGAAGTTCCAGTCGTGACATCTCTATCTGCTGCATGAGTCGTTGATTTTCCATTTCTAATGTTCGTCTTGATATCTCCAACTCATGTGCTTCATTGATAGCTGCAGACCGAGCAGTAAGCTCTGCTCTCTTCTGCTCCTCTGTTATACGAAGCAGCTCTGTGTTCGAGTGTCTTGAGCTGGCTCTCGAACTGCGACTGCCATGGCTGAGAACTGAAGCCGAATCACCAAGCTGTATATCATCCGTGTCTGACATCTTATCCCAAGAAGAGTTTTTACTGTGGCGGTTGTAGTTAACAACACTGTTTCAAGTTCAACACTGTATATTCCTGGCTTATTTATTACCAAGTATATGACTGTGAACTCTGCAATCGCCACAGTCATACTTGGTAATAAATAAGCCAGGAATATACAGTGTTGAACTTGAAACAGTGTTGTTAACTACAACCGCCACACTTAGGATCAAAAGTAGGACATGTTTTTCTGACACGTCGTAATAGAAATAAATTGTTTGCATCCGACGGAAGAAACGATGGTGGTTGATCACCAAGCTATTTAATCAACAGAAATCCTCCATAATTTGAAACATTCAAATCAGCCCTTAAAACACACTTGTTGACACGAAAGTCTTTGTTATGTTATCTTGGTGTCTTGTTCTTGTGCAGCGCATTGGGTGCGCAATTAAACGCATCGGGGTTTTTTGTATTAATATTATTATTGTAATCTATGTGACCTTCTTTTCATAAAATGGCCGCTGAGTGAGACACCTCGGGCACTGCACAGGTTGTCGACCATTATGGGAAAATCTCCAATGTGATTGCAGGAAAGGTGCGTACACAATGAAAACCCATGCATGCATGCTGTAATTAACTTTATAAGATGCATGACCTAATCCTATAGGCAAATACTGCACTGTAAAACTTAAAAGCCATATGTTAAACAATGTTTTTATGCATCGACCAACTATAGCGTACATTACATGTACATTATAATACGGGCGATTCCCAATAGTGCGCCTCCAAGAGTTTGCAACGCGTTGGCCAATCACAATGCGCAAAATCTGTCGACCCAACGCCCGTTTGGAAAAGGTCGACTGATTTCGCGCATTGTGATTGGCCAACGCGCTGCAAACTCTTGGAGGCGCACTATTTGGAATCGCCCGTATTACGTACACTTGAAGGAAATTCAAGTTAGCCGGGAAGCAAGTGCATGAAGGTCTAGTAATCTGAACTTTCGAAATGCTAAAAGCTAGTATGCAAGCTCACAATTCAAAACAATTTCAGTTGTTGGAATTGAACGGGGAATTTAGCCCGAGGGTTACACTAGTCCCACGAGTTCAACTCCAAGCTCCCATGAAATTTGATTCAGAATAACAGGTTTTAACAAAAATAACGTTTTTACACTTACACAGTCGTTCCCCGTCACGTCGTTCGGTTACGCGTAGAGGTCGTGGTGACGTGATGACAAAGGCAAAATTAATATGCGTTGGACTGTGACCCTTGATCTCCATTATATATGGAGATCAATGGCCGTGACCGCGTGACCGAGGTTATACGACGGCTGTTTGATACTGTAGAAACTAGCAATAGTTGAGAGGCAAGCAAATAGTACGGTAGCGTAAAAGGGACATAATACAAACTAAAAAAAAAAGTAAGTCATAATTATGACTTACATCTCACAATTATGACTTATTATTCTATCTCATAATTAAGACTTAGTATTAAGTCATAATTACGACTTAAATACCTCTTTTGTGTTTCTTCTCCCAACCCTGCATGCTTGCAAGCAAAGATCTTATAGCGCCGAAGGCGCAAGATGGGGAACTCCATAGAAACTGCAAAATCGTCATGGACACTATTCCAGTAAGCAAACCATTGTGAAAACCATTGTTTGCACTAATGGTTTGCACAATGGTTTGCTTGCTCGAATGACGTCCAAGGCGATTTCGCAAGTTCTATGGAGTTCCCCCATCTTGCGACTTCGGCGCTATAAGATCTTTGCTTGCAAGTCCCTACATGTTGTTTCTTGAATCTCAGTCATTTTGCCTCTAAATATCTTGTTAAGATAGACACGTCAGGCGGCCTTAAACTTTTAGAAATAACTAAATGTAATACAATTCTCAATAATTTATTGGAATTTATTTTCAATCTCCTCTGCTAGACAATGTCAAACCGTAAATTACATTATTCAAACTCTTAACATCTAAAAACTTCTTCAGATTATTTTTTTTAAGTAGGTCCACTTTGCAGAATTGTTCGGTGACAATGTTTTAATGATCTGGAAATCCTAGTGATGGAATTATGCATGTATCATGAAGAAGCACTAATTTGTAGGGTAGCCTGTGAGTTCTGTCAAACAAAAGATAGCCAGATCTAAATACACAAAATGTATCTGTAAACCAAATTCTACAGATCGAAAAAGTAGCAGTTGTTGATTTCCTCCATGTTCTCTTCCCCTGCTTCAAGCCGGGTTGCGCTGTTAAGCTGACATTCCCAATCGCCTCTGCTGTTCTTCAGGACGTTGAAAGAGCGGCATCGGGGCCTGGAACGGCAAGCCTTACCGCACGACACGACACCCCAGATGGGGAGCTTCCTCAAAATGTGGCCCACCAGACATTTCGGAGACATGCTGCCCTCTGCTTCAGTCGTCAAACAGAACGTCGCTGGACCGTTACTGCGAGGGATGTGGTACTCGCATGCTACGTGTCTACGTAGCCCGCAATCTTGATCGTCCCACTGTCCGTTCAAGCGGAGACCGAGCACCCCGCAATCTCCACCTGCGACGTTATCCGGTTGGCCGGCTTTCCAGTTCTCGTACAGACTGTGGTTTCCTCCTTTTAACGGACACTGCTTCCATGTGCCCTCCTCTGCGATGTCATTGCAACCGATCCAGAGACTTACCTCTGGATTGTTATCGAAAGTTTGCAGGAACAACTCCCACATGAATTTTTGTTCAGGTGCAGAGTTGGGAACGGCTAGACTAGCGTCCATTTCCCTGCAAGACTGGTCTGCTTCGTGCCAGCTCATCCGTTGCGTCATCATGACGTAGCAGGAGTCACCAAAGCGCTGCCATTCTGGTGGGCACAGAGAGGCGAAAACAAAAACATGCCCGACGCCCACAACAAGGAGCAAAGTTACCGCAAGACGCATCTTACTAGCGCCGGCAATTATTGTTGAAGCAAAAACACTGGAACCGTTCTTCTAAGTCGTCTTCTGCAAAATAACGCCACTGAACGACTGCACACCAAAATGCTATTCCTGATTATACGGTGAAGCAGGATGTAAACACTTGACATTGAGCAACGAGCGTTCCATCACATGCCAACCTTCATTCTTTGATTGGTAATCTCAGGGTTGGTCACCAAAATGCTTTGTCCGTGATGGCAGGATCAATATTATTGTTTTCCACATGATCCACTGACGTTTTATTTTACTTGACTAGAAACTATCCTCCCACCCCAGTGTCCAATCGATGTACCTTAATTGGTATACACGGTTGGTTTGGTTGCAGTGCCACAGTTAATAACCAACGTTGTGCTTGAAAGAATGGCGTAATAAATGCCCTTGGGTCAATACATACGCTGAAATGAAACTGTCGCCATATTTGAAGAAAAACATCGGAGGGCGATCCCAATATCAACAAATACCTCCATTTAGTAATAAGCTAATACATGTAGTTACAAAAAAATAATTAAGAGTGGAAACATAGACAGTTACAAGAATATACTACATCTGAAATTCTAAACGCAGTACGTGATTACTATACTACTATACTGCGTAGGCCTTGCTGTAATTGTCATAAGACTATCATTTTGCAGTGCAAACAAGATCCAAGTCAACTAGTTTTCTGGCTTCACACGCTTTCCATGAAGGATTTCGTAGAATGGCCGCGCCTCGTCGATTAATTCACGAAGTACCTGCGGCAGACCACTCAGATTGACGGGCTTGGGGTCGGTGACGATCCACCCCGAACTCTTGAGGGCGTTTTCGTAAGCCCCGTTAGCCTTGTGGACGGCGAGCATGGACTTGGAGTTGTTCCAAGGTATCTCCGTGATGGGCTCCCACTTGAGGAGAGATTCTCGGAACGGGAGGTCCAGGGCCTTGCAGAATGCACGCAGCATCTTCTCAGGGTCACGCTGGAGGTCATCTGCATCTAAGATCACGGGAGGTTTACCCAGCCAAGACTCAAGATGCTCTGCCAACTTGACCAGGTCTCCGAATCCGCCGCCCGTCATTCCCATCGATTTGACCATCTGCACGTACTGATCCGCAGTTATCCCCGAGCGCTCCGTGAGTCGCTTGCCGGAGCTGACGGTCTTCTCCGGGTTGCGGATGATGAAAGCGTGTGTGTAACCGGTCGGCAGTTTGTCGTACCGCCCCGTTACGGCACTGGCGTGGTCCTTGACGAAAATAAGATCTCTGGTTGGATAATCGGTCTCTAGGGACGTCTTGACTTGATCATACGTCATCTCGTCATCCACTTTTAACGGTACGGGCATCTTAACAGTGCTGTCTGGGCCGAAAGTAAAAGCTCCTGCGTACAGTTCATTGAAGACTTCCACGTTGCCATAGTTACCAAAGCTCATCACCATGGCAGTAGACAAGCAACGCCCAGTGGTCCACAGAGCGAGGCGTTTGGGTTTAGAATCAGCCATTTCAGCAACTCGCTGTAAAAAAAAAAAGAAGGAACAAACGCCGAATTGGACAGTGAATACCAAAATGTTCATGACCCGATACTATCCCTAACAGTCCTGAATCCTCCAATTTTAATATGATTTTACACACACCCTATATAGGAGTTAGGATCAGAAATTTAAGACAATGTTCTTGGCCAAAATGATTTAAAGAGAAGAGTCAGTCTGACTCGGGAACTGTGCTAGGTCTGTACAATGCATGGACAGTACATGTACTTGCATTATAATAGTGACAACTTAAAGCCAACACCTAAAAGAAACTTCCTTCAGAAAAATTCGAGAAAAAAAACATGGCTAGTCCAAGCATTGAACACGCTTTTCGTAGTTAAAAGTTTAGCCTGAAAAAAAATCTCACTGAGATTTCAGATTGTGGTCACATCTCTTCAAGCGCGGCGCTGGTCAATTTTTAATTTTAAATCACAAAGTCCACCGTGTTGTATTAAATGGTAAACAACTTGATCCTAAATAACTCTGTTGTTTTCCAATGGAATAAATCAAAATTTCAGATCATGTAAATTAAGACAAGATATACTTTATCAGCGTTGTGCAAGAGGGTGAGATTTAAACGCCATACGCAAAATATACACTCTCTTGCAGAATGCTGATACAGCGCTGGTGACAGATGGCGCGTGCTGCGGTCAAACATTTATGAAGGAATGCAATGGAGGATCACCCCTGATGTCATTGCGCATCTCCTCGATCGTTTGGCGCAACACACAATCGAGGAGGTGTGCAATGGCATCAGGGGTGATCCTGCATTCCTTCAGAAGCTTTTGGCCGCAGCACGCGCCTTCCGCCACCGTCTCCAGCGCTGTATCGACGTTGTGGCACGCCAAGTCGAAAGTGGCAGATTTTGAAAGTGGGTATTTTGTTTTTCGTATGGCGTTTAGATATCATCCTCATGCACAAAACTGATGAAACTCGCTCCGTAAAATTTGTCGTGCCTTGTTTACATTTTACATGATTTGAAATGTTGGTTTAATTAGTTTAATGGGTATTCAATAACACTTAACAGAGTTATTTAGGATCAAAAGTAGGACAATATTATGTTTTTGTGACACGTCGTAACAGAAATAAATTGTTTGCATCCGAAGGAAGAAACGAAAAATACGTAGCCAGCGTATGGTTGTTGATCACAAAGCTATTTTATCAACATAAATTCTCCATAATTTGGAACATTCAAATCAGCCCTTAAAACACACTTGTTCACACGAAAGTCTTTGTTATGTTATCTTGGTGTCTTGTTCTTGTGCAGCGCATTGGGTGTGCAATTAAACGCATCGCGGGTTTTTGTATTAATATTATTATTGTAATCTATGTGTCCTTCTTTTCATAAAATGGCCGCTGAGTGAGACACCTCGGGCACTGCACAGGTTGTCGACAGGGGAAAATTTCCATTGTGACTGCAGGAAAGGCGCGTATACAATGAAAACCCACTGCATGCATGCTGTAATTTGACCTGATCCCATAGGCATATACTGCGCTGTAAAACTAAAAAGCCATGTTTTACAATTTTGTATGCATCAACTACGCGTATATGACATGTACATTATAATTACACTTGAAGGAAATTCAAGTTAGCCGGGAAGCAAGTGCATGAAGGTTTGGTAATCTGGATTTTCGAAATGCTAAAAGTATGCAAGCTGACAAATCAAAACAATTTCCGATGTTGGAATTGAACGGGGAATTTAGCCCGAGGGTTCATCTAATAATAAGCCTACACACTATGGAATTCCCACACTAGCCCCACGAGTCCAACTCCAAGCTCCGACAAAATTTGATTCGATATTAAAATATATAAACCTAAATAATGTTTGTACACTTACACAGTCCTTCCCACTCACTTCGTTCGGTTAATAGTTCGTAGAGGTCGTGATGACAAAGGCAAAATTAATATGCGTTGGGCAAGCTGTGACTGTGACCGAGGTTATACGACGACTGTTTGATGCTGTAGAAACTAGCAATAGTTGAGAGGCAAGTAAACAGTGATGGCGTTCAACCGAAACATTAAATGCATTTCCTTTCAGTTAACAGTGTTCAATTTGTTAGTAATAAATAATCCATGTGTTTATAATGTACGTGCACTGCACACAGCCTTGATGTAAGAGTCGTATTGACAGTATTAAACACAAAATCCTCCTATCAATCAGCCTCATAATTAATGCATGTAAATATTATGTGACCTTTAAATTTTGGCTTAAAATTCTTTAACGAGGTTTTTTTATATGAAAACTCCAGGGCCCTGATTTTTTTTGAATAATTATGCAGGTTTTCAAGCACACACAGGTGAAAAATGAGGAGATGAGTAACATCATAAAGTTTCAAACAAAAACATAACAACAAACAGGACTTTGGAGGACAAAAGTCAGGATAAAAGTAGGACTTTCAGTGCAAACTTCAGGAGTTTTTTTTGTTACTGATGTCAACAACATTATAAAGCCTAATTTGGCATGTTCTGTACTCACAACACTTGTGTTCATCCTCAACTAAGCTCTTGGGAGTACAGTTGCAGTACTCCTGCGCCCAAGCCCTTCATTGTGGGACTTACCATGAGTAACACTTATGAATATGATTTCATTTTTCGGAGTTCTGGGACAAGAAAATGGGAAAAAGTAAGAATTTCAAGAAAAAAGTAGGAATAGTAGGAGTGTTGTTAAAAAAAGTGCAAAAAAAGTAGTGGAAATGATACTTGAAGCCTGAATAATGGGTTTGCCAACTTCAAACGTTAAGTTGCCTTTAGAAGTCATTATACTGATTGATTTAAGGTAAATTTAAACCCACTGGTTTTTTTTGGATTCATAGATCGAGGGTCAAGGTCATTATGGTTAAAAATAGAAATGCTTTAACTAGGATAACTCGAGAAAGACTTGTTCAGTCATATTGAACATGCGTCCTGAGTCACTAATACTTGGGTCAACATTGGTCAAGTGACCCATTGGTTTGTTAAAAGTATGCCAGGGGAAGTGGAAGGAAATTTGACCGTTTTGTGACCTTTTAAACAGCAGGAGGGTTAAGGGAAGATGTCTTTCATTTCATTTCTCAAAATAACGGATCAATTAAAAAAAATGATATGTTTTTGCTTATTTATTTCTGTCTAAAACAACAGTTCTTGCACAGTCCATATTACTTGTGAACTTATCTTTAAAAAAAACACATTAAATACAATTTCTTCATTCGCCAATGCACATTCATTGCATTTTCAACATTATCGGAATTTAAAAAAAATACTAAAAAAAGAAAAAGGTAGAAAAATTATAAGATACATTTTGATGATCCCCATTATGGCAATGCATAATTCAAAACTCGGTGGAAGTAGGAACTGCATAACACGACTGAAGCACCTCAGCCCCAAATCTGAAAATCTTAGCCCTTACCGTCCCAAATCCATTCAAATCCATCCCCCCCCCCCCCCCCTTTGGGGGATTTTGGTAGGCAAGCCATAAGTACCAAGTCTTGTGGCGGATTTGGTCCCAAAGCATTATGTGAAGCAGGGTCAGTGATGGATTTTGACAGACTTGGTCCAGTACTTAGTACATTTGTAAAAGACTCTCGGAAGTTAGGGTTTAATTGATGTGCTGTTTTTCTTTCCCTCTCCTTGTCTTGGCATGAGACCCCATATCTACCCATGTGACCCCATATCTACCCATGAGACCCCATATCTACCCATGTGACCCCAAATTTACCCATGTGACCCCATATATCTACCAATGTGACCCCATATCTACCCATGTGACCCCATATCTACCAATGTGACACCACATCTACCCATGTGACCCCATATCTACCCATGTGACACCATATCTACCCATGTGACCCCAAATTTACCCATGTGACCCCATATTTACCCATGTGACCCCATATCTACCAAAACTGAAGAGTATAGGATGCCAGCTCAATGTCATAAAACCTACAGGAGAACTATTGCTTAATTACATAGTGGCATCCAAGTAACTTGGTCAGGACCTGACCAAAATCTTTTGGTCGGAGTCCAAGACATCGACCAAAACTGAAACATGAGGTCAAAGACCAAGGCTTGAAGGTGGACGAGCAAGGCTGGAAGGACCAAGAAAAACACTGACACTGATACCAGGAGTCAAGACCAAGACCAACACCTTGAGACTTGCATCACTATCCCACAAACAAACCCAGGCAAGACACCACCCACTTGGAGAAGCCAGGCATCTCACTCTCATTTTCTAAGATCCCTTGGTTTTAATTTCCCGTATCTTCTCCAGCTTCTCCAGCTTGGCATCCTCACTCTTGTGCCAGTCCACCTTCTGAGTGTGTTGAGCCACTGCGTCTTGTACCCTCAGGTCGATCATCTCGCTGGTCAGGATACCGTCTTCCGATGCGTAGGCACTGGCCTGTGGGAACAAAAACAGGGCAGAAAAGAGTCAACACAACCAAAACACTTTGCAAAACCATTGGTAAGATTATATAGCTAGGGGGACATCTTCCTGAAAAAGGAAGGGAGAAAATATCCCCTGATTCACACTGTTTGGCAGACACTGTGCTCTACTCCAGGAATTTCAATTTGAAACTTCATCAGCCAGTGTTGACTGAGAAGGACTGATCGAGGAACGGAACCCAATACAGTCAAACACCTTTATAACAAAGTCCTTGGGACTTTACAGATTACCTTGTTATAACCAGATAACAGTTACCTTGTATTAACAGTACTGGAAAACATAGGAAAACAAAGAAAAACAAAGACTAGGGACCTAAAATATTGCTTGTTATAGGCAGGGTCTTGTATTAACATTGCTCTTCTTCTATCAGGGTTCGACTGTACATCTCTGACCGAGATGCAATATGCTTATTGGGAGTACTTCCCTGCAACTTTTCCAGTACTTTTTATTGACATTCCTCACTATAATCGATAATATTTCAATAATATCAGTACCACATCAACAAGCAGAAGTGTTACCCCTACCAGTTTGATAAAAGATATTAGCAGAGTGTAGGAAGTGGTGCCAGTCTACCATTGCCCTCCTTACATAGCGCCCTCTCGAATTAATGCACAAACCCAACAGAGCATTGAAAGTGACAAGTCATCAAGCTAAATTCTACTGAAAACCAGTTACTAGCAATACCCATATTGGCTGGTATCCTGACTTGGCTTAGCAAAACTTTACCACGCTAAGCAAGATCGGTTTCATGTAGGAAAGTGTGCTGATAACAAAGTTGCTTACCTGCCAAGCCACTCCCAGCTTAGCGATCTCTCTGCCGGACAGCCCCTTTGTCATCTCTGCAATCTTGGAACACTTTTCGTTGAAATCAAACTGGCCGACCTTTAACCTCCTGTGACAGAAAAAGGTCAAACGGTCATGGGTTACATACAACTGAAAATACAAATTCTCAATAGGCTGTTGTTTGAGTGAATGAGGACACTATAATGGCACCAACAGTAGAAATTTCACGTTCACTGAAGCAAAAATTGGCAGCTTTTAATCAGAGATGCCACAGGGTCTGCTTGAAAAAAACGGAACTGGGTCTGCTTGAAAAAAAAAACGGAACGGCTGCTTGAAAAAACCAGACTTTTTTGTGTGTGAAAAAGCCACTCCGTGTCCGACACAAAGTCCCCGTTGTCATCTTTATCTTGTAGCCAAGCCAAGTTCTGTTTATATTTTAATTTTGCTTCTATGGCCTTTAAAGCTGTCGGTTCGTTCAATCAATTCGACTTTTTCCATATTCCTAATATTTATTCTGCCTACCCGAATTTCCAACGTAATATTCGACACGAAACACGCACGATTCCACCACCCTGTTGAGTTCTGTCAGTGTACGTGATCGTTGCACTACGCGATGCGCTCAACGAAAACATGGTTGGTACGCGCATTTTTTGTATTCACATATTATATCACTGCGATCGGAAACCACCGATAGCTGAAATGATAGACTTGATTTCCAGGCTGAATGCTACGTGTGCTTAGCACACAACACGCCCGCAAGCGGTGAAGCACGCGCGAGGCGCCATTGTATACTGCGTGCAATTAAGTACGTTGGCCGCTTGTATCGCATGCAGGCTTGGCAACAACATACACACAGACTGTTTTTAAGACTACTGCAACAAACAACGTTGTGCGATGCGTGCGCCGAAATGTACTAAATCGAGGTAAAAATCAACGCATTTCCACAGTTTTTCTTCTCTTTTTCTGGTTAATTTGACGGCCGGAAAAACCGGAATTTTGTGAGATTTTTTTTAAAAACCGGAATTCCGGTTAAAACAGGAAAAGTGGCATCTCTGTTTAATACCTCAATGGGTAATTCCAGCATCACAGACATTACAGATCAGCCAATCTTTTTCCCACAGTGGTGTGAAACACGCCGTGGGCTGGAGCTGCTTATGTTGGTTGGTTGGTGGGTGGGGGGGGGGGGGGGTGGTGGGTTGGTGGGTGGGTGGACTGGTTGGTTGGTTGGTGGACAGTTTACTCGGGGTGTAATATACTGTTCCATGCCACGCGTGTATCACAGCTTTGCCAGTGAGTTTCTATGGAATACCTGCCGTTTTGTGACACTGATGCGCATGCGTCTAATTTGCATATTAGAGCACGCCCCATTGCATTGCGAAATTCATGGTTTACGGTTCGTGGAACTGCCGTGGGTTGTGCCACTTGGTACTCTATATACTTCAGGAGCTCAGTGAATAAACCTTCAAACATATTTTTCAAATCTTTTTCATCCATCATCTAGTGATGGTTGAGGATATTACAGACTAGGAGTTAGGGATCATTCCTTCGAATCATTGAAAAGATTACATGGTTCATTGGCGGTGTCACGGATGCTGTTGACTCTCGTTAATACAAAGTCAGCCGGACCTACCCAAAGTGTTTGTTATATCAGAATTGTGTATTAAGAGGAGCATCGGTCCCATTCATTGTGCACATAAATGCACAGTCGGAACCAAGGCTTCATGTTTGCTATAACTAGAATCTGTGTTAACAGAGTTCACATGGAGTACCGAAGTGTGACGTCATTTAGAACCAGAAAATGTAGTGCAAATGAATGGAGTACGCACGAGTGTTGGTTCACGGGCTGAATCACGCACTTAACTTTTACACACATTTTATGCGCGTGACATATTCACTTCAGTACTCCATTAACGGGAGTCGATTGTACATTTAAAGACAAAAGCTACGGCTAGCAGGGACAAGTGCGTCTATGAGAAGTGGCTACAGCGGCTTTCCATAGGAGCGTATGTAATCACAAGCCATAGCCAAGTAATACAGACGCGGCTTTACCTCTTTCCCTGGGTAGCTGGCTTGATGACGTAGCTGTCAAAGTACAGCCGCACCATGCGTTCTCTCTCCTCCAATCCCGGCAGCTGGAATGACACCATCTCGTCCAGACGATCGTTGATCGCCCAATCAAATTGCTCCGGCTGGTTGCTTGCAAGCACCAGCATAAACCTGAGGGAAAAATGCACGGAAGGTTGATCAAAAAAAAGTCCAAAAAATGACTCGTAATTTTGTTTTTTGGTGTGTTTCTTTTTAAGTTAAAACCAATTCAAAATTCCCTAAAACTATTAAGGTACTGTTGGAGGCAAGTCTTAAGAAAAACTGACAATTGGACACAAGCAGACAATTGTTTCAGTTCAGGAGGTAGGAATTCAAGTTTTTCAAAACAAGAACATTGAGTTTCAAGCAAGAACAGTACTTCAGATACATTCGCCAGGGACTTGAATCAGGATTTTGGTGTCAATATTGATTTTAAATCTCATAACGCATTTAGGTTGAGCCCGTATTAACAATGTCTATAAATATTAAGTGAACGTTTGACATGAACTACACAGAAACCAAAGTTGCTTACTTGTTAGACTGTTCACCAGTCCTGTACAGGAAGGCATTCAATGTACTTCTGACATCTTCACTAATGAGCTCCTGGAATAAAAAAAAAAGAAAAAAGAAAAATTGAGTCAGCCACAATTGGTAGAATATCGGGATGTCGTGGAGTCCCTCACAAGTCCAGTCACAAACAAAATTACAAGTCCTTTCACAAGTCCAGTCACAAGTAACAGTGGATGAACAATGACAAAGCAATGCCTTTGTCTAAGCTCATTTGAATAGCTTGTGAGTTGAATTGGGACTGGAGGACTTGTGATGGACTTGCAGGGACTTGTAATAGACTCGACTACATCCCTGACAGAAAAGTTATCGAGTCAGCCACACAAGTCAATCATAAATCATTCAGTTTTAAGTTCAGTCACAAGCTACCAAAACCACCTGTTACAAAGGCATTTTTCGGGCACAGGGCGCACTTTCTGTTTCATGTGAATTAACTTGCATTTTGAATTGTGACTGAGATTTATAGTACCATCAATGTTCGTGTTGAACTAATTTATATGAATACATTATTAGAGCGTTCAAGAAAACTTACTGTGCTTCTACGTCTTAAGAATGCATCAGCCTCATCAACAAAGAGGAGAACACTGGGAAAAAGAGAAAGCAAAAGAGACAAAAATGAGAGCAATGGTACATGTTACTTATTCGGTTCTGATCAAGTTTGGCAAGAACACTTTCTTTGTGTGTGTGTGGGGTTTTTTTTCAAGCCTGTTTTTAGCCTTGACCAAGGCTATCAGCTAGTTCCCATACGAACTTGTTCCCGCTACCGCACACCGCGCGCGCCGCGACACAATCACTAGTTGTACTATACCGTTAGCCTCAACGACCCTTGCGTGTGCTTTGTGTGCATGCACGTACGCCCCACACACACTTCCGCAAACAGCCGTACGTACAGCAAGTCGAGGCGGAAGATAGCCTTGACGCAACCGTGGCGAATTCTTATGTGTTTCTTTATAGTTTCGACCGAAATCGGCCGAAAATTTCTGATGCGCATATATTACACGATATCCAATCAAAGCCCGTAAACTTTGACCCGCGATATACATATTCATGACCCGCAAATTACTGTATACACCACGTACATGTATGTTCACTCAAACCATGGTCCCATTTTAAACCATTTCTCCAGTTTTATTACAAACAAATCAAATATGCCGCTATATGAGTGAACAATTGTTCAAAATGATATATTTCCAATGTATTGCGAATTGGACAGTTCAAGACAGTCCGCTGTCGTTTTGTCGGTGCAACAGCGTACATCATCACGCCGCTACCTGCCCGTGCTATTCTGACAGCGAATGTAGGGAACAGGTCAACTCGGACCCAGGTCAAATGGTACACATTTAATCGAATGCAGGTTAACTCGTATCTATAAGCACCCGTATGAATTAAGTGCAAGAAACGAGCTAGTGACTTTGGGATGGAAATATACGAAACTGTCAGGTACATGGTGAAAAAAAAACTCTCCCTGAATTCGTACCATGTGCAACATACATGTACATCTCATACGTACGACACATGTATTTTAACACGTACGTATTAATTGTATGTCGTACCTACGACATACGTACGACATGTAAGTCGTAGATGTAAATCGCACGAGATACAAGTCGTTCTCACAAGATATGTTGTATGTACGACATAATCGACAAACAAGTCGAACATACGAGTTACAATTCATATTTTGTACACACGAGATATTAAGCCGTACTTATACGACTTTGTCGTAAGCGACATATATCGTACCCTGTCGACTCGACTTATGCACAACATATATGTCGTACTGGCACCTGTCGACATTATGTCATATGTTTGATATGTCATACCCTGTCGACATGTATGTCGTACCCTGTCGAAATATGTCGTACCCTGTCGATATATTAGTCGTACATACGACATATAACTTATAAGTTGTTCATACAAGTTAAAATCAGTCTTACAGAATAAGTTTGCTGAAGGAGAGATACCCCCCCCCCCCCCAAAAAAAAGTCAGCGGTAGATACATACTCAATAGTGTGAGCGCTTTTTAGGCCGCTGAACGTGAAAGCGCAGCGTGTCTCACTGCATGGCGCCAGCCGGGCCGGTGCCTACAGTGGACGGCCCCAACGTGGCCTCTGTGCATGGTGACATCATTTTTGCCGGCGTGCGGTTTTGTACCGTTTGCCGTTTTTTGAAGGTCTAATTTTTCATCCTTTTCATTTCATTTTCGACCCAAACTATGTGTAACTTTATAAATATTATTCTACTATTATTTAAGATTTTAAGGGGGTGTTTTACAATAATTATTGTTACCACAGGCCGTCTGGTTTATAAACCTTTGGTCGTATTATGCAATTTAATAAATATTCATATTTTTGTCAGCCGTTATCCAATGAGAGAAGACTGTTTACCATAGCGCGAACTAATTATCATATTCAGCATACACGGTTGCGTCAAGGCTATCTTCTGCCTCGATTTACTGTACGGCTGTTTGCGGAAGTGAGTGTGGGGCGTACGTACATGCACACAAAGCACACGCAAGGGTCGTTGGGGCTAACGGTATATAGTACAACATTGTGTTGCTGCGCGCGCCGTGTGCGGTAGCGGGAACAAGCTCATATGGGAACAACTGATAGCCTTGGTCAAGGCTAGCCTGTTTTATGTAAGTGTTTGTTTGAGTGTATGTGTCTGTTGTTTTTTTAGCGAACAAATGCGAAGAAAAATGCTTAATTTGTGGAAAGTTTCATTTAGTGGACCGTACCATTATGCAAAAGGTTCCATCTTACACTCACCCTCTTCTACTTGTAGAGGCCCAATCAAAGAGTTTGTGCATTGCACTGACCCCCTCTTTGCCCATCGGAGCAACGTCCCCTCCGGTCATAATGGCATAGTCCATTCCTGAGTGAACAGCTAGTTTCTGCCAGGAAATCAAAAAATTATAGTAACATCTGTTACCATGGGGATAACAATGGTTCGGAATTCACAACAAAATGGTAGAAAATCATTAAAAACAAAAAGTTAAAATGAAAAATAATTTGTACCTTTGCAAATAACGTCTTGCCTGTTCCCGGCGGGCCGTACATGAGAATATTCCTATATAAACCTTTGTTAGATTTCGTGTTCCGTGTTGCTATGGCAATCTCACGTAGCCTCTCCTCAAGTGATGGCTGCAGAGAAACGATATTGACAAAATGTCAGACTAGCTCACACAAACTCAAATTACACTCTTGGTATACTAGCGTACCTTAAAAATGTATTGCAATGTTTAATTTAAAGGTAGTATAATTTTCAATATTTTGTGTCACAAAAATTTAGTTGAGGAACCTTAGTTTCAAAAAATGTATTAAAGGTTTTGAAAATCAGACATTTTTAAAATGTGAAAGTCCAAAAGAAGCCATCAGTAACAAAATTTAAAGCCTCTTAAAATCAACAAAATCCCTCAAATGCAAACGATTTAGAAGTATATTGAATCTATCTAAATACATTGCAAAATGGTATGTATCTAGATGCTGAACAGGCTTTGGTGAGAATCTTTGTAGATGTAGATGTAGATGTTTCTCTCCATAGAACTCGCCTTTAAAACAACCCCTCTCAGAGCATCTAGTGGTTTATTGATCAGCCTCTTTGTGGTCTTCACGGGATGTCGTAAAACTTCCAACGGCGTCAACCGTGAAGTTTCCCTGACTAGAGATGGCTTGCCCAGGCGGGCCTCAATGTACCTAGCAGCAACCCCTGTACCCATCTTGGCCGAGTAGACACCCAGCGCGATCAGCGTCAACCCTGCTGCCTGCAGATGAGAAAAGCGACAAATTAACAGATATTTCACAAATTTGACCAGATTTTAAATATCAGAAGACTATGAGAGAATAAGTGGGCTAAATCTTGAAGACAAGACAAAATTAACAATTCCTCTCCCAGACCCTTCAAATTCCAACAGGTTTTGGAGGATTTTCTAGGATTGGGGAAGATAGAGTGCAGCCATTTTTTCTCCACATTTACCACAGAGAATGTACTACTGGGTTCTTACAACATGCTAAATATTGGAGATTGCAGGAAAGTTCCTCGCGAAAAGCTAAAGTGAGTTTTGGTTAGAAGGCAGAGGAAAATTCAACAAGAAATGACTTACCGTTGCAGAGACTTTGTCCCAGTCCGATATAAAACTCTTCAGACCGTCGCCAATTATGCTTCCTGCAGTTCTGGGGAAAAAAGTACAGGACAACTTATTACGTTCGAAAGAACTCATGAGATTGAACATGCTCAGGCGCATTCCTCCCATGTCTCAATGTTTAAAGAAGTCCATTTTTTAATACAATTAACCAAAAAGGGATGTCATATAGTTTTCATACACTGAAGAGGAGCAGAAAGTTGCACAAAATGTGTTCCACAAAAATTTCACACATAACAAAGGGGAATTTTGTATTTTTTATACACACACCATTCAGTGCATGCCATATGTTCATCACCGTCTCACAAGTGTGGGCCGCATTAAACCATCTACAGTTCCAGCACAAGTCCATATGGAGGCTAGTTTACACTAATATGAGTAAAAAGGTTCATCTTTGTTTTTTCAAAGCAACTACTAACTTGATTGATTGCAGCACGGTCTCTCGATGTTCGGCCGCCTCTAGTCTGATCTGCTCCTTGCGTATATCCTTATTCTCCCTCTCTATCTTGGCTTTGCCTCGTAACTCCGCCTCCAGTTTCTTCATTTCATTCTTGTGCCGAAGCTCCGCCTCGTATTCTATGGTTGCTATGGTGATATAAATGTCAAAGGTTAATCTATCAAGCCAGTTAAATGGATACAGGGTGAAGTAACTCTGTTACTATATCTCTATATTCCTGCCTACTGAATGAACTGAAACTCCAATCTTCACCCTCCCAACCCCTTTAAAAAAATTAATAAAACATCCCATAAAAAATAGTTCACTTCATATGGGCTAACGTTTTGGTCTGGTAACCTGATACCCACTTTACTCTGTTCAGAATATATTGGACTTCAGACCAAGGGATCATGGCAGTCTACAACTTCATAACCCAACCCTCATTTGACCTTTGACCTGCCGCTTTGACCTCATGCTTACATCGTCTCATGCCCTCTTGTTTCTTGACTGACTCTTCTTGTCTTGCAAGGTTGTCCTCATTCATCCGCCTCTGAAAATTCAGGGGAAAAAAATCACTGTCAAATCTTTTCATGCATTTGGTCTAGACAATGGGCCAGATTAAGTGCATTCACTGGCATTACAGGGTAATCCTATACAATAGCACTGCCCGGCTCTCTTCACAAGTCTTCAACCAGTCTAAGTCACAAGAGTCAGTCAGTCAGTCAGTGTGGTTAGTGCGAAGAGGGCACTGAGTTGAACTCTGGGAAAAACAAAAACCAATGCTGAGTCTTCATTACTTGCTGTGCCAGCTGGTCATCGTAGCGTTTGCGGGCCAATTGGTCCTGGTATTGCGCCCTCTTCTGGTGTTCTTGTGTCTCGGAACCGAGCGTCTTCCGTTTCTCTTCCTGCTGGACTCTGATCTGCTCGACCTTCAGTTGCTCAAGAGCACCCTCATACTCCTTCACATTGGAGAAATCAAGAAAGTGACGAAATAATGAAATCGATTTGACATCATAAAATTGTTGGGTTACTTGAGAGATTTCATAAACATGAGTAAATGTACTGACAGAAGGAGTGTACAAACCATCTTGTAAATCACTAATGACTATAGAAGCCCTCACTGTGTGCATTTTGTACCTCACGTCGTTCGTCTTTGATATGAATGAATCTAGACACTTTGTACTTTCGTTGTCACAAGAGAACCTGTTCACTCCGCGGGCACTTTGTGCAATTTTTCTATTATCGTTTTGACTGGATGATAAAGTGATTCTTCGTTTCTTCTGAGGGGCTTAGCTGACCTTGATCTTAGCTAGCTGCTCTTGCTGCTTGGTTCCTTCCTGCATCTTCGCCAAATCGAGAGCACCCTTTGCATTTGCTGAAATGGAAAAACAAATCACCATAAAAAAAATTTACAACATGACTAACAAAGGCCTTTGACAATTGGGGGTTAATTTACTCAATTACGTGTGTGATTACTTAATCGAAGTTTTAAGTTGAAATAATTTTTACATAAAATAACCATTAATCATGTCTTTTTCAGGTTAACATGTTTAAGTTCAGAAGTTGATGTGATGCTTCACTTTCAGAATGCTTTGTCATGTTTGTCAGTCATTGCAAGTTTGTAACTTAGTAACATATATAAAAATACAGACGCAGATTTATATTATTGGTCTATATACTTTCTTATGAAAAGCAAGTAACGTTAATAGGCTTACAAACATTGCCATACATGTACAATGATACAGTAATCACTAGTACTAGTAGTAGTATAAGTAGTAATATAAAAGAAAATTGTTTTAATTTCATTCATTCATTCATTCATTCTTTATTATTTTTACCACATCTCATTTCAAAGTGACAACTTGACAAGGCATAAATACATACATGTAGTTTTGGGTAATATAAAGTTCGAGCTTGTTTTACAAAATATATGTATACACTTTGGACGCATTATTTTCTAATTGGAGATGGCGGAGTAAAAAAAAAGTATATCCAAATCTAAAATCGCATTGTTTGTAGCATTAATAACAACTACAGGTACAACTATAGAATGCAGGGCCACTTTACTCTACATCCGCGCCTCCGTACGGCTGCGTGGAGGCGTGGAACCGCAGTCGACCTACCTCCGAAAATCGATCGTGGAGTCGTGGAGCCGCAGAGAATTGCGCCCTCTATCGGTGCGTGTCTCTCCGACTCCGCGACTCCGCGCCTCCGCCACTCCAGTGTATCCGGTTCGTTAGTGTGACGTCACCTCCAGCGCTTTCTGCACGATTGGAACCGGAAGTTAACGCAGCTCGAGCGTTTGCAGCCAATGGGCGCTAGTAATCAGCGCGTGTATGACGTTTTTACTAACGAACCGGATAGTGCCCCGCGTCACGCAGAGAATTGCGCCCTCTATCGGTGCGCGTCTCTGCGACTCCGCGACTCCGCGCCTCCGCCACTAGCACTCCAGTGTATAGTGCCCCGCGATTCTGCGACTCCAAGACTCCGCGCCTCCGCCGCTCCAGACAGTGCCCCGTCGCCCTCCTCCCTTCCTAATAATTTGCGCGCCCATTTAAAGCGATTCTGCGACTCCAAGACTCCGCGCCTCCGCCGCTCCAGACAGTGCCCCGTCGCCCTCCTCCCTTCCTAATAATTTGCGCGCCCATTTAAAATGGTATGGATGCTTCGTTCTCAAAAAAATTCCGCCGAGAATTGCGCCCTCTATCGGCGCGAGTCTCTGCGACTCCGCGACTCCGCGCCTCCGCCACTGCGGCCACTCCAGTGCCCCGCGTCTCTGCGATTCTGCGACTCCAAGACTCCGCGCCTCCGCCGCTCCAGACAGTGCCCCCAAGACATTTACAAGCACGCCCTCCCTTCCGATCCTTCATGAGAAGCTTAGAAGACAAGTGCAGTGCATTCCTTCGCTGTACTTAGCACTTTTTTGCAGGTTTGCTTATCTATTACTCCTATTCCATCCACGCCTCCAGGCAAAATAAAAACCTTGCTTCGGCGTGGCCCTGCATTCTATAGTTGCTCCCAACTACATTAACAAGTGATACGCATCAGTTAAACAAAACGATCAGAGAAATGATAAATATTACGTGATGTGTCGAGCTCCTTTGCCGCCTTGGCTGCGCGCTCAAGCCCGGTAGGATCGAAGTTGCTCCAACTCCCCGTGCCCGGAACGTTGGCGGACTTTCCTCCGTCACCATCCCCGTCTTTCTTTCCCCCGTCTCCCCCTCCTCCACCGCCTGGGAACAGTCCCTCCGGTAGAGTCGGAAACTGGGGAGCCTCCTGTGGAGGGGGAGTCTTGCCCAAACCGAAAAGCCACGACATTTTGGGTGAAAATTGGCAGTGAAAATCTCGGTTACCGTAAATCTCACGAAACTCTGAGTTGAACTGATGTAACACACGTGCCGTATTCAGCCGGTCAAAGGTCATTGGATGGTTTTCGTTTAACAATTGAGGGCGCTGTTTCGGCTATATTTGTCATGGCGATAATGACGTACTCGCTCATTTGCGTACGTGATTGACGAGTGTGGAGCAGGTGGATTTCTGTTAGTACCTGAGCTGTGTTCATGTTCTGATAAATAACCGTTTTTTTCTTTTCATGGGAATCATTGTAGAGCGTTTCTCAGAATATCAGGTGCAGCGATGAGTGAGGAACTAGAAGAAGGGTATTACATTTAAATAGATTCAATTAAAATACTGATTAATTTCCGAGTGTGAAGTTTTTAGATAGTGGATATTTTGCCGGAGATAATGACGGCAAACTAACGATTACTAAAGGTTTGCCGGCGGCAATCCTTATCAACAGAGGGCGCTGTACTCTTTAAAAAAGGGCTGAATTATAAGATGTATTAAATTCCCACCAAAAGTTGTGTAGCACGTTTGGTGTAAGTACTAATGGTTAAGCAAAGGCTCTAGTAAGCGGGATGACTCGCGTTCGATTCCGACCGCACCACATTTTTAAGTTTTTTTTCTCATCCCAAAATAAATAAGAATATTCTTCTTTTATTATTTTAACATGTCTCAAACATTTTTTGCAGAGTATTACATTTTCTTTTTTCAGATTTGTGGCTCTGGAGGATTTTTTTTTAAAGGGAAATAAAATCCGAAATTATAAAATGGTCTGAATCCCATCTTGTGAATACGAGGTAACAACGATAATTTTGGCATGGAGTCAGACTAAAACTTTTCACCGGAAAATGTTACGGTACAAAAAAAAACAGTAACTGCGCATGTTCAGTGCATATCCGGCAAACTAACGTTTACTAAAGGTTTGCCGTCTCCGGCAAAATATACACTGCCAAGTTTTTAACTGAAAATGAAAAAAATTAAATCATGGTTAATTTTTTTTTTCCACTTGCTTCTAAGTTCTAGTTCTATTTTTAGTTCCATTTTTTTTTTGGCTAAGTTTTAATTTTATAAAGTAAATTTTTGGGAAAGATTCCCATATCTGACCATAACTTATTTTCCCCTTAAATGACCAATCAGCCGTCAGAAAGTGATAATGTCCTAAAAAGTCAAAATTAGCAGTGACAAATTTTAAATTTTTACTGAGAAAACACTTACACATTTTCAGACCAGTCCCATAGGGTTTGTGCACAGGGTGAAAAGTGATGGCCAGTAATGGGAATCTTTCCAAGTTTTGTTTTGTGCTAACTTTCTTCACGCTGCCGCCTAATGGGAGTCGTCTTGAAAAGACGACTGATCAATTTTTATTTTTTTTATATTCTTATAATTTGGCAGCTCAATTATTTGTATGTAATTGTATCACACAGGTCGTCCTCACTGCAAAGCAGTAGTGACGCCAATGCATATATTGCAGTAACGGGTACCAACATCCCTATCATCACCATCAGCACGCATGCAGAAACAGAACAGAAACCAGCCAAACTACCAAAGGTAACAGCCGATCCCCCGGCCCCACCCCACAATCCAAACCCCACCCCTCCCCAATCTATTTTTAATAATTATTATTTTGTTCAAATGCAGCTTCCGAGCAATCGATATCGCTACACTGTCTGGCACGAACTCAACAGCAATGAAATCAAAGGAGATGAACTGAACAACCCCCGGTCAGACGAGGACCAGAGATCAAAGATAAGATCTTCTACAGTGTCACAGATGAGCAAGGGAGAGGGTTGCATCATGGGAAGAAAGGACAGGAGAAGAAAGACTACGAGAGGAAAATAGAAAACTGGGAGAATAGTCTGGTAAATATCGAGATGGATCGATTGACCAACTGATGACAATTGATTTATCGATTAGTTGAATAATTGATGAGTAAAATTGATAAACATTTAATTAATTTTTTTTTGAGGGGGGTATAATTTTTATAAGTATGGATCAGGTCTTTCTTACATGGACCAGATCATCACATCAGCATAATGAGAGATGAGCTCATCGATTTATTTAACATTGCTTAATTAAATTGATGTCATCAATTTGGCTGCTTGACTCCAACTTTGCAACTTTCTGTGGCAAATTTACATTGAATTCCGCCACTGATGTTTCATTTGATCCCTTTTTTCCTAACAGACAGTCAACCTGTCTTACCAGGAGCTAGGAGACCGCTACCAAGTGGAGAGTTTTATGCGCATCTTGAAGAGACTGATCCGTGCCGAGAAGATACAACTCATCAATAACAACCTGGAAGATCTCAGCAAAGTCAACTTCCCATCGTAAGATTCTCAAAAATGTCCAGAGATTCCTTCGCTTAGAGTTAAAATTTTGCTCAAAATCGACAATAAGGTCTAGCTTTGTGAATCAATTTCTTGGCTTAACTTAACAAGAATAGGCATTGGCATCATACCTAACTTTTACAGGACATGGGGCCTTTCTTCAAAGTTAAATAAGTCAGAAATTGCACTTATGCCTAGTTCAGTAATTGATAAAATCAGACGTTCTTATTAGCAATCATGGCAGAGTGCGCTTTATTTGTTGTAAAATTGCATTATCCAAAGTGTAATAAAATTTTCTCCCATTTTTTTGTTTCAGATGTGTAGTTCTGAACCTCAACACCAACTACTTGACTTCATTTACGGTAAAAGTTATTATCTGCAAGATTAAAACAATTTTTTGAAAACAAACGTTGGCTTGTCCATTCAAACAAACCAAAGTCAGACATTTCAGCCCCTCCAAATCGGATTGTATGTCTACATGTACATTTTCTAAGAATATTGTGTTGAATGAAAGCACTTTTCAATTCCCAACAGAAACTTCCCAAGTGCCCAAACCTGAAGACGCTTCTCCTATGCGACAACTCCATCAAGTCTTTAGACGGCCTACAGAATCTCAGGAAGACTCATCTGGCTGTCTTAGACCTCCGACGTAATCCGATATGCTTCCAGGAACACTACAGGCAAAGGTAACGTTACCGAAGAACTTCATTTTCAGACATATCTATCCACAAATTAATTAAAATTCAGGCAGATTCACATTTTAGATGAAATCAATATGACTACACAGCAAGTGTGATATCACAAAAGATTTGTAATGTAATTTGCAAGAATTAACTTTTGTAAATTCATGTGACGTGGTATGTCAAAATCAGGTACATATGGCGAGAAGTCAATTTTGAGTTATTGCAGTATTAGTAAAATACATACCTTGCTCTTTCAAATACCACTTTTTTTCTTCTTCTTTTTTGTTGGATATTCCAAAGAGAAGTTATTAAAATTTTGAAGTTGGACTGTCCGAAATGTCGAAAATGAGTAATAGACCTTTAAAGTTTTAGTTTAGTGAGAAAAAGGTTTTCAGATAAGGTGTCATTATAAAAGCTGCCTTTTAAATATAAGTAGAATCACAAATTTCAAAAAATCTCAAAATTTCTGAAAATCACCTGCATATCATATTGCAGCTGTTTCTCAATTTGCAGCTCTGCCCAATTCCGCCTGGTTTTGACAAACCATGTCACATGTGATGTATTGATTCAGTTTGTATTGTTTTATATTAAAAGAAAGAAAAGAGACAATATTTACACCACCATAGAGTTAATACAATCTGCTAATTCTGCTTTCATATAATTTAATGATTGAATTTTCTCCGTTTCTGCAGAGTTTTCCAGATTCTGCCTGATTTACAGGAGCTGGATGGCATTCCTCGGTTGACCTCTGACATTGAAGGTGACCTCATCCCCCAGGGTGGCTGTGTGATTTCATAGGGAATTATATGGGCTCCGTGCACCAACAAAAGAGGGTGCATTTTTACCACTTTTGAGAGCCCTATGGACGGGACACACAGTGTGTGCGTACTGTACTGGTTGGGGTGTGAAGTACGCATGACTTCCTGAATGTGCCAAAGCTGTAGCTAATCTACAGCGTCTTCGCATGAGCGTCAGGCGTCATCGGTGCGCGAATTTAACTTGCGGTGGTCTCCCAGAGAAATCACTGCCGCAATAACTTTGGATCATTCAAAATACGCAGTGGATGGACTGGGAACTAGTCTAGGTCTCCCCAACTCTCATTTTCTGGCCGTTGAAGGGGTACGTGTGCACGGAACGGAGCCCATAGTTTTTGAGAAACAGTCATCCAACACTAGGAGTACAACAGAATGCAGATGTGCTAATAAACCAGAGAGTTCCAAGACCACGAGAGATAGTGGTTTTTAACGAAGACTTGTGCGCATCTATCTTTACAAATTTCGTCCATTAATACAGATATACTAAGAAATGTTTTACTGGCTTAACAGATGTCAGAACCTTTTATTTGATCATAGAAATAATGGAAGAGAACTAAGATATATTAACGGTAAAAAAAGTACTGTAAAAAAACTTTCTCAGTTAAAAATAAACACCGATATCTTTTTTAGTACAAATTACAGCTACATACCTTATAAATATACATTTCTGTGGAAGTCATATGTACACATTTTTGTTCTTTTTACTATTTGTAAATATTTTGTACATTTTCTGCGTAGACTTAAGCGATGAAAACTACAAACCTCATTCTAACTTGTGATGTACATTATTGTTCCATATTCAAATTGTCATATTTTTGGGTAATTGACACTGAAATTTGCACCAAAAATCGGATGAGAGTTGATTAAAAGTTTCATTTGCAGAGTAGCATTGAAATTCCGTGTGCAGTCGCTTCTTTTAATACACATGTAGTTAAAAATGTGGTATGTATAGACAAAGTCACTTACATTATCAAAAATATAAACCAGCAAGAATGGTACATTTGCTTCAAAAAAAATTAGGAAAATATATGAGTATATGAAAATCTTTTAGGCAAAATTATACAAAAAATATTAATGATTAATGTGAGGACTTGACATCAAACCTATAAATGTCTATAGTTACCAAAACAAAAAAAGGTTAGTATAAGCTTCGGTCTACATATTTATAAGTGGATTACCCTATTTTATTCTTGATAAATTATACTTTTAAACATAAACCCACAGCACCAAAAAAAGAAAAAATACAGTTCACATCACATGTGATGGAAAGTAACTTGTACCTGATCTCAAGTAGTTAATAAGTAGAGGCTGATATCAAAACCCATTTATTGGAACAAAAAACCCTTTTTGCCAGCACCCCACAGGCTAGGTCTTCAAAAGGCAGTACAGTCGACTCTCGTTAGTACAAACTCTGTTAATACAAAATTCTGGTTATAACAAACATAAAGCCTTGGTCCCGACTGTGCATTTATGTGCACAATGAATGGGACTGATGTTCCTCTTAATACAAAATTCTGATATAAAAAAAACAATTTGGCTTGGTCCGAACGAGTTTGTTATAACGAGACTCGACTGTATAGTGCTTATAACAGTAGTCAACTTATTGCAAAAAAATATAGTCTACAACTGCATGTACATGTAACGGTACATACATGTATATGTGCACACAGGCCTATACCTTACATACCTACATCTAGTGTGGACATTCCTATGTCTTCGAGTGGGTAAAAGAAAAAACTTATTTTACACGAACTGTGAACACTCTTTCAACATGTTCAACCCAATCTTTTTCATCACAATTTCCTTGAGTGTACCTCTTCATTTTGCGACAGATAACCCTAACCCCAAAACTGCCTCTAAAACTGTTTTCCAGAGAAAGGAAAACCTTATGTGGACCTGGCTTAGTCCACACAAGGTTCACACAACCTGCATTGTCTGAACCTCATTTATTTTCAGATCCACACAAAGATGGCAAGGTTGGCACGTAACTACAACCGCCACGGTCAAACTGTAAAAAAAAACTACTGTCGATGCAATTTAATAGATCAATGCAATGTTAGCCAGTCTAGGTGGAAGTCACATCACTGTGTTTTGCCGCTTAAAACGAACTAATTAAGGTTGGGATTATCAGAAGAGTTGAGCAATTTCTTGCATGTACCTCTGGGTCATGACCTCTCGGTCTTTAAGGAATTGTGCGTAGTGTGTCGCTAAGGCCTCTGCATCAGGGTTCAGCGTCTTAATCAGATTGTAGATGTACTCTTTACGTAGATTGATTTCTGGAAACTCTGTTAATGCAATCAGAAATGAGGAAAGATGAATGAGGAAGACATGAGTTTACAAAGATCAGACAAGATGACTTGTTCATCTATTCATGTTTTTTTTAAAACAAAATGTGACCTGTTCTGTCAAAATCAGACTTTCTGGGCATCAGGTCAAAAATGAGATTTTTGCATATTGCTAAGTTATGTACATTTTCCTTTTAATAGGTGGTTTGATTTTTGAAACCGGACATTCCTGGGCAAATTTATGCAATTTTGAAGTTCGTGTCGAAAACTGGAAAACAGAGAAAATGGCAAATAAAGTTTGGGGTCTATTTTAAGACCTGTTTCAAGTGACATTTCTTTAACTGATATACTATACCTTAACAAATCATCAAAAATACTATATTTAGAGCTCAAATTAGGGTTTCAAAATTTTATAGTATATCTTAGACATGTTCAAGATCTCAATTTCAACCTCTGCCCAGAAGTGTCTGCTTTTGACAGAACAGGTCACATATATGCTTCAATTTGAACTCGGTGTTATACGACTTAATTTCAGCACTACTTACAGCACATAGCATATAAGGGTTCAATTTCTGACTTGTGTTTGGGTAGAAAACTGGGGTTAACACTGCGCGCTGCCATTATTAATCCTAGTGATTTTAGTTGATCTGAATGCGTTGATTTCAGACTGTATGATTTAATGGCAAAAGTCACATCTGTACAAGATTTTGAACTAGTACACCAAATAAGATGGTCCACAATTCTTTTATCAGATTTACTTTTTAAAACCGATACCGCCTCAGAAAGAAAGAGTATCAAAAAACCTTTGTACTACCTTTCTCAGCTGCACTTACCATTTTCATCGTCCCGTTGATAACTTTCCTCAAAATCAAAATCTCCCCCCTCCTCTTCCCTATCACCATCATCATCATCATCATCATCCTCATCGTCTTCTTCCTCTCTTTCTCTGTCAGCATCTTCTCCAGTCAGATGTAACTCCTGTAGATCCTTCAGATATCTCAATCTCTGCTCTTGCTCTATTTCCATGATGTCTTGAGCTGTGCTGATCAGCTGCTTCTTGTAACGAGCCTCAAAACTTGCATCCTATGTCAACAAAAATTGACAAAAAGTCTAAAACTAGTAACCACACAAAAATCCAATATTTTGATATTTTGAGAGATGCAAGACATGTGAAACTGCTGTAAAACGACATTTTATGCAAAAATGTGTGACCACACTGTGTAAAATTACTATTGAGGCCTTGAAACAAATCTTTCACATTGGAGTTCAATAGGAACAGGCTATTCTTTTCACAATGGCAGACTAGACTGAAATAAATATTATTATGAAACTTATGAACAGACGTGCAGTTTTTGTGCACATCAGAAACAAAGCTAGTCAAAGGTTGCCTAGCCTATCACTGTCAGGCTCCACCGCCCCCAACCGCCCCACCTATAGCTCCCCATTCTGCCCCAAACCTCCCAAATACAATGTAACACAAAATAGTACAGGTGTTTATGGGTAAGCAACTTGTGGCTCGTCACCCTTAAAATACACCCCCCCCCCCCCCCCCCCCCCCCCCGATTGTTATATGTGCTCACGTTGTAATATTTCAGGATAGACAGGACTGATTGATGCATGCTTTCCTCGTGAGCGAATTCCTGCTTCAACATCTTGACTCTGGCTACCCAAGGATTGACAGAAAGCTTGACGGCAAAACTCAACCTGTCACCAATTATCATCAGAAAAAAAAAAGAAAATGTATGAACGCCTCCGTTGACTTCTATTTCTAATATACCAACAAGAAAAACAGGATTTGGGGTTTACACTGTGAAGTTGGCAGAGGTTTAATCAAGTCAGTCTATCACACGTCAAAGTTAACATGTTAATCAAGTCAATCACAAGTCTGGTCACAATCAACAGGGGACTAACAAGAACAAAGGAATGCCTTTAATAATAATAATAACATTTGTAACGCGCCTTTTCCTAAGGTTAGAAAGCGCAACCAAGGACACCTCTGATAGTAGGAAAAACCAAAAAAGAACATTAACACAGTTCATTTGAATAGCTTGCGACTTGGCTTGAGACTGGAGGACTTGTGATTGACTTGTGATGACTTGTGACCGACTCGATTCCAACTCTAAAAGTTGGGGATATCCGCTCCGTTCACAAGTACCCCCTCACCGGCAAAGGAAGTAACAGATGGGGGTGACCGACCGACGCCATCTTGCCTGACTGCAATTCATTTGACGCGAAGCGCGGCCACTGCGTGTTCATTGTAAAAAATCCCCTGGTGAACGTGCCTCACACATATGGAACGGTGCGCGTAAACCAGCGAAATGTCCCACCTATGGGACGTCGTTGCTAGGTAAAAGGGCGCCCTCTTTCGTCGGCGCACGGAGCCCATACTAATAAAAGTGACTAGTTTAACAGTGAATTTGGCTCTGAGAAAACAAGCGTGTAATTATCCTTAACCCTAATGAAGCCATGATTTAAACACTGGACAAACACAAAGATTTTGGGAACCACTTTCACACTAGCAAAAATCCAAAACAGTTTTAACATGGGTCTGGTGCTCTACACAGGTAAAATCCAACCCTGGTCAGGACCAGGGTCAAGAGGCTCTACCCAGGTAGAAAATCCAAAATCTACAGCTGACCCCTCTACACACCATTGTAAGTGTGAAAGTACGCAATGCCTACACTCATGTTCGATGAGACCAGCTGGTGGGCCCAATTACATGGCTTATAAAAGCAGTTTACCAGCCAAAACTCCATGTGATTTTCATACTCAGGCTCACAAGCAATATACATCACATGGAGTTTTGGCTGGTAACCTGCTTTTATAAGCCAGAAATGGGGATATCTGGATATTGCCGGAGATGTAATCTGCGACTGTAGAACTGCACCCCAGACCATGCAGCATCTCCTCCAATGTCCTGTTTTGGAGCAAGTGTGCACAGCAGACGACCTTGCAGTCTACAATGATATAGCCCAAAAATGCGTCCAACAATGGCTGAAGTACATTTGATGTTTGTGGACACGCTAAGAAGAAGATAAGCCAGACTATTTTCATGCTAGGCAAATTTTGCGTGTTATTGGCCGGCTGTTGGTGATAAGGCTTTTAGTGTTTACCTTGCTCCTGTGTAGAGGGTACTGGGTGGCCGGGCCGAGTGGGGAATGATGCCTTGGAAGATGGCCACACGACCGTAACGCGGTACAACGCCTGCAAGCAGATTGAGAAACAATAAATAAAGGGTCAACGTAGCTAAAGAGCCCTTTACAACCTGGTCATAGGAGAGTGCCAGTGTGTCTACAAGGTCAAGAATTCTACATGGGTTATCTCTCAGGACGAACAGAGCCCACTGTCCAAAACGTCGAGTTCTACACTCAACCAGCCGGTTCTTTTCAGAACCACACTTTATCCAAGAAGACATTTCTTTCCATATGGTGTTACCCGCAAACTTCATAATTTATGGGTTATCTTGTTAATGAATAGCGGGAATCTCGGTTTAACATTTCAGGCGAAGAAAATTTGTGTAGAGATCGAAAAGTGAAAAATAAAATGAAAAGAAACACCCAATGAATTTGGGAATGAGAAACTTTTCCAGGTTTATTACAAAATTTTCTGTTATTCTCCTTTCACTTACAACACGACCATCAATGGCATTAGAATACTCCATCTTTCCACATAGAATTAATACATCATTTTGAACTACATCTATATCAACACAGATAAACTTTCACACACTATCTTAGGCTGCTTACTTGCTACATACTCCGAGTCGTCTCTATTATTTTCTCTGAACACCGTCTCGCCGTAGTAATTCTCCGTCCAGTTTGGTGTCAGGTAAAGAAGGAACGTCCATTCATCTTCTTTCTTCTCACAATCCTCATGGATGCGGGTGTGGTCATAGGCTCGGATGATGTTGCAGGCGATGTCATATGGAAACCACTTATCAGTGCCTAGGGAGAATTTCAAAACAATAAACATGTAACCAACAATGTTGCAGCCGAGATACATAAGTCGGATCAGTCCATCAAAAGTCATGCAGTCCCAATTCAACTCACAATCTATTCAAATAATCTTTGATAAAGGAATTTCTTTGTTATTTTTCATCCTCTGTTACTTGTGACTGGACTTCCATTTGTGAATTGACTTGTGATTTACTTGTGACAGGACTTGTGACAACTTGTGATGACTTGTGAGGACTTGTGAAGACTTGTCATGACTTGTGATGACTTGTGATGTCTTGGGATGACTTGTGATATTGCTTTGACGTGATCACAACTCTGTGCCACATACTGTACATGATCAAGTCCAATGGTCTCCGTACCTGATACATATCTTGCCACCTGTCTAGTGATGTTCCACATTCTACTCTGTACAAAGTCATCAATGTTGAATCCTGCTATCCACTGAACGTTATCGCTGTCACTATCTATGCTGTCATCAAAGAAGTAATTACCTGCAAATCAAAACAAGTAAACATTGGAAATATTTTGTTGGAAAGGAGAGCATATTGGTCCAAAATGTCCCACTTTTAGGCGAAGGGATTGATGAATTAAGAGCAGACAATACATGATTATCAAAACAAATCTGAGAGGCAAAGTGCCCACAATATATATTCCACAGATAGAATTCTAATGAACGGTCACGAAGAGTCTGCATGTTGTCAACATTAGCAGAAACATAGGCAAACTACATACAAACTTAAGTAACACTGTTTAAAAATGCCATAATCTTACCATGATTGGCAGTGAATTTTCGCAGTTTGTCCAGATCCTCTGAGCTAAAGAGGTCGTCAAACACAAAGACCTTTTTGCTGTTTTTCGCCACATATTTCTGAGAACAAAACAAGTTCAGTCTTCAAAATATAATCTATTTTTGACACAAATCGGGTCATCAGGTGCAACTTCACATGAAAAGTTCAACAAAAACTTTCCACAAACAAATGAATACATCAAAACTCCTATCCCAAATCCAATTTAGGGGAAACTCATAACATCAGTGTGCCAAATTGAGCCTGAAAAAGATGAAAAGAATTTTCCATGCTCCATTTCAAAATTCCAAAGACAAATTCCAATCACTTGGATTAAAAATAAACATAAGTCTTATTATACTCAGGGCTGTGAGTGACCACTGATAAAAATTGCTGAAAACAGCTGAAAAAGGTGTAAAAAAAGCTGAACTTTGGGAATCTCTTATACTTTTGTGCACAGCAATTGAAGAAAAAACTGAACTCCAAAACAAAAAAAGCTGAAATCAGCTTTAAAGCTGAGATTTCATACCCCTGTATACTCAAGGCCAGTACAATATTTATGACTGAGACACAAATAATGTCAATGAAGAATAGTGCTTTGTTAAAACCAAAGCACAGGGGTGGTGTGAGCAAGTCTAAAAAACATTTTGAGTAGAATCCCAAACTAAATATATACCATGGTGACGTGACTTCCAATATCCAAGCTTTCTGAGACAGGCTTGTTCATTGTGGCAAACAAGTCGGCTTCTGCCTGTTTCCGTTCTGCCGTGCTTTGTATTCTAGCTTGCTTGTACTGTTGTGCTTTGGTGTGATTCCGAGTGTAGTGGACCATCAGAAAGAATTGTGACTGCTTGAATGCCATGCTTGGCGGTCTGGTCAGGTAGTCTGCGGACAGAAGGAAAAGCAAGTCTCTGGTGTTTATCTCCCGTTTCCGCAGCATGGAATGACTGAGAATATTCCCACTCCCCCTGGATGGGATGCCAGTCCATCACAGGCTACTCCCCAGCTAATGCCAGTACCCATTTATACTCCTGGGTGGAGAGGCAAGTGGGGATGAAGTGGCTTGCCCAAGGACGCAACATATGACCAGCAGCTGGATTCGAACCCCTGACCCTCTGATCATAAGACTTAAACCTTTTGAGTAGGGTTTAAGTCATAAGACTTAAACCCTACTCAAAAGGGGGCGTCAGGTTGGCGTAGCGGTACTTTCCTCGCCTTCCACTGCTGTGACCCGGGTTCGAATCCCACCTGGGCCAATATGTGGATTGGGTTTTCAGCCCCTGCCTGATTCCGTGGGTTTTCCCCAGAATATTCTTCTAGGGTTTTCCTCCCACCTCTAAAAGCTTGCAAGCTACAGCTAGTGCCTAGGGCGCTTTTGAGGAATCCTTGGTTTCATTACCAGAAATGATTAATAATTAATAATAAAAAAGGGGAGAAGAGATTGACCCAAAACAGTGAAGCCTACCGATTGAACTGTCCCAAACGACAACCCTGTTGAACTTTGGACCGATGGTCGCAAACACGTCACTCTCCTCTAGGAACAGCAGTTCTCCGTAATCGTTCTTACGCCAGAGTTGGTTCAAGTACAGCAGGGCCGTGAGCTCAGTCTCCTTGTTTTGAGCATCTCGGTGCGGGTAGATGATATCACCCCTTTCAAAGCAAGCAAAAGTTTACTATTAAGATAGCGTTCATTTAAAGTTCTTATCCTGCGGTGTTTTGATCAAATCCATCTTATAGTGGTGTCTGTCGAAACCTGGTAGTATAGCAGAGTACCTGACCGCTGATGTCACGAATCGCTTTCAGATTATCGGATCGGGTACCCCTACCCAACTTTATAATTTAGTAACTTCTAAGAAAATGAAAAAGAAAAGGTTTGGAATGTCATTTCTGGGAAATTTCAAGTTTTGGGACTCTCATACACATGCAGTCTCAAATTCCTTCCAAAATAAGAGTCTCAAATTCCATACACATTATTGAGAGTCTCAAACCTTTGGGCTTGTATATGTGGACCTTGCTAAGATAAGTCTATTTAAATACCTTCTCAGGATATTACAGACAACTTTGTAAGGTTCAAATTTGTTGTCATCATCACTCCTCTGCCAAGCTTGAGATAAATTGGTCACCAGGCCGAGCATACGTCTGCCTGTCTCCGAGTTGGCAAATGTTTCTGTATCAAATGAAGACATCCAAGGAATGCCGCTTGAACCTCTTGAGTTTCTGTCATGAGTTGATCTGTTGTAACCATGAAACCTGCAATTAGAGAAAAGGAACAAAGAAAACTTTGTATAATTTCTCGAGGAATGCCGCGGAGGGAAAGTTTGCGAGAAATTCACAAATGAAAGGCTAAATTACCGAGACTGATAGGTTCGTCAGTCAAGAGATATTAAATGGAAAGATGACAGCACAATTTTGATGTATGAAAGGTTTATTTAAAAAAAATGGCGTGATCATGATGACATCTGCATCAAAAATTATTTTACAAAAAAAATCAAAATTAAAAAGAATCAAATAATTAGTTGCAACAAATAAGCAAGAAATAATTTTAGGGAAAATAGGCAGAGATGAAAATGATTGCAATGACACAACAAGCACGTACAGTGCATTAAAGTTCTAGAACTACGTACACATGGTACAATGCAAAGTTCTAGAAAGATAAGTAGAATTCTTTACTTAAATTACCTCCACACTCCAGCCAAATGGATGTAGTCTTGCAAAGTAGTCTGCGTCTTGTACTCCAAAACATCGTCAAAAACGGCCACAGAACGACCGTCTTTTGTCTTGAAACTGGATGACAGGTTTCTAGTGAATCTCTCCTGACTTTTCGCAGCACCGTTATGGAGGTTTGAGGCAACGCCGAAGCGATTTGGATCCGGAGCCGGCCAGAAACGAGTTGTCGCTTCGTGAAATGTCACAACAGACTCCACAGTGTCTTGGCTGAAACTTTTGTCGAAGTTTTGCACAAAAAGTAAAAATAAAACTGCTATTAAACTGACGTCCAAACGTTTACATGTCACTTCAGTACAAGCCATTGTATTGATGACGGTATTGCAACAAATTGTTAATTATCTAACTAACACATTTACGGCTGGCCAGATCGAGAACAAATTGACAGCATGCAGCAGAAAGAAACTTTTTAGCAAATGCTGTCGATGGCCGGATTACCGTCCACACCAAGCGGATCTTTGGTCCAGTCCAGATCCGTACACCGTGGCCCTCGCTCGACCTCTAGCTGTTTGGCTTGTATGCTGCCCTCATTGTTCAATCATTGACATAATGTGCCTGCAGCATGCGGGGGGCGGGGTCGCGGTACATAACGTACATGTTTTTTTTGTGCGACTGTTAAAAAAGAGACTTTGAAATAATTAACAATGGCCTCTCCAACACAGTGGTACAGTACATGCAGCAAATGTAATCTTGGAAAGAATTAATGTAGTATCCCGATGGTTGCTTTAGTGGTTGTGTACAATTAAGTCGAGAGTTATCTGAGAGCATCTTCAAAGTATTTTTTTTCCACAAAATTGGAAATGTTTCTCAGTCTGAGATACACGTCTTAATTCAACATTTTGCAATGACTGACCTTCAGAATGCAACATTCTTCCCGCAATCTTTACCTTTAATAAAGGTTGCTCAGTTGCAAATGATTTCATGGGCCTTAATCATTAAGCCATCGATTGGAAGGTGTTATTTGAAGAAAGTAATAAGACAGCAATTACCAGACAACACGTGCGCATTATCTTTAATTGAGCTATTAAAACTAAACCCAAACTTCATTTCTGCGACAATAAAATGCTTATATTACGTAAACAAATTTCAATTACAAAAATATGTCAGCCATAAGTTATTTGAATACAATCTTTAAAATAGAAAATTACAATGTGGTATATATTTACATTCCATTGTTTATAAGAATAAAAGATGACACAAATAGGAAATATAGAAAAGTTAGACTACAGAAACCAACTTTTGTGTGACTAATATGCATGGTAAGCATGACAAATGGATCATCCACACATGAAGTGGACTGATGAGTTAACAATACCACACACAGTACTTATAAAAAGGCATAAAATGAGTACATGGATAGAAGGGATAGAAAACTGCACACTACAGTCTGCAAATATATTCAAAAATACTCAACATGAAAAGCAATGAAAAGATTTTTTAATCTTTATTTAGGTTTGAATTAATAAGGGAAGGATCATTTATATTTAAAAAACAAATAACTTGGTAGTCTCATTATCTATATTTCTAATTAAGGCACACAAGTTAGCATGTTGCAAGGAATTTATATATCTGTAATTCAATCACTGCAATGAGGTCATTTCAATTGATCACAAGTTATTGGGTGCAAATTAATAAGTCACTCACTATTGTGTAACTATAAATTGGTTGACATGATATGGCTCATCACATAAAGTGGGCACAAATTATATAAAGGCATACATACGCTAAGTACATGGATATTAAAAAAATAACTCTCAAAAAAGAACGTGAAAAGCAAAGACATTTCAAAAGGACGGTTATTTAAAAAAAAACTTGGTTTGTGTAATTATTTCTATTTTTAATTAAAGCACACAAATTTAGCATGTTGCAAGGAATTATATAGGGACATTTATTCTTGCTATATTCAAGCATTCATAGGCCATAATGAATTTCAATGTATGTTTTTTATATACAAATGACAATAAAGAATTCTATTCTATTATATTCTATTCTATTCTGGAATTGCAATGAGGTCACCAGAATTTATTACAAGTCATCAGGTACAAGCTAGGTTACTCATTTTCATCAATTGTAAATTCATAGTGACCTGACTTGTAATTGACTTTTTGTCAGTAACCGTACAAATCTGATCTAACTAAACTTCATTTGGAGGGTTTAATTTTAGCATATTCACGTTTGTACTGTTTGTACCGGATATAGCAAGCTAATGCAAACTGTAGAGCGACATACACAAGTATTGCTCCAGCTGCTCCCAATGCAATGTAAGCTTCTGGATGCCACGCACAGGCAAGCAGTGGATCTAAAAAAAAAAATTAAAAAAACTCACATAAGTTGCATGGTTTTATCTAGAGAATACAAAAATGCAACATACACTGGTAATTAGTTGTTAATTGATAGCTTGTCTGCTGAAGGGAGTTTATTTCAGTTTCATTTATTTTAAAGCACAGTACATATTATCTTCAAAAGGGCAGCATTTCACAACGGTGGCGTAGCCAGGATTATTTCAATTGGGTGGGGGGGGGGGGGGGGGGGGGTACCAACATGTTGTAAGGAGGGGAGACCAACAACTTTTCCCCAAACATTTCCAGGCCAGGCAAGTGCTGCAAATTCAAAATGCAGGCCTTTTGACACTAAAGAGGCCGGGTGCTCTGAATTTTTTGTTCATCAAGTTCACATTTCACAAAGCCGTATACTCTAAAAGATAAGACTCTCTTAGCAAGCGGCCAATGTTGTGTCGTTTTGTGTAGGGGGAGGGAACCATTGGGGGGGGGGGGGGGGGGGTGCGTACATACATGACCCCCAAGACCCCCCCCCCCCCCCCTCCCCTTCCCTCGATTCAAAAATAACAGGGTGATATATTTCTGGTTCCCTTTTCTGAGCAACTCACCTGGTTTGGGTGTAGAAGTGTCAGCTTCTACATGTTCAACTGGAGCGGATGTTTTTGACAGCTCATCTGCAGGTGGTGTGCTCTCTGAAGTTCTTAGTTCAGGAGTGTCGGTGGGTTTATCTGTTGCATAGCCTGTGATGGGCAGAAATGATCAATTATATCTGTAATACTTGAGCATCTTTGGTCAAAGAACATGATATGCAAGGGAACATATACATGAAGGGTTATAATTACCATGCATACACACAAGTTGACAATAATGACTATCAACTATTTTGAAACTGATTATTTGTAAAGAAAGTTTGACAAAAGTAATTAAGCACCTGAAGAACTAGATTTAATCTAGTTGTTTATGTACTTCATTAATTTTGTTAAATTTTCTTTATCGGCAGCCCTTTTAGTAGAACTGGGGTCAAGTAAATCAACAGGTCAAGTCACAAATGAATCAGGGTATAAGTAATTAAGTTATACTTGCTTCAGTTGTAAATTATGGATAAACTGTGATTGACTTGTTTTGGTTTGTGATAACTTGTGATGCTTTGTGATGACCAGTGTTGTAGGTCTCGAGACCGGTCTCGGTCTCGAGACCGGTCTCGAGACCACTTTTTGCTGGTCTCGGTCTCGGTCTCGGTCTCGGAAGCTGTGGTCTCGGTCTTGGTCTCGGTCTCGGTCCCCTTTGGTCTCGATATTTTGGCTGGTCTCGGGTCGAGACCGGCAATATGTAGCTTTTACAGCTTGATCGATTACTTTGTGTTCACTTCGTTCAGTACCGTTGTTATTTAAAACATTTGCTAGCCCGTAGATCAAGCTTGTTATATATCGCGGTCGATTTGGACTCGACTGCACGTTGGAAATTCCCCAAAGTACATGTAAAGCTGCAGCAGTACCAGTCACTGAACGATTTGGAACAAGTTCGGCATTTATCTTTTGAGTCGGCCACATAAAGCAAAGTATAAACTTGTAACAATTTATGCAATAAGGGTCAACCATTTTCGGGGATTGTGTAGTTTAGCCCACCCCTGTGGGCGTAATCACTTGCATTTTGTATTCTGATAATAAATGAGGTGCTTCAAATTAGTGATATTTTCGACCCCACACAATGTTCTCTTTAATTTGGGACAGTATTTTGAAGAAAAAGTAAATTTTTCTACCTGATTTTCCAGCTTTGAACTCACACACTCTTACCAGTTACCACTCACTGTTGCCATGAGAGTGTATGATGAGACCCCATTTTCTGGCTGCTCATTTTGAAGTACCCCATTATTCCTCAAAAATTAAAATCCCGTTCAGAAAAAAATTAAAAATCCATATCTGGCACATTCTGGCTACCACCTCGCAACTTGTGGGTCTACATGTACAAGTCCACATTCTATGACAAAAATTTAAAAAATAATTCAACATTTTCTAGCTCCCATTTTTAAAATCAAGTACACAAGTCTTGTTAGAAGTTAAGTCCTAAATTTATTTTAGGAAAAAAGAGGCAATGTAAAATTAAAATTGCATCTTTTATATCCGTTAGAAGTCATAGCTGAAACCAAGGGGTGACTGTGGAGTTTAGGATCCGAGTTCCTATAACAGATGAAACATCTACCTTTAACTTTTTACTTTTGTCACGATTGGGTGCAGACAACATGTCAAAGCCCATATTTCTTAAGTGTAACTACTTTTTGCTCAAGTAAGGTGTCATGTATCAATTTGTCAACACTGCCACTGGTCAAAATTTTGGTCTGTATTCTTTGTGAATAGAAAGGTTACATTTTTCAACTATAATAACGTGTCTTGTTCTTTTTATTTCGACTATTGTTATTTATTATCAGCGGTCTCGGTCTCGGTCTCGGACCATATTGGTCTCGGTCTCGGTCCGCCTTGAAGGGGCTGGTCTCGGTCTCGGTCTCGGTCTCGAATCTTCAGGTCTCGGTCTTGGTCTCGGTCTCGGACTATCCGGTCTCGACTACAACACTGGTGATGACTTATGATGACTTTAGTTTTTACAAATTGTGATGAATTGTGATTGACCTACGATTGACTTGTGATGGCATGTGATCACCTGTAATTGACTTGTGATGACTTGTGACAACATCTGACGACTGTTATGACAAGCCAACTTGAATGTCAAGTTCATTCAAAAAATAGTAGCATATATAATAGTAAGTCAAAACTTGCTTTGTTCTGGTAGTTCTGGACTTGGTGTGGGCAAACTGGCATCTTGCTTGCAGGCCTGTTCTACCACACAAGGTTCCGGAGTAGGGCACGGTTGCGAGGCTGCTACATCATCATTCAGGCACACGTTATCTGCAATGGCATTTCCCTGTCGAATCAGACAATTCCGGTGAGGTTCACAGCGTTTCCATTTGCCCCCCATCGCTTTGAAATAACCTCTGGGGCAAGGTACGCAGATGAACTCAAACAGGCCTGCTTCTTGAACTGAAAGGGAAACAAATCAAAGGAGAATTTCTTTCATTTGTCATTTTTATGTTTCTCACATTAACAGTAAATTCAAGAGTGATGACTGATCATACATTTAGAAATTTGCCTTAACATGCAACAAACCCGATCCCTCATTTTTACCCTGAATTTTTTTTTGCTGGAAGCACAGGTCCAGCCTACTATCCTCTGACTACTGAGTCAATGACTGACAATAGTCACTATAATCTAAATAGTCAATATAGGCTAGAACTAACTCTGTTTCCGTTCTTCGCCAGCATAGCAGTGTGGTTTTTGCCGACAAGTCTTGGGTATATTGCCAGTGTCAAAAGGGTCTGGATTGAACCACTCTTCATCGCACCTACAGTGAAGATCAGCTCTGCGGGTGCAATCTGACACCTTTAAGAAACCAAAGAAATATCACAACTTTTTTTTAATTTATACTGATCCTTTGTCAAATAACCAGCTTTTCATAATCTGTTATTCATAAAGCTGAAATTTGTTTTCTCTTTAACCCTCCATAGATTCATGACATGATGATAAATATACGTATAAAAATGGCCCGGGGATGGATTCCAATTAAAGCACCCCCTTAATTGCATCAGATTCAGACCCTACGCCCTCCCCACTTTTTGAATTTATTATTGCTGGCCCGCTAATCGGCGCACAATACACGACATTACCCCACCCCCGGCCAAAAAAAAATGTTTTTGTAAATACATGTATCGTCTATTGGTGCATGTATATGCTAGGAAGTATGCAAAAGTTGACTTGACAGATTCCAAGCAGTGAACAACTTGATGACACAAATCTAGTGCTCCAAAACGGGAAACACAATCACAGCGACCTTGTTCTATAAGAATTTTCCATTGTGTATTGATGGAATCATTACAATATTGATTGTACCTTATGCTGGTTGGCATTGCAGCGTGCGGAGCATTCATAGGGCTGGGTGCATTTGTTATGCTTATCCATATACTGCAAACCAATATTAACATGGACACAACTGCAAGAAAACAAATGCCAATTCAATATTTCACCAGGCTTTAACTCCTGCTTTGCGAGTCGAATAAATTGTTTATTTGTTAAACTTAAAATTTCATACTGGAATTTCTATGATTATTTGAACTCTGAACGCATTTCCAGGTCAGTTCTATTACCAAATTGTTTCTCAAGTAATAATAATAATAATAATACAGAATATTTATAACGCGCTCTACCAAGATCACAGCGCCTAACAAAAGGGTGCGAAAAAAATCAGAGGAGTCGGGTCAATAGAACAACAACAAAAACAACATTCATGGGGGGAGGGACACAGGCATTACATGGGGGGAGGGACACAGGCATTAAGAGAGATCTGGGAAAAGGAAGGTCTTTAAAGAACGTTTGAAAGTTGACACCGACTCTGCCTCTCTCAGATCAACAGGAAGCTCGTTCCAAAGACGTGGCGCTGCTACCTTGAAAGAGTTATCCCGGCTCTCTTGTTGGATCTTGGGAGAGAAAGCCGGGTGCGATCAGAAGATGAGCGGAGTTGGTGTCTGTGGGAAGCTGAAGCATTGAGTAATTGTATAAGATCAGTCAAGTAGGATGGGGATAGGGCATGAAGGCACTTGTATATGAGGGTGAGAATTTTAAAGGAGATCCGTTGCTTGACAGGGAGCCAGTGAAGCACTGCCAACAGGCCAGCAGAGGGCTGGTCCCGTCCACACGCAAAGACTAGCCGAGCAGCTTTATTTTGAAGGCGCTGCAAGCGCTTAAGGTCTGAATCACGAGCACCGAACAAGAGAGAGTTGGCATAGTCTAGACGGGACAGAACTAGACCTCTGACGGCCTGATGGCAGGCAGCTTGTGTGATGAATCGGCGAATGCGCCAGAGATTGCGTATGTGGAGGTTAATGGTCTTGCAAAGAAAATTAACTTGCTGGGACATATTTAGAGAACCATCCAAGGTGACACCTAAGTTCTTAATGGACTTGGAAACAGGAATAGAAAGACTACCTAATTTCAACTTAAGGTCGAAGAATGTAGGTAAAATACGGCTGTTGGCAAAGACAAAGAATTCGGTTTTGTCCTGGTTTAACTGCAGCATGTTGTGAATCATCCATTTGTTAATCATGGAAACACATGACGATAGCTTGGATAGCACGCGCTGACAATCACCCTCAGTTCGAGGCTCAAATTCGGCATATAGCTGAATATCGTCGGCATATGCGTGAAACCCGATCTCAAATTCACGAATGATTTCCCCAACCGGTGTTGTGTACATGATAAAACCAAGGGGTCCTATTATGGAACCCTGTGGCAAAGAGAAGGTGAGTATGTGTTCTCTGGAAAAATCACCTTTGATAGAAACCTTGGTTGAACGGTCTTTGAGGTATGTGCTAAACCACGACTTGACAGTGCCACGAATACCAAATTGGTTGTCTAGTCTCTGTAGCAGAATGTCATGGTCGACAGTGTCGAACGCGGCCGACATGTCTAGTAAGACCATGAGGACGGCTTTGTTTCGATCAAGAGATCCAAGAATATCATCCCTGACCTTGAGAAGAGCAGTCTCCGTACTATGATGTCTTTTGTACGATGACTGGAATTGCTCACCCAGATTGTTGCTGTCCACATGGTCTATGACTTGACACACCGCTGCCTTCTCAATAACCTTAGCCAAAAATGGGATGTTCGACACAGGACGATAACTCTTCAGGTTGTTATGATCAACAGGACTCTTCTTTGGTACAGGTGTTATAATAGACTGTTTGAGATTCATTGGGAATATACCTGATGAAAGTGATGTATTCACTATCTTTGTGATGACCGGTAACAATGAGGGAATATTTTCTTTGACTAACCAAGATGGTAAGGAATCAAGCGAGCAAGCTTTGTTAGAGAATCGCATGATGATCTTTTCAACGTCATCACACGTAAGCTGCTCAAATTCAGTCATGATAAAGGCAGTGGGAGCCGGCAGCTGCCCAGTGACATCAGTGGCATGTTCGGAGCTCACATGGGTCCTTATTTTCTGTACCTTCTCAATGAAAAATGTCAAGAAATTGTCAGCAAGCTCCTTATTAGATTCATGATCAGGGAGTTAGCTGGGAGTCTGGTTGGTGTGTCATGCAGTAGCTATTTTTTTAGCTTGCCTCATCTTCCACCAAATGTGACTCAGATTCCTGCCTTGGCCAACATGTCGATTGTGTTTTCAGTCCCTGCATGATTCCATGGGGTTTCCCTAGAATATCAATCTGGGGTTTTCTTTCCTCTTCTCAAACTGTAATTTCTTATGTCTTCTCTCTACATTCTTAGGCTTGCGAGCTGCAGTGCCTCGAAATGCTTTTGAGGAATGGTTTTTATTACCAGAAATAAATGTAATAAGTTTCCAGCACAAATGTTTCTCTTTTCTATTTTAAGAGTGCCAATTTCATTGCTCTAAGCATAGAAATATTTGACTGAACAAAAACAAACTGCTGTTTACGTACTCTGTGTCTTTCCCTGGTGAAGGAATTGTTTCCCCTTCGTCGCATTGGCAAAACTCTCGAGCGTAATGTCCTGGTTTGCAGACGCTACAGCAACACAACCTTCCCTGTTCATCCCGATGTTCGTACGTTGGATCATGAATGTCTCTATCATGCAGTATACAAAGTTCTTCCTGTAAAACAAATGTCAAATACATTTATTTCAGTGAGGAAATTTGATATAAGAAAAATCCTGGATATTTAAAAAAACAATGAGGCCTTTAACAGTTTTGAAATCATCAAATTTGTGTGTACTAGTGTGCATGTTTATTCATAAACAAAAAACTTGTACGAGAGGGGTGCGATCATGCATTCACTTGAGCATTTTTCTTAACTGTACAAAAAAGGGAAAGTTGGGAGATTCACATACATTGCCGATGGTGCCTGGCGCTCATGCAAAGATGCAATATGGCTTAGTGCATACACATTCAGAAAATTTTTTTAATAGTATTTTGTGCCATACTTGCGCGACCCGGTACACACACACAAACACATTTGTTTATGGTGTAAATCGAGGAATTTCTTTAGTTCCTCTTCCCTTTTCCTTTGTTTATACTCTTAACTTTTTTGCAACAGCTCTTATTGGTTCTGTACACGTTTTATAATCGAGGTCGTTCTCGATTTGGTTCCTATCCTTGATTCATTGATGATGTTGCACGTGTGTGTCCTCGATTTACCCCATAAACACGTACACAGTGCGTCCCATCTCTGAATCATAACCATCTCTGAAAAATAAAATTACAGAGATGAAAAACAAAATACTTAAGTATTTTGTTTTTCATGTTAAACTAACATTTGGGCCGGGCAAGAAGGTATTGTCAGTAGTACTCCTGGGCTCCTGGCTGTGCAGAGCGCCTGGGGGCTGCAAATGTCTCTTCAGATTGCTTTCATAGGCGACGGCGGACCTATACACAGCTACTCCAACCAAGGCAAGTAAAACCTGCAAGGGAAATCAAACTTTCAAAATCATGTAGGCAAAAAAGTAAAATAGAGAACATTTTTCTGGTAACACCATGTGGAAAGATATTTCTTCTTGGAAGAAGTGTGGTTCTGAAAAATTGGTACGTATGCTTCGGACAGTGTGCTCTATTGGCTGTCCTCAGGAGGGTGAGTAAGTGTTCTCTTTTTTATCTCATCCGCCATGCAAAGCTTCAAGTGATATAAGAAAAAAGTAGTCGAGCTTAATTGGCGCAGTTTCAGCTGCTAGGCAGAAACGTTTGCCCAGCCGGAGCAAATTTAGATGATGAGAACCAGTACCAGTACATCACATAAAATTATGGCTAGTAACCCATTTTTGCTTATTATATAGTTCACAAGTTCACGAAATTGGCCCCTCTGAACACGGGAAAACCCGGCCGACTTATGTTGTTTATGTGAGCTAATGTTTATTAGCTCTACTGTGTGGAGTGCTAGTTACTAGTAGTTCTAGTGCTCCACTAATTAGATTTAGATTATGAAAAAAGTAAGACTGCTGCAAACTGCTTACTGACTGGGTGGACCTGAAATATATAAATCTAAAAATTAATGTGGCCTGATGTTGCGAACTTAGCAAGTTCTTCTTCAGAGGCTAAAACAGAAATGACAGAGGCACATACATTAACAAGGGGGTGCACACAAACATGCAGGGATGAAAGAAGAAACACAAAAGGAGGATTAGGTGGGAAAGGTGAGGAAAGATGCAGGGGAGGGTGGATGAGAGAACATAGAAACAAAGGGAGATGGCAAACCACAAGGGGTCTGGTATGAACAGGGGAGGGACCAGAAAGGGGAAGGATCAAAGGTCACAGGGAGTGGGAACGGACAAAAGAGTGTGGGAGTGAAGGGGGATTATGCGGGGGGGGGGGGGGGGGGGGGGGGGGGAAGGGGGGGGGAAAGGGGGGGGGAACAGTATGGAGGTGGAAAGGGATGAAAGATGGGGGAAGATGGGTAAACACAAACAATGAGGACCAGGTGGATTATCTGTAACAGAAGACAATGGAGGAAGAAAAAGATTAATCATTTCCAAGTTGGATGTTGAGACCATGTGGTTGAATAGTTCGAAGACGATTCATCCACAATTTCTCTCTGCTGAGGCGAACTGAGTCCTTGCGATGGCCAAGAGATTCAATGCCCTGCAAAATCATATCAGAAATGGAGTGGTTAGGCAGGTTGAAGTGATGACCAACAGGGGTGTCTAGTTTCTTGGTGTTGACCGTTGACCGGTGGGCATAGAAACGCTTCTTGAGCGTATTCTTAGTCTCACCTACATACTGCACTCCACAGACCCTGCAAGAAATGAGATATATGACATTAGGGGTGTTACAAGTGATGTTACCAATGGTTCTGTGGGTAGTGACAGAAGAGTGGCCAGAAAAGGAGTCACACTCCTGGATATGAATCTGGCAGACAACACATCTGGAACTGCACTTGAAAGTACCATGCTGGGTGGGAGGGGATGCATCTAACGAAGGGACTTCAGCTCGAACAATCAAGTCCCGTAGATTTCGAGGACGCCTGTAAGCCAATGTGGGGCCGTTGGGGATGGCGCGGGCAAGGCGATCTGAAGTATGGAGGATATGATGATTGTCATTAGTGATTCTGCGAAGGGGAGGGAGATTGGGGTGAAACGTGGTGACCAAGGGAATCATGGGTTTGGCCATGGCATCAGGGGCCTTTCCCGTGAGAGCTAGATTTCTGGGGATAGCTTTAGCTCTGGCAATGGCACGATGAACTTGGCGAGAGCTGTGACCCCTGGCCACCAAGTTGTTCCTCAGTATCTGTGTATGGCGGGAGAAATCGGAATCATTAGAACAAATTCTTCTGAGTCTGAGTGCCTGGCTAAACGCTATGCCAGTTTTGCAGTGCCTGGGGTGACAGCTGGAGGAGTGGAGGTACTGGTGGGTGTCTGTGGGTTTGGAATACAGGTCAGTGGTTAGTGAGTTGCCTTGTTTGCGGACGGTGACATCCAGAAAGTGGGTTTGGTGAGCCGAGAACTCCGATGTGAATTTGATGGTTCTGTGGAAGGAATTGATGTGGTTAGTGAAGGTCAAGAGACTGTCCTCATCGCTTGTCCAGATGAAAAAAACATCATCAATATATCTCCACCAGATCCAAGGGCGACATGGGGCCGAGGCAAGAATGCGTTCTTCGAGGTCACCCATGAAGAGGCAAGCCATGGATGGGGCCATGCGAGTGCCCATTGCAGTGCCGTGTACCTGTAGATAGTGTTCACCAAGGAAGGAAAAATTGTTCTTCGTTAGTATAAGTCTCATGAGGGTGCCAACATCACTGATGGGAGGAGTCGTGTGTCCTGCCTTGGCCAGAGCCAAGGAGCAAGCACGAACACCCTCCTCATGTGGGATGTTGGTGTACAGAGATGAGACGTCGAAAGTCCCAATGATGGCCGTGCTGGGAATCTGGTCCTTGATTCCTTCAAGCTTGCGTAGGAAGTCTGGGGTGTCGTGAATGTATGACGAAATCTGTGGGACAAGGGGTTTGAGAAAACTGTCAATGAACAGGGAGATGCGTTCCGTGGGTGAGCCATTACCGGAGATGATGGGTCTACCGGGGTTGCCAGCCTTGTGAATCTTGGGTAGAAGGTAAAATCTGGCAGTCCTACAATCACAGGGAGAAAGAAATTTGTGAGCTTTCTTGGACAACTGGTCACGTGATCGCATGTCGTCAAGTACCTGTTGTATATCTTGACAGAAAGTGCCTGTGGGGTCAGAGTCAAGGCGGGTATAGTTAGTGCGATTACCCAACTGGCGGTGGGCCTCATCAATGTACTGCTGACGATCCATGATGACCACAGCTGAACCTTTATCTGCTGGCTTGATGATGATGTCAGTGCAAGAGCGCAAAGAGTTGAGAGCCAGGCGCTCCTCTCTGGGGAGATTATCATGAGTCCTGTGGGGGAAGTTGTCCGGGTTAGTGACTTGGGAATTTATAACTTGAACGTATGTCTCTATGGCTGACACACGATTTAGACTAGTTAGAGCTATATCATGAGAATATCTACTGAGCAGTATTATTATGTTACCCCAAAGTTTGCCCAAACCGATAATATTTGACTTATAGCTTGAATTGTCCAGCTTTCCTGGCAAATCTCCCCATTATGTCATGGGCCTATCACAAACGAAAAGTGATTACTTAATAACATCCTTTGTGACTGTCCTATTTTTTCTTTAAAGTACTACATACATGACATAAAATCCCATTGGCCATATGTCTTTACAAATATTCTATTTTGACAGAGTTTTAAGGCGCCCAGGCCGGTGTGCTAGCTTCAGTGCTTGTCTGCGTGATCGGTGAAAAGTATTCTTGATTCACTTTTATATATGCCAGACATTGGCCGTGAAGAAGTACGGTATAAAGTCATGATTAACACTGACCTAGTTTGCAACTTGAAAAGAAAGATATGTTATTGCATGTATTGCTAGAAAAGTTGGACCACAAACTGAATACAAACCCAACAGTCACACTTCAAAGTCTTCATCACGTTCATGGCGATTTCTTTCACACACGTATAGACGTACTGCACAGTTAACTTGTCAAGCTTATGAGACGAAAAATACCAGATCTTGACTTCAAAAGTCGGGAATTGTTTAAGTCTAACCTACGTACGCAATTATGTTTGTGGAATGCGTGAGGGAAATTCCCTGCCCCAAATATAACACGACGTCACGGTACCAGCGCGCGGTGGGCCAACAGTGCGCCCCCATTTGTTTTGGGTTTATACGTACGGGACAAAACTCCGCATGTGATTGGTGCAAAGTTTGACTTTCTTCCCGCGCCGATAATTTCTTACAAGTCGAGGTGTGACGGAAGGGGACACATTGTTAGCATCACAAATGTTGTTGTTGTTGTTGTTTTTAATCTTACAATGTCTTTGTTGCGGGGCTGCATGAAAAAGCGTAAAACCGGAAAGAAGTCAAAGAATGAAGGTCCTCTTTTATAATAATAAAAAATGAAGGTCCTCATTTATAATAAGGGAATAAATGTGTGCTCGAGAGGTTTTAATCACTCTGTTTAAGACTGCTTAGAGTCTGGGTGCTGATAATTACCCGAGCCGGTTCTTATATAGCGCTTTTAGTAAGATCAAAGCGCTGTACATTATTGTTTCCTCGAAGGAGTAACAATCAATGCCCTTTGTTAAGCGCTTATCCGTACCTTTTCCAAAATAATCTGTCTGGCGAGGGACGTACACCCATGCATTGATGAAGATGACAGTTGACCACTATATAAGCACTATATCTTTTGAGCTTTTCCACGCTAATGTGTAACGGAGCCTTGAACCCTATGATATTTGAGCTTGTGGATTAACCTATGATAAGGGACTTTATCAAAATGTTTTAATCTTATGCTTTAAACTTTTCCATTCCTCCGGCTGTTAAGTTGTGCTCGACATACAGTGGCGGCGGCATAGATCGGGATCTTGTCCTCTCGCGTTGAGCCCCAAAAAGGACTCGCCCTGGAGTGATTTATTTGAAACCTTTCTCACTCCGTGGCAAATTCCAACACCAAAATGGAAAAAACACCAGTGATCTGATCTGATTAATGGTGGTGTATGCCTGACCCCATGTAAAGCACAATTAGTTTACCAGTAGAGTGCTCACGCTAACAAATTCCAACTAACCCTGGTGTTGGAGTTTGACTGGTTGGGGCCGGGGAAAGTTTTTGAATGTTAATGGCCACTTACGGCCTTCAAGAGATCTTCATTCTTATTAAGGTCTGCGACAGTGCTTTCAAATAATATGTTCCCTTTATTCACCACCAGCATTATTAAGAATACATATAAAACAGTATTGGGTCATTCCATAAATTCAGGGTACAAAAATATGAATTGTTTTGTGTCCCTGCTACCCCTGACCCGTGTAACTTGCTTTGCAAGTATCATTAAAATTGACTTCTCTATTTTTTTTACATTGTATATATACTGGCAGGTACGTTGCTTTTCATAATGCTGGTAGGTTGCTTCACACTTTAGGAGATAGAAGGAATTAAAGAAAGTGTCCACAAATGCTGATACAAAATCTTATATCAAACAGGGGCACACAAAAAAATGGACCCTGAATTTATGGAATGACCAGTGTGAATACATTTTATATACATGTATTTACATTGATATTTTTCATTCTTAAATCAATTTTAGGCAGGACTAAGCAAATGTCCATGAATTGCAGACAGGAGAACAATTGCCCGGAATTTGCCTCTTAATGCTCAGTAAAACTGTGCATACTTAAGATTTCCTTGCTTGCAATTTGGAAAAAGCGCAACTCTGTGATATGCACAGATGCAAATGTACCAAAATTCCTCCTGTTTTTAATTACTTATTCATCGAACTTGCTGTACAATTTTTAATAAAGCATTATAAGCAAAATTCCTACAAGCGTACACGATTCAATGCATTTGTGACATCACTGACAACATTTAAGAACTGTCGTGCAAATAAAAATTGATTAATTCCGGGCAATGTAAGCAAATTAAGCAACACAAAAGTCTTCACATCTCATCATAATTTAAGCTTACAATAAAAAAGTGATAATATAAAAAACTGCAATTTACATCCGCATTTACCGAATAACATTTATCTGAGTGTTCCTTTTTTTAGCAATTTTCCAATTAATGAAAACAATTACGAAAACAGGCATGCAACTCGCAGTAACAAAAGAGGGAAAATTCCCAGCTTTACAAGACTCTGCACTCTACATTTCAAATTTTAGTGACAAATTGTGAAGTGAAAAACGAGGAAGTCGCTGATTCTGAGGAAAAGTTGCATGCCTGTATAAATACCTACAAGAAAATCAAGAAATATACAAAAATATGCGATCTGCCAAAACCCTTCCACACTGCATTTCTTATCTGAAAGCAGTGACATCTTCTTTGATAAGTGGTTTTTCTGTTTCACAACATCTATTTCAAAAAATCTGAGTAAATATAGATTAGATTTTGAGATGTTTCTTGAATTGCTACAATAGTTATTCATGCCACTTTTTAATCCAGGGGTTTCCATAAATGCAGATCGCATAATAAATATGCATCTATTACTAAATTAAACCAAGGTATATTTAAAATAATAAAGCAGAGCAAAAATATGCAACTATTAAGAACAATGCCGAACAACCCTCGGATAAACACAGAGTTGAAAAACATTTACAAAAGTTGTTTTTTTCGGTATGCATATTAATTGTCTAAACAGTGCTACAAATCACACATTCACATTATTTTTGGTGCAAAGAAATTTGGTCCTTTTTGCATAGCATACCATTGACACGTATAAAATGACCAAATGCAAAAAAGGAAAGACACAAAAGTGAATAGAAAATATCCCTACCCTGTGTGAGAGAAATGCCGACGACAGTATATGACCAAGAAGAACTAGTGTGTGCCCTTAGTATTAACTCAGGTGTGACAACAATTTCAGGCATTTGTGTATTTCAGTAAAAAAAAAATTGATCATGTTTATACCAAAAAGAATAAAAACTCAGCAAGTTTTCGAAGCAGTGCTTCATCTTACCATTGGAACCCTAAAATAGCCCGACTTCAAAATGTGTATGGACATGGTGGAGGACAAATTTCATATTTTTATTTTTTTTTTGGAGATTTGAAGGCAACCTGGTGTCACACACGTCTTGGAAGACTGAGAGCATCTTACGAATAGTTTGGAAGTGTTAAGTGATCGGTAATATATAGCAATGCATTATGGGACAGGTTGCCCAACGGTGAAATGAGGATTCTATACACCGCAAACTGTCCCACATGCAACGTAACATATTCCTACAGTATACATTGGCAGCTATCCATAAGAAGAAGTTGAGGAGTAAAGACAATACTTCTTAAATTGTCAACAACTTATACCAACACGTCCTCATCTGAAGCCTGTTAAACAGCCTCTCAGTTGCAGCGGCAAAGCCGAATGGGGGGAGGGATATGGCGGGTGGGGGGGGGGGGGGGACACGCCCCCATAAAAATAATGCACCCCTACTCCCCACTGGAAAAAGGTGTCAATTCGTCCCACCATGCCCACCCCTCTTCCTTGCCTGACTTATCTTGCCTGAAGGAGTAAAAAAACACACAGATAGACACATTATTCCTGCAGGATCCAATTCTCACTGGATCAACTGTAAGTTTCATATTAGTTTAACTTCAAGATCATTCTCAGTTCAAAATCTTTCGCTAACAAGGAGCAAACAACAAGATGCTTACCGGTACGTTTGTTTCTACCCTTTCCCCTGCCCCTGCCGCTATCAGGTGATGATGCATTCAATGGACTGGACGAGGTAGGTTCGTCAATATTCACTACAAGGGGAGACCATAAACATTTGTAAATAACCGAGAAAGGTATACCAATAGATTCCTATTGGTCGAGACCCTGTCACGTGGATGGTTTTAAACTGCCATTTGAACATCGGCAGGTGACGTTTACCGGTCATGAAATGATGCACTCTCCACCACGCGCACACAGTGCCCACTGCTTGTGCCAAGAAGTGACCTGAAGTTTTGATCAAAATGTCATGGGAAATTTGTGTTTTTTCACATTTTTGAAGTTTTAGGCCACAGTGGAGTAGTTGAAACATCCGATTTGGCCTGGTCCATTATCCGCTACCAGGCCTCTAACCAGCTACTGTACTCTAGCAGGCTATCTATGCGACTACCTGAAGGAACATAGGCATAGCCAGGGGGGGGGGGTGTTAAGGGGGTTATTTACCCCCCCCCCCCAATATTTTGTAAAGAGTGCCCTTTTTGTTAACAAGTGCTCTTTCTTTTCTGAACATTTGTCCTTTCTAAAAATAAATTGTGCACTTTTTGTGCTCTCGGCGATTCCAAGTACCTTTCTTTTTTTAGAATTTCATGCGTGTTTTGCCATGAAATGCACCAGATATTGTCCGTTAGTGTGCATAATTGTTGGTTTTGTACAGCGCCCTCCTTGACAGATGGTTAGCATGTGTCAGTTGTAGGACAAGTGTCCTTTTTAAAAACTATTTAACCCCCCCCCAATAAAAATGACCTTGCTACGCCACTGAAGAAACCCCAACCCCTGTTTACTGAGTTAAATTACCTTCGTCTCCAGTACGATTGTTATTATCTCCCCAGCCAGTGACAACTCCTTCTATAGATTCAAAATAAAAAATATACAAGTTAGCGTTTTACAACATGACAAATGTGTTGACCAACTGACACATGCTAACTCAGATATTAGCGAGCATGTGACAATTTTGTTTACATTCAGATGAAGCTTACAAAAAATGTCTCACCGAGTTCCATGCCGGATCTGTCATCCTTTGAAACCGCAGCTGAAAAGTGAACAAAACTTCTTGTATTTGTTACTTCCATCAAAATGTTTTTATCAAGCAGATGAATATTTTGAAAAGTGACAAAAAATTCTAGAATTTGTTACTTCCATCAAATGTTTTTGGGGTTTTTTTTTTCAAGCAGATCAATAATTATTCCCGGCACATGTGAAGTTAAGGTACATGCAACATGTGACCCAACCAAACCATATTAAGAAGCAGTACTTTGACATAATATCACACAATGCACATGGGTCACTCTATAAACTTGAGGTCCACTTTGTTCCTGTCCCTGTTACATCTGACACCTATGATTTTATAATTCTGATGCACTCCTTAACTAACAAATAAAACAATCCTTTGATGTCATTCTTACTGATACTTGAATGGCAAATTACATTTATAGAATTGGCTAGATGTGGAGCATAATTAAAACATTTTCTTTGGTAATAGGGATGATTTCATGCATTTCGCAAAAATACAAGATGCTACATGAAGATGGAACTTTTATACTCAATCCAGGAGCTGTCAATTTGAAAAGATGTAAACAATACAAGTCACAATTCTCTCATTGGGGAAATTGTCAACTTTGTTTTACGTTTCAGTCCTGAGAACAGCAAATTCCTCTTTTGGCATCTCACCTTTACGAGTAAGGGGATCATAATACTTCTTGATGTAGAGACACGTAGCACCTATTCCAATGAATATGCCGACCGCCAATATGCTCAAACCAACAATAATGCCGATTTTCCATGTCAAGCAATAAATTGCATCTCCTGTGACTAATGTCGGTCCTTCTGTGGTCCCAGTTGCATCTAACAAACAAAGGCAAAAAGTAAGAAAAACAACTGACCACTTAAGACAAAAACACATTCCGTAATTTCTTGGATGCAAACATTTACAGGAATCAATGCAAATTATTTTTTTACTTTCGGTGACAATGTGTACAACTACAGCCAGAGCAGTGAAATTAAAAGTTACAACTAAACAGACACTTTTGCATCACTTTTGATTCAAAGCTTGTGTTATTGAGTGAATGGTTCTGAAAGAGAACCAGCCATCAAAACTCTTGTTCATAACGCTTGTGTTCATATTGGGAAAAGACAGGCTTGTGCTACTTCAGTTGAAAATTAAACGCTTGTATTATATTTTCACCGCAATTCATGCTTCTTTTGGGGGGGAATATATGCATTTCAAAAAGTCTAAAATATGTGACAATTAAAGGTAAAGTATATCATTTTGTCATCAGTGCGTTTTTTTTGTTTGAAGCAAAAAAAGTGGTCGAAATCTGAAGGAGAGTGCTGAACAACTACCCTGATGAAGTTTTAAATCAGTGAATGCTGTATATATTCCAAGAAAACAACATTTTAGAGTCTCGATTTAAATTCAAAAGTTGCTGAGTCATATTTTGAATTGCACCTGAAATCAGCGTCCGGGACACGTTCTCATTCAGCCGATTGCAGCTACACGATGTCACATACTGAATCGACAAATCAAAGCAACCATGTGCGTTGTGCCAAATCTTACGCACACCCATTCATGGCTTTGCCGAATAGAAAACAAACTGCTAACGAAAATTTTCAAAGATGTACGTGTCTCTAGACGCATCTTTGGGAATGACCTGTTTTCTTCAAAATGACAGCATGCCAGAAAGAATAATTTCACAGGGAGTTTAGTGCCATTACTATCTTCAAACCAAGTGTGCTTTTCAACAATAACTTTGTCAGTTACTTTTTGGATAGCTGCAAATGATCTACTCTACCTTTTAAACACATACCTGATTGGACACCTTAGTGTACAAAATCGGGACCTGACAATATCAATTCTTGCCAAATATGCCCCAAAATACATTTTCCACCCACTTTTTTCTGCTTATTGCATCTGGTGTGAAAATTGTTGACTTTTTGGAGAGTTTTGCTTGAGTTTTTCACAAACAAATTACAAACACGTTTCATGATTCAATGTCATTGTGGTCAAAATCACCTGTTGTGTCGTCACTAGGAACTCCGGTCAAATTGGCCGCCGGACTTTGAGTTGATTCCATCCTGATAAATGGTGACACAGTCTCTGATACTATGCTGGTGTCTTGAGATGTGAAACCTATTTCAGAGACATGAAACAAGACAAATGTATTAAAGCTGGTCCCAGAGCACATAAACTCCCATTCAATTGATTCAAAATGGCTATTCAGTGGAAGCTGCTTCATCATAAATTTTAAATGTAGCCTACACATTGGGCTAGATTTAAGCCCATTCATTGCCATTCCACTTTTCTTTTTTTTCAAATATCCGCAACAAGGTGAAGACTTAAGCAAATCTTATTTACAAGTGACAGTCAGTGTTAGAGTCAGTCAGTCAGGTACAAAGAGGACTATATTGACTAGCCTTTTAAAAAATAAATCACGAAAATATGCAAAAGTACGTAGAAAATGTTGGATCTCTTTTAATTTTATAAAAGCATCCTTTTTTTTCGGACTATTACCTTTAAAAAAGGTATGCAAAGTATACAAATCAGCTGCACTAAATTAGACTTTAACATTTGTGAAATATGCTTGTGTGACTGTTTCGCACAAAAAGTGGTTCATAATTGGTGTTAGGAAGATTTTGCCCTGTGAATTCAGTATTTTTTTGGGCAGTGAATGTTTCATGACATCAAATCCACTTCACATTCATGTGATGTACAAACTGGCTTCAACAAAAACTGAAGAATAACAGCAATTTTTTCAAAGCATGAAATTTGTTTTGCTTTTTGGGACTAACCTATTGGGGTAGGAGTTACAAGCTCTGTTGGGTCTGGAATCTTTCGGCATTTGTCCGTGGAGTTGCTCTTGGGTTGACTGTATCCCTCCTCACATCGTTGGCAAACCATAACGTTGTACTGTTTACCATCTACAAATACCAAATGCTTTCAATTAAAACTACTACATTATTTTGGCATAGGACAAGAGACAATATCAGTGTTGTAGTCGAGGCCACAACCTCCGAGGCTGAGGCCGAGGCCACAACCTCCGAGGCCAAGGCCGAGGCCACAACCTCCGAGGCCAAGGCCAAGGCCACAACCTCCGAGGCCGAGGCCGAGGCCACAACCACGAGGCCAAGGCCAAGGCCGAGGCCGAGGCCACTACCTCCAAGGCCAAGGCCGAGGCCAGCTATCAAAACACGTAATAAAATATAAATCACTAAAACAAGGCTAAGATTATGTTGGAGTTTTAACATCTTTTTAGTTGAATTCACTGAGAGTTTTGGAGTGCCTGGCTTACAAATTTACAGCTTGCAATGGGTTTCCTCTTGTAGGGAGTCCGGCGAATTTTATTTTTTAAAGAAAAAAATCTCAAGTTTTGTATCACTGAAAGCAAATTACACAACAAAATCAATGGCGTTTGAATCAGGCTCATAGGTGTTTGCCCTTTGGAGATACAACAATTTAAATGGCCAAATTTTGAGTTTCTATTCTGTAAGATTTACATCATTTACTTTCAGCATGTTTTAAAAATCTTATTTTCAAAATGCTTAATATCATAGGAATCCCCATTAAATAAACAACAACTTGATTTTTGAATCAGGTTTTTACCACTCACAACCAAAAAGTTACGACCCCCCCCCCCCCCCCCTTCGCATTGTCCAGGCGCGCGCCGAGCAAACAAAGCGATGCGACCAGACAATGCCAGACGGCCCGCCGTTACGCACGGGCAAAGCATAGTTCCAATCCCGCTCCACACAATGGGATTAGCGTCCACGCATTATCACTGTGAATACCGCAGTACCAGACAAAGTCTGGCAATGGCCAATCCCGCTCCAAACAACACGGCAACACGGAACATGCGTGCATGATATCACTCAGTTCATCAAAATGTCCATGAATTCTCGGATCATCCGATTTGAATCCAGTGGCTTTGAAGAATTTTAAGATCATGGCGAGAGGTAGGGAGTCCAGAGGTTTTGGCCGTATATCTGTAACCACGCAAAATTAGTCCATTTCAAATTGTGCTTATACATGTAATAAGTATCAACATGGCTCTAAAAATACAAAAAAGTATCCTGGTACCACGAGGAATACTGACTCCTATTATCAAAACATTCATTCAGAACTTTGCATTCATTTGGGTACTTTTAATCGTCCATGTCAATATATTTCTTGTCTTCTTGATATCCTTTAATCTCTCCAAATATAAGCCATATTGACAGGTTGGCATCGTGTTTACTTTCCTCGCCTTCCACCTCTATGGCCCCGGTTCGATTCCTGCCCTGGTCCACATGTGGATTGGCTTTTCAGTCCCTGCCTGATTCTGTTGGTTTTTTCTAGAATAATTTTCTGGGCTTTTCCTCCCACCTCTGAAACTGCAATTTCTTCTCATTGTCTCCTCTCTATAGATTTATTCAGGCTTGCGATGTGACCAGGGCGCTTTTGAGGAATCCTTGGTTTCATTACCAGGAATAATTCATAATAATAATAATCAATATCAATGACATAACATGCGGGATTACATATATGTTTAATTTGTGCATAAAAAATAAACTGTACCACAATTACCTCCAAACCTCGGTTCATGGTCCACATCACATCTTGGTTTTGGTATGCAGTCATTTCCATCTACGGAATAACCCTCACTCCCACACTCGCATTCGGTATCACTAGTTGCAGGACATTCAATTTTCTAAAAAAAATACAAAAAAATGATCGTGTCACAAACGTAAATGAACATGAAATTTCATTAATAAATCTTGGGACAGCTGAGCTTAGCAATTCCTATTGGTCAAGAGCCCACACATGGGTAGTTTTAAAAACCGTTCATGATTAATTTTTAAAAATTAAATAATGATTAGAAACTCACCACGATCCATGGGTGAGGACAGGCTTTGCAGTCAATCCCCGTCGTGCACTTGTTGTGCACTGGCATGAATTGCTTGCCTTGCTCAACCAATCTACATCTATGAGGATTAACAATGAAAAGCACTTTAATAACTTCCGGAGAAGAAAAAAAAAAAGTGTGAGTGCACAATAAGCTCTGGCCTTGTTGCAAGATGTCTTGCATGAAGTCTTGCATGAGATCGATCAACTTAAATGATCCCTCTCAAATTGATCCCTGCCAGAACTGTTCCAAATTTTGGACAAGTGTATTTTACATAAGGAGTGGATTTATCTTAAAAGTTTTATGAATATTTCCATTTTAGACGTCATGCAAAAAAAACAGACAAAATGGCACACCTGGAACATTCGCTATTACCATGCCAACGGATATTAATCTCCGTTATCACGCGTCCAACCAATTAACGCAAGTCTGCTCAGTGCATTTTGTACTAGAGCCTAGAACAGTCATTCGTCCTTGTCTGTAGCTGGATCTGTGGTTAAAGCTAGAGTCCATCATATGCAGCCATCCGAAAAGTAAATGGCGTAGTTATTGTTGAAAAACATACTTAGATGAAAGATAGTAAGGGGACTAAACTCCCTGTGAAATTATTCTTTCTGGCAAGCTGTCATTTTGAAGTATTCAACGAAAGAAGGCTTTTCCAACGGTGCGTCTTAAGATTTAAATTATTAGTTCGTTTTGTTATTCGGCGAAGCGCGCGCAAGCATTGGCACAATGCACACGTGCGCACAGTTGCTATAATTCGTCGGATCAGTGCGCGACAGTGCGTATATCTGCAGTGAGAACGTGTCTTGGACGTTGCATTCAGGCCCAATTCTAAACATAATTCAGCAACTTTTGATTTGAAATTGAGATCCTAAAATGCCGTTTTTCTCTGAATATACAGCTGAAGCTGAGCTGAAACTTCATCAGGTTGTTGTTCAGCACCCGTCTTTAGACTTTGAGCATTTTTGTTGCTTCAAACGAACAGAATACACAAATTACAAATGATGGACTATATCTTTAAGTTCAGCTAGTCCTAGAGCCGAAATATTTTTTCCACCTGATTCAGAAAGTCTTTTTTGTATATCTGGTTTATGCAATGGGTAAGATTGCACTACACGGTACTTCTATACGATAGCACTGCCCAACACACAAGGGGGAGTCGGGGAGTCAGGGAATAAGTCAGTCAGTAAGTTAGTCAGTCAGGTATAAGAAGGGCATGGTGCCCTGGGACCAGTGAACCATGCCCTTCTTAGTATTCATGAATACAGTCCTTCTGATTTGAGGCGTGCGATAGCACCACCACACCATCGCACACCCAAGAGCTTCCTGAGAAGTGTGAATAATTGCACGCCTGAATTTCCCTGGACCACAGAATCACATGCAGAAAATCACACACCTAGAAAAACCACACGCCCAGAATATTCAAGGTGTGCCTTTTTCTACACGGCTGTGATTTTCAAAATAGAAGGACTGATGATTATACTCACTCTGTTCGTTGTGGAATATCTAATGTGGATCGGTCACATGTGCAATTTCTTGCGACAATGCGCCCTGGGAAGCACAGTTCACATTGACACTCAAGTCCAGTTGCATCAATATACTCATAGTAAACGTCACCCGAAGATCCACTCAAAAGACAGGAGTCACCCTAAAAAAATTGAACATGTTTTAATTAAATACTTTCTGTTTTGCTCCTTCATCACGAAACAAAAAATAATAACGGAGATATTTTTTTTAAATTTTTAATCTGGAAATGCGCTACAGCTCAGGTTAACATCACCTTTTATTGCTTTCATAACGAAATGAAAATTTCAGACAAAGATTAACACATACAACACTATTCTTAACAGGAATGCAACGGGGAATTCAGAAGGAAAAAAAACAAGCAAATTCCAAACCACAGAAGATTTTGTACAGCGTTTTTCAATTTGTAATGGCATTCATGGGAAGTCAAAAACAAGGAAATTAGCGGATCCGAGGAAAAGTTGCATGCCTGTTTAAAGAGAATGTACAACATTTGCTTTTGCTGCAATTTTCAGAAATAAATGGATTTGGAGGATTAGTGTGTTATAGAAAATATTGTTAAACTGAAAAACCAAGAAAACCTATCATATTCTTGTAGTCTGGTTCCCTGACCCCACTTAAGATGAAACGGAGCAATTAATACACTTTTGGGAACTGTAAGGTCAGAGAATCAGTCTAGCAAGCTTGAACCCCTTCACAGGTGTGTAATCAATTGCAAAGAAAAGTCAGAATAACTAAATATGAAAAAGTAGGAACAGTTTTTGAAGGAAAAAAAACAGTTTTCTCCAACACTGGTCGGCCGACCAGCGTTGGAAAAATGCAGTTTTTCTTGAAAATGACAGCACACCAGGAGCCATGGTTTTAAAGGATGCCTTAGACTGTCATTCCCTAACAATTCAGTAAGGTATTACGTGATAATTTAATCATTCCATTCTTGGATGTTTGCAAATGTTGTATCTTCCCTTTAAGTCAAAAACAGTATGTAACAAAAATGTTAATTTGAAAAGACAATGCAGCAACCAAAACTCGGAAAAATTAATTGCAACAAGTTTGACACAATTATTCACAATTGAAAGGGTTGGATGGGTGAATCAACCAAATAAAAAACCCAAAATATCAAATTAGTGGGGAACAATTTCCAAAACATATTACTTCACTGGTTGTACATGTAACAACAGAAAGGGTAGCATACATCCACTGTGCAGTTAGGTCTTTTGTACAAAAACAAAGGAAAGTGATCGATGGACGGCCCTTGACGATGAAGAATAATTGCATAGAAATGCAACAGTGATGTGATTAATGCGAAGTTATAAGTGTGCAAATTCCTTGATCTCAATAGAAAGATATGACAAAAAAAGTATTGAAACCCAATATCACCGCTATACTATAAAACTAAAGGGTATATGTGTGTGTGATGGGCGGCCCATCACCGCGTTATTGTAAATTTTGTATCGTTAGGTAAATTAGGACCGAGTTATGGGGACTTTCTGTTGTCCCCATATAGGGTCTTTTGTCCCTATAACAACACGAGACAAAACGAGTCCCACAATTACAGAACAATTAGAACACGTGTGTTTACGAGTTGATCGACGGGTTGAACAACCCGAAGCTTGCGACTTGCTTTCGAAGCAGGTGACAGGCCGCAAATTCAAGAGGTGACGTCACGTTGTCTATTACTACATGTACCTTTCCCATTTTAAATAAAGAAATACCAAAAGAGTAGGTGTGCAGCTGAAAAAAATGGGAAAATCTACCCAGAAAGAGAAATGTTGATGTAGATTCAAAACTTTTGAGCCCTTTCTACCCTAAAATTCCCAAAGATGAGATAAAAAATGTCCCGATGGTAAATTGCCTCTGCATTCAAACATGCACATTTTGCAGGCAAACATGCAGGACAGTCTGAACGAAGAAAACAAATTTTACGGCCGGAAATAGATCATAATTCAACTCAGTTTCTGAAAGATTGCAAAAGGAGTCGCAATATCTTGACATGATGATTTCCTTTTTGAGGCAGTCAAATACATTGATGGACCTCAATTCTCTTGATACGAAACTTCTGTGATATCTGCAGTGTTGTACTTGTGAGGGACTTGTGAGGGAGTTGTGATGGACTTGTGATTCATCATACAACACTGAACACCTGTGAGTTGAATGCATATATACATCACAAACAAAATCTCAAAGCCACTCCCAAAGAAAACAACTAAAGCATCCACATGCCCATGGGGTGACGAGCCATTGAAACTAATCTTCACGGTACCTTCAAAACACAGCTCAGAAGCATTTATAAAAAATCTCCATGAAGCCTGTTAGAAAAGAAATGTGTGTACTTCAATCACATGTAAAATATATGTTTCTAATGAAGGAAGGAAAATGAACTAAACTTCCGCAAACTGCTCACTGACTGGATCGTCCTGAGATGTACAAATCAACAAAGTTAGAGGGCCTGACGTTTCGAACCTGACAGGATTTTTCTCAAAGGCAAAAAAATAAATTAAAAATTCGATTTAAAAAATGGTCTTTCCAATTGGAGTAGATCTAGTGCCTGTCCTACATGTATATAATTTACTCACATTAGGCAGCGGATCAAACTTTGGTGATCTCTTCTCACGTTGCAGATCATCCGAGCCTGGGGCTGAACCATCTGACTGGTAAAGAGTTCCTGGCTGCTCCTGTTATACAGCGACAAAAGTAATTTTATACTCTAAAGATTTGAGAATATTTTATAAAATTACAAATACTTTCATTCGCAATTACAAATATTTTGAGAAAAAAAATTAAGGGAGATATTTGCAAAGTACGATCCTCATATGGTCCAAATAATTCAGTGTAGATTCTAACTCCTGGCTTAGAATTTCTAAGCCCATTGCATGCAAATATAGTAGCGGCCTTTAAATGGGTCAGGCTCAACTACAATTGAGACGGCATACCTAACAATATGTTGAGACCGTCCCAATGTTAGTTGGGACGATGCTTTAGTTGGCGCATAACAATTCCAGCTGCGTGCGCCTTTCTTCACTTAGCCCTGGCCATGTACATGTAGGTAAACGATGCCGACTGACTTCTAGAGCGCACTGCACCCATATTTTGAAGACTGCAAGCCCTATGCACTCGTATCTCCTGCACATATCAAGTCATGTACAGACATTTTTTTTTTCAAGACTGTGTGATGCCTGCACGTTATAGATTCCGGAAGCCTCACTTTTTGCCCCCCCTCCAAAAAAAAAATGGGTAAAGGGACAACAGAGGTAGGTACATTTAATATAAATCAATGCTCTATAACGCGACACCTAAATCTTACGTTTGAAAGGATTGATCCTGTAAAAATACCCTTTCCAAATTGTACACACTGCGTCGCTCGTTAAACACGTCGACTGCAGTCCTAATTTAAATGTGCCAAACTGTGGGGTTAAGATTGCGCAAGGCATGATGGGCACCAACATGGCGCACCAAGATTGTACCCATGCGCAGCAAGATCGTACCCATGGGGAACGAGGTTGAATAAAGCCTTCTTGTTTGTCAATCAAACAATACACATTGACCAATAATATCACTGCTTCTAGTCAGGTGACCATGCATGGTGGCTAGGTCAAACTCAGTCATGGACAATGTGAGAAATGTAAACAAGCAAGAAGGAACCATTCAAACTTACAATGTGTTTGAGCTGTTCAGGTTTAGGTGGGCTCTCCACCTGTTCACTGTCTTTGATCTCTGCTGAGCTTACATGTAGGTTGAAGCTCATCACCTGAGGAGTCTAAAAAAAACGACACCCAAAAAGACCTTTACTCAATTGATTCAAATGCCTATACGCTGGTAATCTTTTGATGCATCTGGTCAGGTCTACACAGTGCAACAGATATAAGCCCATTCATTGCTATTCAAGGAAATCCTATACAATAGCACTGCCCAGGTCTCTTCGCTAGTCTCTCAACCAGCATATTAGTTACCAATCACAGACTGTCTGTCGGTCAGTCAGTCCTTTGGGACCAGCACAAATTTGCAGTTTATTTGATTAAACCATGCAGACGTAGAGACAAAACATTGCCAAAATTCTTGTATTATTTGGAAGAGTTGGACATTCAAGTGTATTTGTCCGTTCCAAATTTTCTGCACAAACAGAGAAAAACCCACAAATGTTATCTCCTCAGATGCTGGATCCATCTCTGGCACTGCGGCATCTTCCTCGCCTCCAGCAGGTGGAATGGCATCAACCTGCTGCCCGGGATTATCTGGAAGTGCCTGCACAGATCACAAAAACCAAAACAGGAAATTCCAAATTCCTTGTTGTGGAACAGATTACAACAGCATATTACTTTTTTTTTATTAAAAGAAAAGAATAGATTTGCTCGGCATTGAAATAGCAACCTCATCTTCACTCAAGGAAAGAAGTTTTTGGTTACTATTCCATTTCCACATGATGGTTTTAAGCGCTATCTGTGAATCTGTGCGATCAGTCGATCACGCTATGGCATTTGATCGTGTCGCCATTGGTCGATCATGCCACCATCTGTTGATCCCTTTTCCTTTCTAATCCACTGCTCTGAAGGATTGCTTTGCAATAGGGAAGTAAAGTCTGAGAATTGCTACAGGATCGACTGATCACACAAGTGCATATAGCGTGCGATCGTGTGATAGCACAGATATCCACCGATCGAGCCGAACAATGGTTCCTTGTAACTTTGGTGGACTATTTTCCAGGGTTTGATACTAGTAAAAGTACATGTAGTAGGACTATTATTCAATATCAGAAATCTTTCTTGTGTTATGCCATTTGATATAGATTCGCAATGATGATTTTGCAATGCCGTAACGATAGCAGTTGAAAATCCATGGCTGCCACATTAGGGTCCTACTAAAGCGCGTCAACAAGCGTCAACAAGCTTAAGTAGTCGTTAAGTGCGCGTCAACACATTTTGTATAGGCCTTTGAACAATAAAAACAGCTTTATATGGTAGAAAAAGCAATAATGAACATCTTCTGCATATCAATTAAAGTTAAAATTACTTAAAAAGTGGTTTTCAAGCGCGAAATCTACGACGGGTTTTTCGGTTTAGTATTGGCCGCCATCTTGTTTGAGATACATACTACGCATGCGTGGAGTGTACCATTCACGCGTAGGGGTTTCTTTATACGTTACGCTTAGGAATTAGGAAAACTATTTTTTTTCAATTATAAATTATGCAAAACTTGCTCACGGTACTTGGCTAATTATTTGAAAAATATGCCGACTGACACTGTTCACAATGTCTGCCAAAAAATCCCAATGCAAAAACCAAACGAGGTTTCGCTAAGCGTAACGTATAAAGAAACCCCTATGCGTGAATGGTACACTCCACGCATGCGTAGTATGTAGATCTCAAACAAGATGGCGGCCAATACTAAATCAAAAAACCCGTCGTAGATTTCGCGCTGGAAAACCACTTTTTAAGTAATTTTAACTTTAATTGATATGCAGAAGATGTTCATTATTGTTTTTTTCTACCATATAAAAGCTGTTTTTATTGTTCAAAAGCCTATACAAAATTTGTTGACGCGCACTTAGCGACTACTAAAACTTGTTGAAGCTTGTTGACGCTTGTTGACGCGTGTTGACGCTTGTTGACGCGCTTTAGTATGACCGCCACATTAAACTATAGCCTGTATTTTTACTTCACTTACATCTTGTTTTGACAAGCCTTCATCCTGCTTGTCATTGTCCTGTGATTCAGGAGATGTTAAATGAAGAAGACTGATGTCCTCCACATGCAAGGGCTATAAGACAGGAATTTAAAAAAAAAAAAAAAAAAAGTTGAAATATTTTATAAGACATTAAATAAGACACTCGTGACATATGGGAGATTCTACCAGCGAATCTCCCATGTCATGAGCCTAGTGAGCTGGAAATTTCAAGCTAACAACATAAAACTACAAATGAATCCCAAAATGTTGAAAATGAATCTAATGAGGTCCATATTATTTGGACTAGATGTTCCTTGTCAAAACATGCACGTTTTGGGAGGTCTTCAAGTAGGCCTAGACTGATTTGAGGCCTTAAGTGAAATTTGAAGAGGCATCTAAGAAAATTTTGTGGACAAAAAACGCAGTAAAATTTGAAACTCATTTTTTTCCCTTCGGTATTTTTTTTCTTCTAAGATATGACGTACTTTTATCATATAGGCCTATACGTCAGAAAGTTTCAGCGCAAAATACATTATAAAAAGAAGGAAATTGGAGCTAAGGCCAAAAAAATAGTTCTGCTTCCGATTACATGACATTCCAAAATAGGGTAGGTAGGCCTATGTAGGGAATTTTTTTGTGTACGATCATATGGAGGCGTCTGCGTGCAGTCAAGGGTAAAATGTAAAAATTGATGGTTTTGGGTGTTTTTTCCGATTTGTCCCATAAACAAATAAGGGTAGGGGCTTTCAGAATAGGGTAGGTAGGGAAACCGGAAGCAGAACTATTATTTTTTGGGCCTAAGGCATTGCCATTTTGAAAGAAAACACTTTTTATAAATTATATTCACGATCCATTTGATGAACAGTTCATCCAAAAGTTTGTCAATTGTCATATTCCTTTTACAAAATCAAACAAACAAAAACACCACCAGTGACCCCATAGGGCCTACCCTCCCCCCGGAAAAACACGAATCTGACCAGCATGACCAGTACTATATGATTACTTATAATTATAATTACTCTGCACAGAACCAACACAGACTGGGGTGGGGTTTTTTAAGACAGTTTTTAGCAATTAAAAGTTAGGCCCAGTGCGCTGTCGGAAATAGGTGTCTTTCAGTTTAAACGTGAACAACAACACACATTGGTATACGGAAAGTCATGAAAGTTGCACGCTAAATCATGAATTTTCTGTACTGACATGTCATAACAACCTTCACAATCACCAGACCACAAAAAAGGTGACTTACCAAACTAACAAATAGAATGACGCAAAGTAGAATGCCATTCATTTTTGAAGAATTGTTTTTTGTTGCGGGTCGAAATTAAAATCACGAAGTACGTGTGTGTACCGATGTCATGGATGTAGGCCGCGCCGGCTACGTACGTGCGGGCGTGTTTAGCTTATGGGTCAACATGGGTTAGCTAGGGCGCCATTGCGCAATGTGAGCGGGGGGAATCCCCGCTGACGTCTTTAAATCCCAACTGCGCAACTAATTTCCTAGGCGGGCCAAATCACGATTAATTTTTGCTGCTAGTAGGATGGAACGCCGTATTATCGCGGTACTTATCACGTTTCTCATTCGGAATAGAGATTGCCAACTAACCTTCCAGAATTGTCCTGTCATATGTGTAGTATAACTCTTCCTTTTTAAAAAAAAATCTGACGGGTGGTGTGGTTTATTCCGTGTACGATGCCTGTGAAAATAGACATGCGCGGCGTGTGCGAACGGAGTGGACTCCCTATTATCGCGGTATGCGGGAAGTGGTTTTTATAATGATCCCAACTTTTTTGTTCATAGTTTATGTTTGACCAAAACACCCCCTGAATAAAGTCTGATATTTTCCCCGTAACGTTCAATTTGATTAAAGACAAAATGTCTGCAGGATGATTTTTTAAGACCCTGCCCTTCCCCCGAAAGGAGAACACAAATCCCTGAGGCAAGTCTACTTTACGGCGATTGAGGGCGCCATTCACTTTACACGGTGTGCCGTTTTACTTTCGCTAACGCGCGGTGCTTATTTTGATCCCGTAAAAGTTGTTACGATTTCGCGCTGCAAATATCGTCGTTCGACTTTATTTTACATTTGCAGCTGAAGAATGGGAACCAGACAATGGAACTTTCATGGACAGAGCGCAATTAAAGATGTATGTTAAAATATAAACGGTACCTTTTAGCAGACACGGTGAGGGAAAATTTTGCAAGTTTTGGAAAACGTTAATATTTATTAAAATCGTTAAAAGTCCCGAAAGACACAACATTTTTTAATCGTCCTTTTTATACAACTCGGTAGAAAATCCTTGATGACTGGTGAACTGGATAAAAATCGCCACTTGAAGGAGTTTTGACACTGTAAAAAGAGAAATTTCCCATGCCGCGATAATAGGGATGCCGCGATAATAGGGAGTCAGACTATACTATAAGGCCGTGTCCGAAACGGGCTTCCAGAGCTACGGCTACGTCTATTGACAGCGCGTCTCCGCGTATTTCTAATGGAGCGAAGACCTAGACCTAGCTCTAGACAACAGATTCGGATGCAGCCTTAAGTTTGAGGGCCATGAATTGGAGGGTTTGTAAAAAAAAAAAGGACGGAAGCCATGAACAGGACTGCGAGCTCGTACTTCTTATCTTCCGTGAAAATCTGATTAAATTGGGTCCTGAAATCAGTGAGCTATTTTGCAATGGAGCGTAGGCATCACGTCTGGCCTAAGTACCGTCCCGCGCTGATGAATAGCGCCCCTTAATTCGCCTGTGGATGCATGACGGCAGTGTGGGGTTATTCTGTCAAATTCATCTCGCTAGTATAATTTCTCTTTTTGTCGGGTGTCACAGCTCAAACTAATTTAGAGCCAACCTTCGATTTCATGGAAACGATTTGGTGGTTCAGCTTCAGGATCGTTCTGTCACTGATTAAATGGACGATCGAGTTTGATTGGTCCTGTAAATGCGCCTAGCTAGATCAATTGTTTAACCCCCCCCCCCCCACGGGCTGCCCCACCCAAGGGAGAGATTGTCACTTTTGAAGTGACAAAATCCCCACCAGGCTCGGGCAAACTTAAAGTGACAATCTCCGACATACATACGTGGGCCGCAGTGATTGCCTTTTTACGCCAATGGTATTGGTAACAATGTTTTTGAGTGACCAAAATTTATCCCCACTCTGGGGCTGAAAAAAAAACATGACCAAATCCCGACATCGGACCCAGGGCAGCGGGGGGGGGGGGGGGGGGGGGGGCATTTGATAGGCACATTGTCGGTGATAGTGTTACACCTGTTTTACTAGACCCGTGTTGTACAAATACAAGTTCCGTTCATAAATCAAAAACCTGCCCTACTAGTACTAGGCTCTTTTCCACAAAATTAAGCGGAAAGATCAGTTCCATACATGGGAAAGAATTCCATACACGGCCACCACTCTTCTGCACAAAGTCTATGGGCCATGACAGAAAAAGTATTATCAAAGAATTTGTGCACTCCTAAAATAGTGTTTCTTCATCAGATTTACAACTTTTGGTACTTTTCGGGTCAAATTAAGGAAAATGAGTGGTGGCTAATTCTTTCGAATTTCCCATACATGTACCTGAACATGTACATCACTGTGCACAAACCCTATGAGACTGGTCGGAAAATGTCCAAGTGTTTTCTCAGTAAATGCTTCAATATCTTCCCTGCTAAATTTGACTTTTAGGACATATTTTAATATAATTGTTATTGCTTTCTGATGACCGATATCTGTTAGGCCAAGTACAAGAATAACCAGTTTCTCCTCCCCACCCTCTTTCTTCAGTTTCCGCCTGCCCTTCTTTGTTTTTAAAAATCACATTTTGTCTTTTACTTGTTTCCAACCAACCAACATAATTTTAAAAGGCTTTTGGTTATTTTTATTTGTGGGGGTGGATACAGCTTTAAGTAGACTTTGTTTGTACACATTCTACCATTTTTCCGTATCAACTCCGGACTTTATTAAGATTGCCGCAAAACGGTGGAATAGTCTTGATTGGCGATGGTCATTTTGTTAACGTAGTCGTTGGTATCGCAACATGAATTACTGGAGAAGAGATGTCTGTTTCACACAAACATCTGGAACGTTTTTGGTTTGTTTGGATCAAGATTCATAAACTTGCCCAGTCCCTCCGAGTCAGCCTACAAAATAGTCGATGTTGCGCCCTCTACCGGTGATTAATACAGCGTGGCTAATCAAGATACGGTGGAGCATCACTGTGATGATAGGGAAAAACACATTCAATCACCCCAAAAATATATTTTGCTGAGTATTGACCGAAGACTTCAGTACTGGTACAAGTACGAAGGTAGACGTACAAGGAGACTTTTATTCTACAGACCACAACCATGCATTTTTGGGAATGCTGTACAAATTAACTATAAAGTCAATCGAAGTTTAAGGTCCTTATTGCATAGAGTTTAATGCCGCGAGACGGTTTCCACACTGAAATCATTCATTACTGGAGAAGAGAGTTCTGCTAAATTAGTTGCATGTATCGATGCGAATTGTGGTCCTTTTTCGAAACCGTGACTTTGGCCTGGGCTGTGGTCCCGTCACTCCCCGTTAGGTCTCACTCAAGCTTGTATTTGTACATGCTATCACACACGCCAAGGTCTACACAAAATTAAACATTTCCCATACAGCAAAATGCATACGTCGGGATATGGGTGAATTTTGTCTAGCCGAAAACAATGAAACTACACAAAACAAACTTAACATAATCGGATTCAATTTATTGCCATTATAGTGAACAGTCAGTCCAATCCAAAATTACGAAACCACCACCCAATAGCACGGAAACCGAACCTCGTGTTAGTAGATTATTTTGTGGCTTTTTCCAAGTATTCAAATAGACCATGCAGTATAAAGCAATATTGCGCAGTACGATCTCAGTGTTATCAAAATTACTGTGCATTCTTGTGATTTAACTCTGACTAGTAAATTATGGTCTTAAATGAAGCTTTCCTCTGTAATGCATTTTGGTCCCCAAAAGTCCCCGAATTCCCAATGACAAAACTTAATCATTTAAAACTAAACTGTCCAACAATTTTTCGCCACCAGCTCTAAAGAGTGAGATAATGTTTAAAATAAGGTTAATAAGACCTTATACTATAAATGGCCTGTAACTGTTTTATATTTCTTAATCGAAGCATTATTGCGTCTAGCTGTAGCAGAAAATCAAACCCTCAACACCTTCCAACAATCTGACCCACTCCAACGTCCCACACAGTTGCAAGAAGGGCAGTGTCGGCTCATTGGTCTGTACAAAGTAACGGTACCAAACCAATGGATCATTTTGAGGCGAACTAAGGACACAAGAAGCGAACCTCGTAGTTCAAGCAGGACTGTCCGGAAGTTTGGTCAGCATTGAGGCAGACGAGTCCCTCAGAGGGAGTGCATTTGGTTTTGAGCTCTTGACCGGCGTCGCTCCAGTTCTGATTGGTTCCCCGGACGCGGCATTGGATGTCAATTGGCTCTTTACTGGAACACTGGGTTGACAAAATCAAGGAATTTGACAAAGTAAGAGATCATGATAGGACAGTTTATCTCTAGAAGGGCACAGTCAAGCTGTCACGAAGTTCCATAGGCATTGCAAGTGGTATCAAAGCAAACTCAAACTAAATGTAGAAGTTGAAATAAACTAATCTAAGAGACAGTCCTTGTGGCAAGAGCGACAGTTTCTACAGGAAATGTAAATGAATCATAAAACTTGTTTTTGTAGTTCGGAATTGTTGCCTTTGCTGTTGCGCATCCGTGCATTTCAGTAAGAATAAAGAAACAAAATCCGGCTATGGGACTGAGCAAAGATTTAAAGCTATAGTCCATCATTTGCAGCCATCCAAAAAGTAATTGGCGTAATTATTGTTGAAAAACATACTTGGTTGAAAGATAGTAAGGGAACTAAACTCCCTGTGAAATTATTCTTTCTGGGAAGCTGTCATTTTGAAGTAATCAACGAAAGAAGGCATTTCCAACGGTGATTCTTAAGAAGCACCGTAGGAAAATTTAAGTTAGTAGTTCGTTTTGTTATTCAGCGCAGCGCGCACAAGTATTGGAACGACGCACACGCGCGCGCGGTTGTTATAATTCGTCGGATCAGTGCGCGACGCCGTGTATAGCTGCAATTCAAAACATGATTCAGTAACTTTTGATTTGAAATTGAGATCTTAGAATGCTGCTTTTCTCGGAATGTACAACTGAAGCTTAGCTGAAACTTCACCAGGTTAGTTGCTCAGTATCCTTCATTAGATTTTGAACACTTTTGTTGCTTCAAACGAACAAAATGCACCAATTACAAATGATGGGCTATAGCTTTAAGCAGTTTGATCTCCACCTTCGAAGCAGGAACCACAAGCATAAACTCCAGTCTGGGATACTTACCGGGTTGTGTCCAGAGGCTCCAACGTGCTCCCAGTCACCGGTAGCGGAGGGATAGTCTCGGTTCTTCCAGGACGTCCATCGTGCGCATGATGTACAGGTACCTAGTCACGTGACAAATGGTCAAACAAAATGGTTTAATAGGCACACCATGTGAGACAAAGGGTCATAGTAGTTAAAAGCAAAAGTGGTGACCCACCTGGGGGCAATTTAATCTTTCTTTTTTTTCTGACGGGGCTTCAGATTGCTCACGAACCCATTTTGCTGACATTTTCACACTTACCTATGTTTGGGCACTTGAACCTGACATCGTAATCCTTGCATACTTCTGTGTTCACCTCTGTAGTACAGACTAGACCGTTCTCCCAGTTGCAATCGTAACCGGTATTGAATGCATCTCCAGTAGTGTAGTAGGCGTTTAGGTTAGATGTGTCACGGCATTGGGTACACATTGGGCGAATGCCATTGCAGATGTTGTCGCCATCTCTGTTCTGCAAACCAATTTTTAAAATGAATCTCATTTAAACATTTGTCGTTATTGACTCCGGCCAAGTTACTAGACTTTCCGACTTGGTGCAGGATTTTCATAACAGTACAGTTAGCTTCTTATTGCATATCTTAATGCAAGCTCACCCTAAACGCCGATACGTTTTCCCAGTCCCCGGTCCCAGAAGGATTATCTCTGTCCTTGAATTGCGTCCAGGTAGAGGCTTAAAACAAAAGGGAGACAAAATGATCAAAATTAGTGCATCTACTATTTGTGCAAATCCGGGTCTGCGTCACGCCCATCCTCGCAAGGTCTGACACATGCGCACAAAACAATCCGTGAGGCTGGTCCTCATGCACTATCTCCACATAAAGCCCTGTACTTGCTGTAGACTAACAAGTTATCATTGAACTTTTATTTATTTATTTGGGTTTCGTTTGCAGCCCCAACATGGCAAAGGTAATCACGCTGAACTTGCCTACATTCGCGGTATTGTACATTGTGCAAATAATAAACACCCACCTGTAGACGGACACAGATATCTGATCTCGTAGTCACTGCACAAAGCACCTCCGGGTTGGTCAGTGTTTTTGCACACCACGCCCGCTGTCGGTAAGCAACGAACGGCCAGGGTATCCGGCGCCGATCCAGTCCAACGGGTGAACACGCTTGCAGATCCCTTCACCCGGCATTCCGCAGCGATCGGTTTACAGCCGCCACAGACGTAGCCTAGTTTCTAGAAGGAAAAAAGACTAATGAAAAACTGGAAATCCGGCAACTTGAAAATAACTTAAACCTCCGGGGAAGGGTTCAAGCAAAATCCTTGGGAGGAATCCGTGTACTTTAGCTGCAGGAAGAACGCCTTTTTATTATTATTAATGCTTTACATTAATTTGTGAAGTTGACTTTTATTCAGGCTCGTTACTGTTAGACAATAATCATAATTGTCCTTATGGAGTGTTTCAAAATTAAGGTCTAAAATAACTGAATCTAGTTGTCAAACTAATTACTATAACTGTTTGCACCTGGATAACTACACAAAGGGCTGAACAAAATTTGGGAGTAGCTTTTTTCCCTAAGTTGATCCTTTTAATTGATGTGAAATGCTATGGGATATGGGCTCATCTTGAAGAACGGAGTAAATTCATAATTGTGAGAGAGTTATGTATATACATGTACTTATTGGTTTTGCTGAGACGGCTACTTCCCCTGCGGGTATGAACAGCACTCGTCTCGCCATTATGGATTAAAGATCTTAAATCTCATAAGAATTCAACAGATCCACGGAGCTGCACGTTTGTACATAACAAATAATAATTTTAAGCCGACAGGGCAAAACGAAATGACAAGGTGAATCAATCGTGTGGCGGTGCTGGGTCAGTGAAGCCTTGTGCCATGTTCACCTAGTGTCAAAGAGACGAGCAATAGGCCTACCTAGGAACAGTTACCTTTTGACTACTCAGTGTCTCCCAGTCTCCCGTACCTGATGGGTTATCGCGGTCATACCAAGCCGACCAAGTGTGACCTGCATTAGATGTAACCAGACATTAATGTTAACCTCTTTATTAAATATTTATGCTTTTCATGTAGAAAACTCTCAGACGTTTTTTGTTTGTCGGCCCGCTCGTACTCCAACCCATGTTCATGTATGCCAAACTAAAGGTACGATGATGATGGTCCTTCCCCAACCTTAATAGCTTCAGAAGCCACTGCGATGTCTACGATTTTACTAGCGTGTTAAGAAGACGCCATTGTCAAGCTTTTAAAGTCTCCATTCAAAGATTATTATATTATTTGAGGTTCATATTTTTGGTTAGGAATATATTTAAAGCTAGCCTTGTTCGATGCGGTCTCTCGGCTTTTTGTCGAAGGGAGATAATCGGGCCCTGCACCCACAATCAACGCGGCTACGTGCGAGTACGACCCTTGTCCGTACGAACGGCTAACACAACCAGCAACACACACGTGAGTACGGACTGTACGCACGGTGTAATAAGGCAGTAAATGTAGGCCTACTGCCGCGTGGCCTGTCGAACGACTGTTACGCGGACTAGCTCATGCATGTACTGTGTGTGCATGGCTGTTGTCTGTTGTACGAGTACGGGTGTGTACGTGCGTACGTGCATGGAGCAAGGAAAACGGATGGTACGTGCAAGCATAGCCTCGCTGTATGGTACAAGTTGCTTTCTCACTAGCAGCGTACGGGCATCGATATGTGCACGCAATTATGCCTTGCCAAGTTGATTAGGGATTTTCTTATCGGCAATTTTTTTTATCAGCGAATCGATAAGCCCAACGCCTTGGTCAAGGCTAATTTAAAGCCGGATAAAAAATCAAGTAAAGGGACACAAATGGGAAGCAAGTAGTGGAAAGTAATTTGTGGGAGTCTTATTAGCGTAACTACCTTGAATTGATTCCACAGCCAGTATACAACAAACCACAAAAAGGGCGGTCTTCATCTTCAGTTCTACAAATAAACCAGAAATGACAAACAAACTGATGAAGTTCTGGCAGCAGCAGCTGCAACAACAACGACAACAACAACAACACCAACATAACAACATTTTACTAACAACATGGTTGCCTACAGATGGACACCCAGTCTCAGATCTCGATAAAAAATATGCGTCCTGGCAGACCCCCCCCCCCCCATTAATGCTAATCCCCCTTTGCCACAGGGAACTTTCAGGTGTTCCAACACCTCCAAATGTAGACCACACATCAGAGAATCGGACTCCTTCACCAGCCAACCGGTGGTACCACCCATAAGACAAGGGGTCATGTCACCTGCACCACCACTAATCTAATCTATTCAATATCTTGCAAAGTATGTTATGTAAGGTGAAACAAGAAAGTGAATAATAACTAAGAATCATTTTTTGTCTTTGCCTTCTCCTTTTTACCACAGATACGCTAGATCGGTTGGTCTTACTTCAGAAAAGAATGACAAATTTACAATTGATTCAACAAAAGTCAATATGAAGAATTCCAAACTGTAAAGGAATTCAAAGAAGGACGACTGATTCGTGTAGGGCGTACTCCATATAATTACAAAATCGGTGGTCATACCAATTAGGCTTCAGAATTAAAACTGTCTCTTCATAACATACCAAGCTAAAAGGGAGGCCAGAACAAAACAATTATTAAAGTATTTAATTTGTATTTAAATAACAAACTTTGCGCTGCATAATTTATACCCAACGAATCAAACCTGTCAAAGATAAAACGTTGAGATACAAAAGTATCAACGCGCAGAAAGTTTGCTTTACCTGTTTGAGATATTCTTTCGAAACCAGGTGGTCCTCTCTTGCTCCCCTCGCTGACGTTTCTGAAGTTGGTCTCCCCAGCTTCGGCGACGACTTAAATACAATAAACAACTTGTCCATTCTACAATTTGATTGGCTAAACGAAGAGTGACGACAAACCAGGATATGGTTCGGTCAAGGCTGAATAGCTTAAACCTCTCCTACGCTGCCAGGCCACACACAAGTGACTTAACTAAACAAAAAGTGCCGATCTCTTTCCAACGTACATTGTTGACAAAAACCGTTCCACACGCACTTCACGGGGGTAATCAATAAAGTTTAATACTGCTGTTCATGTTGCGACTCGCTGTGTACTTGAACTGTTTGTAATGTTCGGTCAAGGCTGAATAGCAGAAGCCTCTCCTACGTGCCAAGCCACAAACAACTGACCTAACTAAACAAAAAGCGGCGATCTCTTTCCAACGTACATTGTTGGCTTAAGATGTGAAGAATATTCAAGGACACACTGCAATATCTGGGACAGGTTCCCACCGTTGATTTTTCTTGAAATCTTAAATCAAGACTTCTTGTAATCCGAAATCCAAAAGAGGGCACACTTAGTAAACTTTCAGAATGAAAATGTCACACAATGTGAAATTAGCAATTATTACTTCGGGAATAATTTTACCAACCACATCAAAACCGGGCAAACGTTGGCAATGTGAAGTTTCTAACTAATTTTAACTTGTCTTACTACATTCAATGATTCGGAATAGTAGTGCCGCATGAATGTGAAAATCCGGACTAATCGGCGTACACCCTCACATAGCTCTGTATTGCAGTTACTCTGTGGACATTCCTTTGTTCTATACATTTAAAGGGAATATACATCATTTGCTTTTGCTGTAATTGTCAGAAATGGATGGAATGGGGGGTTGGAAATATATAGCAAAATTAATATAGTTACACTGACCTTTTTGAGGTTTTGGGTTCGAAAATGCTATAAAAACCAAGAAAAACAATCATTTTCCTGTAGGCTGGTTCCCTGACTCCATATAAGAAGAAACAGAGCAGTTTACATACATTGGGGAAATGTAAGGTCAGGGAACCAGTCTAGCTGGCTTGTACCCGTTCATAGGTGGGTAATCGATTGCACACAAGTGCGATGGTCAATTGGGGCCAGTATTTGAAAAAAAGCCAGTTTTCTCCAACGCTGGTCGGCCGACCAGCGTTGGAAATTGATACAAAAATACCACTTTTCTTGAAAATGACAGTATACCAGGTGCCATGATTTTATAGGATGCTTTACACTGTCATTCACTGTCATTCAACAGTCCAGCAAGGTATTTCAAAATGATTTGGTAGTTTTATTTTTTGATGTTTGCAAATGTTGTATTTTCCCTTTAAGGAAAATCCTATTGCTCAACACTGTAAATAACAGTGTGGACGTGCGAAAAATCACATAGTGTTTCAAGTCTCTACATATGTATCGTTAAAACATTCTCACAGATCCGGTATGTGTGTCCCAAGTGCATTGTTCAAGTATGTGTGGGCACATTTATGATTATCAATGGTAAATCTTAACTTTGGGCACGTTGTTAGCCAAATAATTGGGGGTAAGTGCCCGAATTAAGTTGTGTACGTGTGGGCATGTGTTGCCCAATAATGATATGGGTCAGGTGGTGCCCCAAAGTTGTGTATGTGTTTGTGTGTGTTCATGGAGGAATAATTAAGAACGAACTCCTTGGTCCGTGTTCCTTGCTCGTTCGAGTTCCATTTTGTCTTTATTTTTGCAACCCATGCGGCTTAAAATAAATTTGCATTTCAAGTCTTTTTTGGTTATTGGGAGTTGTGCGCGCCACGAAAATTCTGGATTCGACTGGTACCCTGTTGTGTTCCTTCCTCCATGCTGTAAATACAAATATCCTATGATATTACGTGCACCAGTACAACCCCGAAGAACTCAGCACACAAGTAAAGCTGACGAAAATGTACACCACTGCGCAATTTTGTGCATGCGTGTTAATTGAAGCAAAATTTCCCTTTCGGAGAAGCTAGCACGCCGGAGAAGTGAGACCGTGACACCGGAAAGCCAAACACCCCTTTTTCCGGCATCCGGCACGAAATAATTTGTTTGTTGTTGTTGACAACAAAAACTCCTTTCAAGACTATGGCGTTCAATCACAAGAATTTGTCTGCTTGTTTCCCTATTGAACATGAGTATAACACACTGTTAAACTATTATTTAACTAAACCCAGATGAACTCAGTGATAAAGAACTATTGAAAAACAATTCGAAAAGTTAAACCATAAAAAACCGTAGTGCCAAAGAAAGTTACGTGTTCAAAATGGCTTTAAAATCGAGTCCATAGCAGTATAAAGCTTGAAGCAGGCAAAACTTAGAGCATGAAGCAAAAATCAAAACTTGCGCTGCCAGGCGGCTATCTGAAGTCAATTACAGGGGTGACTAACCACACCACCATGACTTATGCAAAATGTCAGAAGGGAGGGGCTGCGGACGTTCCTCAATTCCCATAGTAATAATAATCAACAAACACCTGGCTGGCTGAAGCATTTAAAAACTCACTTAAAATCCAAGATATCAAATATGGTAGTATATTGTTCAACATGACCTTGTCGCTCAACAGTGTTTGCATGTTCATTTGCTGCATACTTCAGTCGATACGAGTGGATCCACGTTCGTTTCTTCTCACGCCATCTGAATGAGGTCAAATCTCTATTGTAATTGTTATGTTTGGTCAATCAAATGCAGCTTGGTCTTGACACTTTTAATTAAAAATTGTGTCTTTTTTATGAAACTGGTAAACCATTATGGCTACAAATAATTAACAATTGACCAATGTTAAAGAGGTTCACCTTCCAAGATTCTTATACTTTTTCTTAAAACTTGAAAAAAGGTGGGGCGCGAGTGTACTTTCCTGTTGTTATTATTATTATTTTTATTTTATTATTTATTGTTATGTTAGGTATTAAAGAACTGAAGATACTAAAGCCCACTGACTCTCTTGCCAAGAAGTCATCAGTATAGGCTTAATCATTTACCTGGGAAATTGTGATTCATAAATAGGTTTTGGTTTCCTTCTGTTTTAAAGTTCCAATTCCATTATCTAGCTGTTACAGAATGAAATACAAATCGATTGATTTAAGTTTCTTAGGGACTTGTCACACTAGGCACTTTTTCCAGGCAACTTGGAGGCAACCAACTTCAGTGCATGCTACAGGACCACTTCGAGTATTTTTTCAAACAATGTCTTATGATCCCTAAGAAAAATATTTGAACATTGAAATGTGAATGCCTTTTCTTCTTGGAGATTGCCTGGGACTGGTTGCCTGTAAATTGCCTCGTGTGACATGGGCCTTAGAGTCAAGGTCTTGGTTTTAAAATGACACCCCCCCCCCTCCCCCCGACCCCCATTCTTCTCATTGTGTTACATGCCTACATGTATTTGTCTTTACCCACAGTTAGCCCTATACGGCCTTTACTTGGTCAAGGACTGTGTCACGAAGGATGTTTTATGCGTCAAGTCGAGCTGAATACCATACGGAGGAGAGCTTAGAGAAAGGGCGCGACCTGATCTCCAGGATAGTGTCCCAAGACAAATTATTGTCAACACGATTTCTCGGAAACCCTAACTTGTACAACCCGAGACCAGCTGTCCAGGAGGACAAATTGCCCAGGGTCATGATGTACATCCGGGTTCAACTGGGCCAGAAAAAGGTTTCAATTTGTTTCTCTTCCTTTTGTGTGCTTGTCCAAATTCTTTTTTCTATCTTTTTTCTTTTCTTTTGGTTGCCTTTACCAGCTGTTAACACATAAAGCAGTATTTATAACACCCGGCTTTGTACTTGTGCTGTTCTTTTCATACACAAAAGTGAAAATTATAAGTTTGTTTAACCCTGCGTAAGGAAAAATAAGGATTAGCCAAACTTAAAACAAAACTACAAGTATTATAAGCATCCAACAAAGAAAGGCACAAATGCAAGTACGCCCTACGTCGTCTGTTGACACGGTTCAATGTCGCAGAGTTGCCAGTTCCTGTGCGTCACTCTGTCACTCTTTACTGCAGCCATTTATCGAGTCCCGGAGATCCATTATCACAACTGACCATGGGTCTGGCCCGAACAAACTTTTTGTAGTGCCAAATCAAACGTCAGTTTGGGTGAGGTATTGTACAGTGTATCGGTTTATGTGGCTCCCCCCCCCCCCCACCCCCTCTTCTCCCTCACCCCACCTCTGCAGGCAAAAGGGGTGAATTGAATCATGGAGCAATAAGAACATGATTGAATAGTAGTGTACGTATTTGACCTCGTTTTGTGGTGGAGGATCATGATCCTCATCGAGTATCATATCGGTAACCCCGACGAGGATCATAAACGGGGTGTGTCTCTGGCGTTGTGACGTCACGGATCGATGGACAAATCGATCGTGGAGATTAGCGTTGAATGAGTATTGTTGGTATAGGTAATTGGTTAAACAAAAAAAGGGTATACAGACGGCTATTAGGGAGAGCACACAATGGGCGCACTTTTTAAGTGTGTTTTTGTATGCCGGTTCCCGATGAGGAGGTAGATGTACACATAAATCATATTTCACTGAAAACGCCTATTCAGTATAGGCCTTTCATAGGATTTAATTGAAAACGCCTATTCAGTATAGGCCTTTCATAGGATTTAATTTGTTTTTCTTCTTCTTTTCTTTGCTTTTACGCTAATGATGTTGATTGGACCAATTAATTTAAAATTTGAAATAATGAAAATACCTCAATGCCTTTATTATTTTCAAATAGGTGAACAGGTGTTATGAAATAAATAAATGTAACTTTATCGAATGTATAGAGGCCTATGAGTTACAAAAGACGACTACAAAAGAGATACGAGACACGTAAAATAAACACAGCATCACACTTTACATTCTCATTTACAAGTTAACTTGTAAATGAGAATGTAAAGTGTGATGCTGTGTTTATTTTACGTGTCTCGTATCTCTTTTGTAGTCGTCTTTTATAACTCATAGGCCTCTAAGGCTCTATACATTCGATAAAGTTACATTTATTTAGTCGTCTTTTATAACTCATAGGCCTCTATACATTCGATAAAGTTACATTTATTAATTTCATAACACCTGTTCACCTATTTGAAAATAATAAAGGCATTGAGGTATTTTCGTTATTTCAAATTTTGAAATTTTAAATTAATTGGTCCAATCAACATCATTAGCGTAGAAAGCAAAGAAAAGAAGAAGAAAAACAAATTAAATGCTATGAAAGGCCTATACTGAATAGGCGTTTTCAATTAAATCCTATGAAAGGCCTATACTGAATAGGCGTTTTCAGTGAAATATGATTTATGTGTACATCTACCTCCTCATCGGGAACCGGCATACAAAAATACACTTAAAAAGTGCGCCCACTGTGTGCTCTCCCTAATAGCCGTCTGTATACCCTTTTTTTGTTTAACCAATTACCTATACCAACAATACTCATTCAACGCTAATCTCCACGATCGATTTGTCCATCGATCCGTGACGTCACAACGCCAGAGACACACCCCGTTTATGATCCTCGTCGGGGTTACCGATATGATCCTCGATGAGGATCATGATCCTCCACCACAAAACGAAGTCAAATACGCACTGTACACTACTTTGAATCAACTAGGATATGCGACTATATGTGTTCGTCGCCACCAGTATAAAATTCTTGCCAGAGAGCGCCTGCTGGCAGAAAAGTACGTGGATTCGTTTGGCGGAAATATACCACCAGGACTAATTCAAAACATTTCACACAATAACAATTGGGGAATTCCTTAAGAGAGATAAGAAAGACACAGCAGGCGGACAAAATTGGTTTTTGACAGCTGCTCTTTAACATGAAACAAAGATAGTATACTTATTTAACTTCAAATTGTACATGATATAATAATGCATTGGGAAGAGATAAATTATCAATATGTTTAGTGAAATGACATAATAGTCATTCGAATATATAGAGTTGATCCACAGTACACGGCTATTGGAGTGAGGACAATGGATGGGAAAACTGGTCCTTGGGCTGGTTTGTAGAAATCCTAAATTCACGCCTTGCAACACATTCCCCTAATTACAATACGCAATATTTTATTACAGTAGCCTACATTCTACAAGTACGAATGGCTCGTCGTTTATTTACCAAGGACATCATAACAGTACTCGACAACACCACACATCGTACGTCAATTCGGGTAAACATTGCTTAGAAATCTGAGGTCAAAAATAAATGGGCGATTGTTGTTGTTGCCCCTGCTGTATGATTCTGTTCCTTTTAACTTCTTAAACGATGATATCATCCACTTTATCACTAACCCAGATTTATCACGTTTGACATTAATTTCCAAGAAAAAATCACAAACAATGCACAAAGCCACAAACAATTACCATGGTATTTGTTTGATTGGTTTATTTTGCCGAGTACTTGTTTTTTTATTTGTTTTATATTAAGACGCTTTTTAATTGACGCTACAAATAATTAACAATTGACCAATGATAAAGAGGTTCACCTTCCAAGATTCTTAAACTTTTTCTTAAAACTTGAAAAAAAGATGGCGTGGGGCGCGAGTGTACTTTCCTGTTGTTATTATTATTATTTTTATTTTATTATTTATTGTTATGTTAGGTGTTAAAGAACTGAAGACACTAAAGCCCACTGACTCTCTTGCCAAGAAGTCATCAGTATAGGCTTAATCATTTAACTGGGAAATTGTGATTCATAAATAGGTTTTGGTTTCTCTCTGTTTTAAAAGTTCCAATTCCATTATCTAGCTGTTACAGAATGAAATACAAATCGATTGATTGAAGTTTCTTAGGGACTTGTCACACTAGGCACTTTTTCCAGGCAACTTGGAGGCAACCAACTGCAGTGCATGCTACAGGACCACTTCGAGTATTTTTTCAAACAATGTCTTATGATCCCTAAGAAAAATATGTGAACATTGAAATGTGAATGCCTTTTCTTCTTGGAGATTGCCTGGGACTGGTTGCCTGTAAATTGCCTCGTGTGACATGGGCCTTAGAGTCAAGGTCTTGGTTTTAAAATGACACCCCCCCCCCCCCCGACCCCCATTCTTCTCATTGTGTTACATGCCTACATGTATTTGTCTTTACCCACAGTTAGCCCTATACGGCCTTTACTTGGTCAAGGACTGTGTCACGAAGGATGTTTTATGCGTCAAGTCGAGCTGAATACCATACGGAGGAGAGCTTAGAGAAAGGGCGCGACCTGATCTCCAGGATAGTGTCCCAAGACAAATTATTGTCAACACGATTTCTCGGAAACCCTAACTTGTACAACCCGAGACCAGCTGTCCAGGAGGACAAATTGCCCAGGGTCATGATGTACATCCGGGTTCAATTGGACCAGAAAAAGGTTTCAATTTGTTTCCTTTCCTTTTGTGTGCTTGTCCCAGTTCTTTTTCTATCTTTTTTCTTTTCTTTTGGTTGCATTTACCAGCTGTTAACACATAAAGCAGTATTTATAACACGCGGCTTTGTACTTGTGCTGTTCTTTTCATACACAAAAGTGAAAATTATAAGTTTGTTTAACCCTTCATGAGGAAAATAAGGATTAGCCAAATTTAAAACAAAAGTACAAGTATTATAAGCATCCAACAAAAAAAAGGCACAAATGCAAGTACGCCCTGCGTCGTCTGTTGACACGGTTCAATGTCGCAGAGTTGCCAGTTCCTGCATGTGCGTCACTCTGTCACTCTTTACTGCAGCCATTTATCGAGTCCCGGAGATCCATTATCACAACTGACCATGGGTCTGGCCCGAACAAACTTTTTGTAGTGCCAAATCAAACGTCAGTTTGGGTGAGGTATTGTGCAGTGTATCGGTTTATGTGGCTCCCCCCCCACCCCCTCTTCTCCCTCACCCCACCTCTGCAGGCAAACGGGGTGAATTGAATCATGGAGGAATAAGAACATGATTGAATAGTAGTGTACGTATTTGACCTCGTTTTGTGGTGGAGGATCATGATCCTCATCGAGGATCATATCGGTAACCCCGACGAGGATCATAAACGGGGTGTGTCTCTGGCGTTGTACGTGACGTCACGGATCGATGGACAAATCGATCGTGGAGATTAGCGTTGAATGAGTATTGTTGGTATAGGTAATTGGTTAAACAAAAAAAGGGTATACAGACGGCTATTAGGGAGAGCACACAGTGGGCGCACTTTTTAAGTGTATTTTTGTATGCCGGTTCCCGATGAGGAGGTAGATGTACACATCAATCATATTTCACTGAAAACGCCTATTCAGTATAGGCCTTTTTCACTGAAAACACCTATTCAGTATAGGCCTTTCATAGGATTTAATTGAAAACGCCTATTCAGTATAGGCCTTTCATAGGATTTAATTTGTTTTTCTTCTTCTTTTCTTTGCTTTTTACGCTAATGATGTTGATTGGACCAATTAATTTAAAATTTCAAAATTTGAATTAACGAAAATACCTCAATGCCTTTATTATTTTCAAATAGGTGAACAGGTGTTATGAAATTAATAAATGTAACTTTATCGAATGTATAGAGGTCTATGAGTTATAAAAGACGACTACAAAAGAGATACGAGACACGTAAATAAACACAGCATCACACTTTACATTCTCATTTACAAGTTAACTTGTAAATGAGAATGTACAGTGTGATGCTGTGTTTATTTTTTGCGTGGCTCGTATCTCTTTTGTAGTCGTCTTTTATAACTCATAGGCCTCTATACATTCGATAAAGTTACATTTATTAATTTCATAACACCTGTTCACCTATTTGAAAATAATAAAGGCATTGAGGTATTTTCGTTATTTCAAATTTTGAAATTTTAAATTAATTGGTCCAATCAACATTATTGGCGTAAAAAGCAAAGAAAAGAAGAAGAAAAACAAATTAAATCCTATGAAAGGCCTATACTGAATAGGCGTTTTCAGTGAAATATGATTTATGTGTACATCTACCTCCTCATCGGGAACCGGCATACAAAAACACACTTAAAAAGTGCGCCCACTGTGTGATCTCCCTAATAGCCGTCTGTATACCCTTTTTTTGTTTAACCAATTACCTATACCGACAGTACTCATTCAACGCTAATCTCCACGATCGATTTGTCCATCGATCCGTGACGTCACAACGCCAGAGACGCACCCCGTTTATGATCCTCGTCGGGGTTACCGATATGATCCTCGATGAGGATCATGATCCTCCACCACAAAACGAGGTCAAATACGCACTGTACACTACTTTGAATCAACTAGGATATGCGACTATATGTGTTCGTCGCCACCAGTATAAAATTCTTGCCAGAGAGCGCCTGCTGGCAGAAAAGTACGTGGATTCGTTTGGCGGAAATATACCACCAGGACTAATTCAAAACATTTTACACAATAACAATTGGGGAATTCCTTAAGAGAGATAAGAAAGACACAGCAGGCGGACAAAATTGGTTTTTGACAGCTGCTCTTTAACATGAAACAAAGATAGTATACTTATTTAACTTCAAATGAATAATAATGTACATGCATAATAATGCATTGGAAAGAGATAAATTATCAATATGTTTAGTGAAATTACATAATGGTCATTCGAATATATAGAGTTGATCCACAGTACACGGCTATTGGAGTGAGGACAATGGATGGGAAAACTGGTCCTTGGGCTGGTTTGTAGAAATCCTAAATTCACGCCTTGCAACACATTCCCCTAATTACAATACGCAATATTTTATTACAGTAGCCTACATTCTACAAGTACGAATGGCTCGTTGTTTATTTACCAAGGACATCATAATAGTGTAACATATAGATTTGACTATATAGTCTTTGGTTTGTTTGACTATACTATATGTTATGTGGCAAAGAGCAGGATGAACGGATGACTACGAAGACTATACAAAGACACACTGGTAATGACTATGAGTTCAGCTATATGGAAAACTGGTTTATTTTTAAGAACTCAATATTCTACCGGTATTGTGTATGTACAGAACTATAACCTCAGACCATACGGCTGCATCAGCTTATGGGTATGGCTGGGTACTAGAATACGGAAGTTGGAGACAGAAGACAGAGGTTCTGAAGAGTTTTGTAGATGAAGACTGGCCAGAGCATAGGGCTGAATCAGCTTATGGCTATGCCTCTGGTTTTCCAGTAAAAAAAGAAGAACTCAATGAAAGTGGGAAAATGTGGGACCACTTGGAGTGAAAATAGGAGATGATGTCATATAAGGAAAACATAACTTATATGACATCATTTCTGAGTAAAGGTAGACTGACCATAGACTGACGTAATGGTCAGTCTGGGGGAGTACCCTTACAATATGAGGTCACTTTCCCCTGTGCAAGGGTTAAATCACAGTCTTGGTATGCTGTGGGTGTATTGCTTGGAAAAGAGTGACGTGAAGACCTTGGGTGTAATGTGGAACACCTGTTGTGAGAGTGGTATCAGGGATGTGTGCTCAGGGTCAGTCTAAATTTTGGTCTTACAATAGTACTCGACAATACCACACATCGTACGTCAATTCGCGGTAAACATTGCTTAGAAATCTGAGGTCACAAATAAAAGGGCGATTGTTGTTGTTGCCCCTGCTGTATGATTCTGTTCCTTTTAACTTCTTAAACGATGATATCATCCACTTTATCACTAACCCAGATTTATCACGTTTGACATTAATTTCCAAGAAAAAATCACAAACAATGCACAAAGCCACAAACAATTACCATGGCATTTGTTTAATTTGGTTTATTTGGCCGGGTACTTGTTTTTTTGTTTGTTTTATATTAAGACGCTTTTTAATTGACGCTACAAATAATTAACAATTGACCAATGTTAAAGAGGTTCACCTTCCAAGATTCTTAAACTTTTTCTTAAAACTTGAAAAAAAGGTGGGGCGCGAGTGTACTCTCCTGTTGTTATTATTATTATTTTTATTTTATTATTTATTGTTATGTTAGGTATTAAAGAACTGAAGACACTAAAGCCCACTGACTCTCTTGCCAAGAAGTCATTAGTATAGGCTTAATCATTTAACTGGGAAATTGTGATTCATAAATAGGTTTTGGTTTCCTTCTGTTTTAAAAGTTTCAATTCCATTATCTAGCTGTTACAGAATGAAATACAAATCGATTGATTGAAGTTTCTTAGGGACTTGTCACACTAGGCACTTTTTCCAGGCAACTTGGAGGCAACCAACTGCAGTGCATGCTACAGGACCACTTCGAGTATTTTTTCAAACAATGTCTTATGATCCCTAAGAAAAATATGTGAACATTGAAATGTGAATGCCTTTTCTTCTTGGAGATTGCCTGGGACTGGTTGCCTGTAAATTGCCTCGTCTGACATGGGCCTTAAAGTCAAGGTCTTGGTTTTAAAATGACACCCCCCCCGACCCCCATTCTTCTCATTGTGTTTAATGCCTACATGTATTTGTCTTTACCCACAGTTAGCCCTATACGGCCTTTACTTGGTCAAGAGCTTAGAGATATAGGAATTCTGGGAAGGTTTCAAACCACCACGATACTGTGGATGTTGTGTGACATACATGTACAGTGCCATACTCTCCACAGACTTTGCACACAACCGTTATGTGGCCTTGACACTGCATACTTTTGGTCTGTTATAGCAGCAGTGCCACGTGTGTAAAGATATGTGTTCAGCCAGATACTCCACCGTGGATTAAAGAGTATGGAGGCCAGGCGCGTACGCAGGGGGGGGGGGGGGGGGGGGGGGGGGGGGGGGGGGGGGGGGGGGGGGGGGGGGGGGGTTTTGGCTGTTTCAACACCCCCTTTGCCATGTAAAAATATGGAGGGAAAAGAGAGTTATGTGACCGAGCGCGGAACAATTACAAATTATGTGCATGTTCTCAATTTTAAGCTTTGAATACAGAAGACACTTTATAAGAGCAAGAGTATATAGGCCTATATGTATTTGAAACAAATGAAACAAAATATCCCCTCATAATTTAAAAAACTTCTGCTAAAAAAACCAGGGGAAAGTAGCCAGGAAACGCCTCAGATTGCACCACAGACCATCTACGATCCAAAATTTCCCGGGGCCCTTAAGCGGGCCCCGGACCCCACGCCGTAAGTGCTTCGCGCTCCGCGCTCGCATTGGTCCTCCGGCCAAATTCCGGGACATACCGTTATTTCGTTTTACCGTTTCGGATTTCCTCAAAAGAAAAACAGTAAACAAACCATTGACCGTTTTGTTGTTTTACAGTTTTGTAAAACGGTCAAACGGTATTAAGATAAATATGGTTTCTCTGTTTTATAAGTTTAATAAAATTCATTACAGCATAACGATCAATGATTTCTGTTTTACAGTTTTACACAAATGACTGAAAAACAGCAGTTGGTGGGGCTTAAGAGTTGCAAGCAAAAATGGCGCTGGAAAACTTCAAGGGAGAACATTACTTTTTACAATGGATACAGGATGGTAATAAGTTTTAAGAAGTTGCAGATATTTGAAGGAAATTGGAGTTCGGCGCGGCTCTTCAATAGCCAGTTCGAAAACTATGTCGTGAGAACGAAATGTGAGGAGGGTAATTTG